GAAAGAGGATTTCACACATCAACATAATTCACTCCATAGCTGGTATGAATTCGGTATCTTGGAGCTGGACTGTTAATACACAGGGAGCCTGGATAACCATTAGATTAGGCACTTAAGAAAAATAAAGCTTTGTTAGATGACTATCACCCTTAGAAAATATTTTTTCTATTATGTTAGTTTTGCTGCCAATGTCACTTTCCAAAAAAAATGTCTGTTCTGGTAAATAAAAGGGGAAGTTCGTGACTTCCAGCAAGAAGGAAAATTTAAAAAATTAAATCTGAGAAAAATAAATTACCTTATATCCTCTACCATGTCACAGAAAATGATAGATTTGTATTCTATTTGAGACTATAAAATTAGTATGAAAAAGGTTCTTAAAGCAAGTAATTTTGTTGCAAAGTCTGAACCATCTAAACCCCAGAGTATTACTGGTCTGGTTGAAAAGCAATTAAAATTACAAAGGACAAAATACAGGAGGAGAAATACTTCCAGCACGTTCAGTTGAGGTGAACTGGAACCCAGTTAATATTTACATTATAAGTATTCAGACCTCAAAAATTTTAATTCATATATAAAATCTACAAATAAATAATTTTTGTAGTATTTATTTGAAAATTTGGTGAGAAGCTACGGTCTGTGGACTCTTCAGCAACGAGTCCCAAAGGATTATTTTACATCTCTGATGTCCTCAAGCGTTTTGAAGGTGTGTTGGGTTTGGCTATTATTGACCTTGGCTAGCCAGCAGGTGCCCACCACAGCTGTTCTATCACTCCCCTTCCCAGCTGGCCAGGGAAAAGAAAATGTAAGGGAAGGTTCATGGGTCGAGTCAAGGACAGGGAGAGATCACTCACCAGTTACCATCACAGGCAAAACAGACTTGAATTGTGGAAATTAATTGAATTTATTGCTAATCAAATCAGATTAGGATAATGAGAAATAAATCTTCAAATGCCTTCTCACCATCCCTCATTTCTTCCTGGGCTCAACTTCATTCCTGAAATCTCTACCTCCTCCAATCCAATTAGTGCAGAGCAACAGAGAATGGGGGCTGTGGTCAGCTCATCACACATTGTCTCTGTCTCCTCACTCTCTTTCCCTGCTCCAGCATGCAGTCCCACTCACTTGACACAGTACTCCATTAACTTTAAAAAGTAAGTTTCAATTAGGCATGCACAATCAGCCTCAGAAAGTCATAAAAAGCTACTGCAAATCTACAGCTTTGCCTTCCACTTGTGCCATCACTGGGATGGCGGACATAAAAGAATCAAGTCCAAGTATAGAGAGACTGAAACTATCCTTTATCTTTGCATGATAATGTGAGAGAGTACTCATTCATTTATGAAAATATCCAAAACAACCTGATCTTCAACCTTACTGAGACTTAACCTGTCTCATATGATACTCTCTGTGAAGCATTATAATGCATAAAAGAATGCTGAATTCCTGAGGCAAGATATTATTAGAATTATTAAACATTGTATTGCACACAGAAACTAGCAATGAGCAAACCACATGCTAGCCATATTCATTATCATTGGCAGTCATATTTGAAGAATCTTGTACAACCTGCCAGCTACTGATTGTCTTTTTTCTCAAAATAATTTACTGTATTATTGAAGAATGTTTAGATTACCCAGTTGAGTGATCATATATAGCTACTACTTACAGGCTGCAGTCATTTGCATTTGGCAGGATTTGTTGGGATCACTCAGCACATGCTACACTCTCTAGAGTGCCTGCAGTAAATATGTCTGCTGTGCAAAGAAAGGAGATAAAACAATGTCTCTGCATTTTCATTTCATCCTCCTAAGGTGGTTACTGGCAATAAGTTATCTTATTTGCAGGTAGGGTAAATCCTGCACAGAACAGGATAGTTCTTATTGCTTTTTCAAGGTTTAAAAATACATACACATGTCTGTCTGTTTCAATCTGTCAAAATTCCATTTATCACATAGAATAAATTTTATTTTGATGATGACACTTATGTATAGTTCTATTACAATTACAATTAAGGATGAGATTTGTAGATAAGAATTTATAAAAGCACAGAACTAAGAATAAGAGATGAGTCCACTAGCACCAGAAGCCCATTTTGCAAGAAGGTCACTGGAGAGATATCTAAATTACAGACTCTTCTTATTGCACAGGAAACCTAAAGCAAACCTCCACATAGTTTGATTGCTCTAATCACTGGTTATAACTTAGACTGGGAACTGGACCATCTGAAAATGGGCCAATATGCAGGCAAAATACAGTGTTTATCAGATCAGGAGGAAGGAGCATGACTGTAACTAAGTGGAGAGGACTGTTGTTGAGTATGAGGAAACTGAGCTGCAGTACAGAAACCTTCTACTAGTGTAAAATACATAGGATGAGGTATACTGACTCCTGCAGCTGCACTGGCAGTGGAGATTTTTTCTATTTTAATGCACTGTTCTGCAAAGAGAACATAGAAAGAGGTGTGAGATTATTCATGATCTTATTCAACATAAGAGATGTGTCAAAGGCTTGCTCTAACCTCAGGAGAGGCAGAAACAGAGACACAGGGAACTCTAAAACTCCAGGCTCTAAAACTTTACTTTTCTTTGTCTACTTAGAGCAACTAAGCACATAATTCAGGAAAAAACACTAAGTCATGTCTTTTTAAGTAAAATTTGTTTATCTGTATGCATTCAATATTAATACTCTCTGAATTACACTACAGATCATTGCAAGACATAATTTCTAGTAAATCAATTAGTAATTGCCAGTGTAAAAATAATACTGGTAGCAATATTCAGCTTTTAAATTAGAAAAGTTCTCTGCTGATAAGAAGCTGTGAATATAGTAATATAAAAACACTTGCAAAATTTCGTTTAAAAGACCCTTTCTTTTTATTGATGTTTTGGGTTTGCCCAAACACTGGTAATGCATAGGTTACAGAAGAGGTACCTGCATGACTTCAAAATGCTGCACTGTGCTGCAGCCTATTTCTACTAAAGTGTGTTGCTGCAGCAACACAAGCTATCACTTCAGCATGAAAAATTAATAATATTCATAGAAAGTCTAGCGAATCAGTGAAGTAGTGGACATTGTACTACATTTCACCTTTCTAATTCTAAAGACATGGCAGCTGAGCTGGTATCAACTGATTTCTGACTGTCCTTGTTCATTACCTTTAGCTTGGTAATGGATTTCTGAGAAACACTCCTGTTAGAAAACGACCCCTTAATTTCCAGTTGTGAGCCATGGGATCACCTACAGAACTAAAACTGTCAGAAATGGAAAGGGAGTAGAATTCACAGTGAGGAAGAAGCACAGTTTAAAGAAAATCTCTCATTTCTGTCACTTAAATTGCCTAAGATTTAAAGATATACTGCAAAATACTATCGGAAGGATGAGAAAATATCTCATATGACAAAAAAAATCATCACAGAACTGTAACTAGAGAACTCTCACATTTTCAAGATTATAACCCATAGTTTATAGCTTATAATCAATGCTATGGCAGAACAGTTCAGCAGAATGTGAGTTTACATGTAAATGCACTCATCTATTTCCCTTTACACGAGAACTCTGAGTCTATTCTGATTTTCAAATATTAGCATTTTTTAACAACTGCAGATTTTAACAAGTTATGCAAGCACAGCTGAAATAATAAAAATAATCAGCAGTCTACAGTGAATCTGAGAGAAACAAAAGCATCTAAATGGATGTTTATGTAAATGATTTTAAGGCAAAATCAAAGAGAGAGATATGTTTAATCTTGGAGCATGTATTAACTATGTAATAGACAAGTTCTTCAGTTCATCCTATTTACCTTATGCACTTTCACCCTACTCATTTGTCTTTACGTATCTTTATGTCTGCATGTTCTAAAGAAACCACAAATAGTTTGACAATACAGCTATGGATTTAAGTGAACAGAAATATTTAAACAAATTTGCCAGTCGTATATTTGATAGGCAACAAATGCAATACTCCAAGGCTTTTTTGTTTTTTTTCAGTAGATCAGAGGTCTTACTCCAATAGGAAGTTTCTGCTTGGAGCCCTTTTTAAGTGACTGTGAGCAAACAATTAGGTATTTTGTTAAAAAACTGCAATTCTTAGTCTTGAATTAATAGGAAATTCCAGTTATAGGGAACGTATTGGTTTTGCTAAGAATGGTTGGACCAGATGATCACTGAAGTTCTTCCAACCTATGATTCTATAACTTAATTTTTTCCACTCTATAACTTGTCTGTACATAAATCACACCAGGGCTGGGCAGAAAATTACAGAGAGCCTTGATATATAGACCAACTGACTTCACAGTTCTGATTTAAGAGTCTCAAACGCATCAACTTTCACATTATCTGACACAACTAATTTACCAGTCAAATAAACTATGCTAATGAGTATTTAAAAGATTGCACTCTTTAACTGCACCTATACAGTAATTGTATGCTCTCATCTAGACTTCACTTCATATTTCTAATTGGAAAGGAATTTTTTGACTAATTGGAAGAACTCTTGAACTTCTAGAAAAATTTTTCAGAATTTCTGTTTCAGCAAAAGCATAAAACCTTGCCCATATTCCATGTGCAAAACTATCGTACCACTCTTCAATGTGACCTGAACTTTACTATTGCAAACTTTCTCAATAATTATCTGTTCATTTAGGTTCTAAATGAATACTCTTGTAACTAAAGATTAAATGTTATTATATTAAAATATTCTACAGATAAAAGTCAAAATATTTTTTAAATTGTCCTGGATCGCCAAGCAAATTGTATTCTATTTGCCATCTGTATGGCAGTTGTCCTCTGTTAAGTGGGCAGTTTTCCTTATCTATTCTACAAGCACTCCTCCCTCTGGGAAGACATCTGCTGCAAACAGATAGAAGTGAAAATATTTTTAAAAATACAACAATTTACTCTGACTTCCTTATGGAAATGGCATTTATGAAGAGGTGGTTGGGTTCTTCATCTTATAATGGCTGCAGAAAGGATTCAGAGGTCAATGAAAAATGCTAACTTTACCTGGGAACTGATGATACGCTGTGATGAACGAGCAATATTAGCTGGCAGGCCAAAAAAGTCAGGTTTATCATCTTCTGGGAGACTTTCAATAATATTACGATAATCCTGCATAAAAAGAAAACAATAGACGCAACAGAGGGAACTTTTTATTCCACTCATGAAAATTAACAGCATATGCTGAAAAAGAATTTCATTAAGTGCAGAGCACAACACAAAGATTAAAAAAGTATATAAGACATGACCTATTATGGTAATCTTATTTATAGATTTCTTCATTTTATTTATCAGAAAATATCTTCTTTTATGTAACATTTCCACTCTAGAAGACCAAAAAGCAATTCTGATTACAGTAATGCTACCAAATGAAAACAAAAGCACACCAAGACTGTCCCTGAAAAGTAGATACAATATTTTTGTTGAAAACTTAAAGGTAAGATTAGTGACAATGCAAAAAAAAAAAAAAACACCACAAAAAAACACCACCAAAAAAAAACTTTGGCATTTGGAATTCTAATAAGAGTATAATACATATTTATAAAATTAAGAGCACTCACTTCTATTTAAATCCACAAAAATATTCACTCAGAGAAAGTGAAATAGTTTAGGTAAAAAAAGGTTTGCACAATCATTGAAGATAGAGAATAGCATCAATAGTGGTTACAGTGTAATAGTCACTCATGATGTTCTCTTGCACAAAACAGACAGAGGCCTTGCAGATTCAGGTAGACTGATGGTGTTGAACATATCTTTTATTGTGTTTTAAAGGCAAAAATATTTACTATCTGAAAGTCTGGCTGCCCCCCGTTGCAAATGTGCCATGTGTATTTTGTCTTTGCTTGCAGGAGCATGTGCTGGATATGCACAATTCACTTTAACATGGAATCTCACTTCAGAGGTAACAACAGTAACACTGAGGAAATACTACTTGAAGACACAGAACCATAAATTCTTACATAAATTATCATATAAGATATCGAGAGATATCAAATGCTGTACAGGGTAGAAAAGAAAACTCATTTACTTGACCATATTATCTACAAGAACAGAGACCAGACTGGTTTGTTTATCCCTTCTGGTTTTACGATATTAACTCAGCACATCTATAGAAAATAAATAATGGTCATAATAAAGTAGTAAATTCTGAGTAGTCAGAATCCAGGTAAAGAACACCAGATTACAGCAGTTTAGTTTAACTGAGATAGTATTATTCATATCCATTCATATTAGAGGTCTAGTATGGAGTCTTCCATTAAAAAGCAAGTGAATCTTAATCACAGTAACAACAATAATTATATTGTGAAAGGAAAGAGAGAGATCAGTTGTTTAGACTGTTGGATTCCCTCTCTTTTTACACTAGAGAAATACTGAAGGAGAATCAGAATCCATACTTATCACCAAATAAAATGTCATATACCTTCCATGGCCTGTCAACAGATTGTCAGAATGTTGATGTATTTAGGAAACAAGAAGGTATATTCAGATATATTCAGGTATATTTTCCTGTTTCATCCAGAAGTTGTAGGAATATTTAGCAGTCTTTAAAAAAACACTTTTATGTTAAAATACTAATTATATAAAAACTTAATTATATCTTTCATCTAATCATAAATTAATCCAATTTCTTTTACTGAACTCTTCATCGCTAGGCCACTCTGCACCACAGTCCAATCAGACACCACAAAAAGAATAGCAAACTGACAGAGTTAATGCTCCACACAAAAGAGAAACAGAGGTATCCTTTAGATTGTAACCTGGGTTTTCTTTGTGGAAGCATTTCAAGAAAAATTCTTGAAAATTAATTCTTTTTTAGGTGATAGAAGATGTATACCTACCAAAATGCTGCAGGAATTCGGTAAAGAGATCGAACACGGGAAAGTACTCATCTTCTTGCCTCTGGCATTTAAACTGCCAATGATTCGTGAATTGAAAAGCTGCTCCAAGTAGGACCGAAGAACTCTCATATCAAAATAATTATCTACACGACCTCCATAAATTGCATTTTCAAACAAGCCATGAACAAATTCCCACTGAAAATCTTTGGAACCTATGAATTAATTAATTAGTATTAGTTTTGTATCACTGAATAGCATTGCATTATAAGCATTTCTTCTTGCCACTGCAGTTCTTCAGGGTAATATGAAGAGATGAACACATCAAATAATTAAGTTTTGATTTTTCTTCTATATGACCAAATAGTAAAAGCTGCAGGAACTTGAAAGAGTTTGTAAATATCTGGCATTGAAAAAACGAACACTTAGTGTGTTGCAAATGAATTATTAGAAATTTTGCTTTAGACTTGAAATGCTTTTTGAACTAATTGGTTATACGCATTTCAGAAATTAGGCTATTAAAACATTCATGTTGTGCTCCTTTGTCATAAATAAAATTTTATACACTATTTTCTACCATGGTACCATCGGATTGATTAAACCAAAAGCAGATCATGCTCCAAATAGGAAAGATTACTGGAAATGTCATCTTTCAAACACAACGAGGTCCAAGACAGATATTTTGCAAATAATTACATAGCAAATAAATCTAAGCATGTTAATAATAATTTCCTGGTCAGATTGATGTTGTGTTAGACTACTCTGACCCAGCTACATCCCACAAGTTCAAAGTAACTTATTTTCCCTCCATTCTATCATTGCTGCCCAAAATAACTGCAATGATCTCCTTGTGTCCTACAGCTTTCATGTGCAGATTGAAAGCTTGATCAGAAAGGTACTCCCTAAAGTCCCTTAAAATAGGGAAGTGGCAATTTCTTTAAGTGACGGTTTACTGGTGGTAATTATTGTATCCCAATGCTTCAATCATTCCTTCAAAAGAAAAGATTTTTTCATAGTAATAATCAATGATTATCATTGACAGTTAATGATTCAATTTCTTTAACTCTTTGTGTGGTTCAAATCTGCACAACTAAGGTCTGATTTCAGAATTACTAACCATCCACAAATCCCATCTAAGTCAATGATCATAAATTATCTCTACATATCGGTTCCTAACTTTACTTTGAAATTGTACAAAATGCAAGGAGTAAAAAAAAAATTACCTTTATCCTGTTAACTAATATTAGAAGTTCCTACACTGGTTAACAGAACAATGAAGTGGGATCTATTTGATACTGAGTTTCAAAATGAAGAATTCTTTCATATTCAATTCACAGTTAATCCATTTATTCAATATTTAGTGGAACTCACACCGAGAAGGAATGGACACACAAGATTTCATTTTACAGGCAGCCCTGTATTTCCTATTTCTTCCTCTGGACTCAAGAAGCTGAGCAGCACACTCCCTTGTCACCAAGAATTATTGGTTTACCCAAACACCCAAAAATGGATTTATGATTCACTCTGTTCTACTAGTTTTGCTTACTGACAATGAGCTCTACAGCATCCCCCTTTTATATGAGTGTTATAGAAAGACAAAGCCCTTCATGCAACATCCCTACTAATGGGACTTTCCTTAAGAAGTGACTTACCTTCAAAGAGTCCATCAATAATGTCAAAACCAGCACGAAGATCAGACAAAGAAAATTCATAAAACTTGGTCCAACCCTATCATGAAAAGAAATCCAAAGAATTTAATTAGTGATCATTTAATCAGGGATGATCATGAAGTAAAATACCAGTATCAAAAGGTTACTGAATGCTGTATAATACTTAAGGAAAAAAGAAATAACCTGTGTCCTCTAAAGTGCATTTTTTAAAAGATTCAATAGAGGTAGTATAAAAAAAATCAGTTGTAACAATTCATTTAATTTATATACTTACAAAAACCAGAATCCATTGAGTATGAAAAATATAAACTTAAGATTATTTTATTTCCTATCAATATTTACTTCAACTAAAACTTGCTGACATCTAAGACTAGATCATACATTGAAATACAATTTTTTATTTCTGAGAACATTTTTGTATTTCAGTACACAGACAGGATTTTCATAAACAGGAATGATTCTTCAGACACCGTCTTAAAAATACTCCCATCACCTTGCTCCTTAATTCATGTCACTTCTTGTCTGACCAAAAAAATTATCAATTACTGCTACTATTACCATAAAAATGCTGATCACCATATGCATATTTCAATCATTTGCCCTTTGTACCTTCTTTTTGTTCTTGGGGCATTCGTTTTTATGTAGCAGGAATGCATACTGTGTATATAATTCTCACAAAAAGCTTTCAGTGTAAATAAATACTGATATATGGGAAATCATTTAGGAAATTCAGATTTCCTAAATGGTATATCCTATTGCTCTATCTTTTTACAGTGTACTTTGCATATGGATGATATCATAGCAACAGTGCACATGATTCATGATGAGAAATGCAGATGTGTCAGCAACATGCACATGGTCCAGTGAGATGAATACAGCCTGCAGATGACAAAAAACTATCAGCCAGCCACCCTGAAGGTCATATTCTGGAAAGATGCTCCTAACAGTACCATGCTGGGGTTTTTGGGCAGATCTATACATGAACCCAAAACAACTCAAAATTCATTATAAAATGCAAGGGCTTCTACCTGAGATTAGCTATTGTCCATCAATATTAGAAACTGGTAATCATGAAATATAAACACATCAGTGTATGCACATTTGTGCAGTGGAATTAAAGAGAGCACCAATCCCATCTTGTGTTACTTGAAAAACTGGTGCCAAATGAACATGATTTTGAACAAGCACAAAGGAGAATTCATTCAGTTTAACACTTAAATTATTTTCACCTATTGTACTTCTTGAACACCATATTCAAAAGCCTGTCACTGCAACAGACAACCAACCTTAAAAAATCACAAAGTCAAAACTAGAAAAAAACTCCCAAACATTCCAAACTGTGCGAGATCAAATCCTTCAGATGACAGAGTAATTTCATATCTAGTCTATATAGAATAAAAGAAACAAGACATAAAACAGTTTTCTTTTTGGTGTTTGTTTTGGTCTGTTTAATTTAAACATCTTGCAGCCAGAAAAAAAAATGTTCACTTTAATGAAAAATCTAGCTAAGGCAAAAACTCTGAAAATCATTATAATCTTTACAAGAAATTAATGATTTCCTTTGTTCTTCCTTCTCCTTGAAGGAGTTTGCATGAAGAAATTGCAGACAATGTAATCTCCTCCTCCCCTCCAGTGTATCTTTACATTCAATTGTGCTTCCATAATATTTTTGCCTGTCCCATGCAAACAGGATTCACAGAATCTTTCCCACACTTCTGTAGCAGTATCACTTAGTCCATGAATCACAAAATAACCCCATGCAGGCAGAAGCAATTTTCAGAGGGACAGGAACTAAGTTTACCAGGATCTTATTTTGCAATTAATTCAGAGACAATAAAGGCACCAGAAATATCCAAGTTTTTCTCATTTCTGAATATGACCCAACATATACGTGATGAAAAATACTTCCGACTATGAAAGCTAATAAATGGGGCAAATTTTTTTCAATATAGCAAATAAATAGCTACCTGAGGGATATAATTTCTTCTTTCTTGGCATACAGCATGAAACCATGCTAAACAGAAGAGAGAATGTGCTCTAGACAAATTTCCCTTTTTGTTGATTTGCTCTGGTGTCCAAGATTCATAAGTTCGCAAGAGATTTTTTTTGAGGCCTGGAGGTGCCTGCATTGGAAGGAAAAACACTGTTCAAGACAGAAAACTTGGTACTTTTATGTACTATTTTCTTAGATTATAACCTGAAATTTGTAACTTAATTAAATGACAAACAGTGCTTAATAGAATAAAATTTAACAAGAAAAAAATGTTTGTAATAAATGGTCTAACAACAGAATGATTCTACAGTGAACACAACTTCAACACACTGAAGGAAATGGTAACCAGGTAAGCAGGATCAATTTATAGGACTGTACTACACTAAAGAACTTAGTGAAACCACAGTACTCTATGAAAATACATCATCATAAAGTAAATTCAATTGTTTTCAATCAAAAGAACTTTATTCTGATTTTACAACCTCAACTACCAATTATTTCTGTGATGTGATGAATGTCAAATTGCCTTATGCCATCCTTACACTCTGTTAGCCAGCATATAAGTATGGTATGTATCTTCATTGGTAACATTCTACATACATTGGAACATACTACAACCATACAATAATCAAATACCATTTGCCAAGTCATTGCCTATCATGTAGGTGACAAAATATTAACTGCAATTGGAAAGGGAAAAAAAATTAGAATATTGCATTTGTGCAAAGCTCTAATTATTCCAAAGACAGTGGAATGAGTAACACAGTCCTGCAGTTTCTGTACCATTGAAGACCTCAGTACAAGCAAAAAGGTGCTGCAAAAACTTTAAAATACTTGCAGTCAATGTAAAAGTGTAAGTATTTCAGCTTGTTGAAAGTCGGCAACATTGGACTCTTAAAGGTCAACGTTTCCTAGATCAGCTGCAGGCAAAATCTCCACACTCCATTATCAATGGAAGATTTAGGAGCACTCCTACTAATGATTTTCATTTTGGACATCACTGCTTAAGTGCATTCATGATTAGACTACTTTTCAATCAGTTGGAGGAACACGGTCCCAGTTATTTTTTAAGCTGAGTCATTTGAAATGCAAAGTTCTCAATTTTGAGTAAAGGCTCTTAAATGTATGTTCTGCTGTATGGAAGAAGAGCCTTTTTTTTTTTTTTTTTTTAAAGAGTCCAGTGAATATAAAGCTCTAAGCCAAAAAGGAAAATAAGAAAGAGAAAGTGGAATTCTGTGATCTTCAGATGAGGCTATTCATCAAGGAGAAATGCCTTGTTTTCCATCTACGTAACAACACTTGTGTAGATTTTTGTTTTTAAGAAAAAGTGATTAAATGCACAAAGTAATCTGCAGCACAAAACAGAACAGCTAGTTCTCCTATGTAAACTTATTTTCAGTTCATACTTACAATTTAAAAAGCATCTAGAAAAAAATCATCTTTCAAGGTAAACCCATATTTTTGTATTACATGTAATTGAAATATAAGGTAAAACCATTTATACTATCTAAACATATAGTTTGCTATACATCAAGGTTCATTCAACATAACAATCTAATAAAAGCTTTTCAAACAGATCTTACTTCATAAGTTATTTTCAGACTTGACTGAAGCAAAATTGGAGTAAACTTTGGATGAACTTCCGTAGTAAGCCAAAGACGAAAGTTTGGTTGAGGATGTAATGTATTCAGCTCCTATTAAAGAGATGTTATATATTGAAATTGGCTTTGAGATGATTGGGGGGGGTTTTATACATAGAACAGTATTTACAAAATTACAATATCCTGGATTAGAAAGTTAGGTTTATCTAAAAAATCGACAGTTGCTTATACACATAAGGTTATAGTTCAAGATGTGTTGCCTCCGCACATTCTATATCATTGCCATGCTCAAATGTGAAGTTCATCCTAGCTGTGTCAAATATTTTCACCTTTTTCTTAGATACTAAATTCAGGACATAAAAATATACAGCAGTTCTTTACTTCTTTTAAGTACAATAACACCAGAAGGCTACATCAAAAATGATGAAGGCTTGCAATGTGGGCTGCATATCAACAAGAGATCGCAATGACTTTCAACACCAGAATAGCTATATTAATTTATTTTTCTTCAAGTATTTGTTGTATAAGCCCTTCATGTATCATGATTCACAGAATACCGAGGATTGGAAAATTGAGTTCTAAGAGAAATACTGTCAAGAGTTATTTCAAATATAAAGGCTTCACAAAAATATATAATTATTGAATATATGGAAACACACTACTGGCGCTTTACACTCAGTTGAAACCCACACATTTGTCATTAAAGACACCAAAGTTGCCTGACAAGTGGTTTCAGAAAAAAGTCAACAGTTCTGTCTATGTGTGTTGGAAGAAACTTAGTTCAGAATCCTCTTGAAAGACTTTCTCACAAGCCACTCATTCTGATAATCTCTAGAACATAATTATTATAATTTTGTTTTCAGTGTTTTTAATAACGAAATAATCTGAAAAACCATTACTTGTTCAGCTGTTTAAATAAAATGACAACTATAAGTGGTACATGGTATAACAGAATCGTGAAGCTTGGAAGGAACCACCAGAGACTGCCCAGTTCAACTCTGTGCTCAAAGCAGAGGCAGATACAAGTTGCCCAGACCTGGAGCCAGTCAGGTTTTCAGTATCTCCAAGGATGGAGACTCAGCAGCTTCTCTAGACATCCTGTTTTGTTGTTTGACCACCCTCACATTAAAAAAATTTTATCATATATTTAAATAGTATTTCCTGTATTTTAGTTTATGCCCATGGCCTCTTGTCCTGTCATGGGATACCACTGAAAAGGGTCTGACTCCATCTCCTTTACTCTTTTCCATCAGCCAATACACAAAATACTACGATTCCCCATGAAGCTTCTCTTTCCCAGGGCTGAATAGTCCCAGTACTCTCTGTTTCTCTTTGTAGGATACATGCACCAGTTCCTTCATCACCTTTGCAGCCCTTTACAGAAGTGGCTCCAGTATGCCCATGTCTCTCTTGCACTGGCTAGCCAAGTAGTGGACACAGAATTCCAGGTGTGTCTCACCAGTGCTGAGGGGAAGGACGACCTTCCTCCACCTGCTGACAACACTGCCTAAAACCCAGGATGCCCAGGATGCCAGTGGTCTTCACTGCAATGTCATTTTGCTGGCTCATGGTCCCCTTCTTACCCACCAGGACTCCCAGATCTTTTCTGCCAAGCTGTTTTTCAGTCAGTTTGTTCCCAGACTGTTTGAGTGGCTGGAGTTACTCCTTCTCATGGGAAGCACCTGCCAGCTCCCTTTACTGACCTTCACAAGGTTCTTGTCAGCCTATTTCTCCAGTCTATCAAGGTCCTTTTGAATAAAAGTACTCCTATCTGTTACATCAACCATTTCCCTCAGGTTTTTTATCATCTCTGTTTGCTGAGGGTGCACTTTGTTCCATTATTCACCTCACTAATTAGGATGTTAAACAATGTTGGCCACAGTATCAATGCCTAGAGCACAATGCTGATGACTGGCTCATCCAACTGGACTTTGTGATGCTGAAAGCAACTCTTTGAGTAACACAATTAGGCCAGTTTTCAATCTACCTCACTGTGGTACACTTGGGTCCATATTGAAAGACTGTGAGAACTGAATTTCTGTATCTGGATGGAACTGACTTATGAATATGCATCAGTCTCTTGAGAGGATGTTCAAATGTAAGAATTACACAGTCTCACACTTGCTAATGGCATGCAAAACAGGCAAGGGGATGTGCAGAGTCAAACATCAGCAGATCTTAGTCTATATTAAGCTCAGGAAGAAGTTTAACACATTCAGTATTACATTCATGTGGAAAGAATAAGACCCTCCTGACACAAATCCATATTTTAATACTTACAAGATCTGAAATTTCATATTCAGCAAGGAGCTTACAAACATTTCATTACTGTTGACTGCCTTGTTCAGACTACATGACACACACATCAGTGTTATCTTGCTTTGCCTTTCCATTTGTTCAGAATGGATTAGAGGAATGCTGAAGGTACGTGCCACATGGTTACTGTGAGACAAATGACAGACTCCAAGCTCATGTCCATGGACTATGCTTCACAAAAATCATTGAAAATTGGAAAGTAACTGTTGAAGAAATTACATTATTTTCTTCTGACCTTATTTGTTTTGAGGATTTCATGGTGATGTACATGAAAAGTATATCATATAAAATCAATTTTAATTAGCAAGTTAGTGATTTTATATGCCATAAATTTGTGTTTCTATAAAATATGAGACATTTTAATTTCAAATTAGCAAAAACCTCCTAGTGACTGAGCCTGAGTCTGCATTTCAAAAAAAAAAAACAACACCAAAACCAAACAAAACAAAATAAAAAAAAAACCTTAAAAAAAGTCCTAGAACTAAGGGGGGAAAATTAAATTCAAGTATACATAGATTCATAGTTCATGAAAAAATATAGGTAGTATCCCATAAAATACCAGCAGTCCTAACTGCAGCATTTGCTCACTCATGTGGTAGAAATACTGTACCGTACATTGTATGAAAATTAAAGCACTCACACAAAGAAGGGAGCTGCTTAGATCTGAAGCAGTTCACCTTATTCACAACTGAGAAAACTACTTAAGTGTATTTTTAAACTGCAATTTTAAACATCAACATGGAATGCCTGAAATGCTTCTGAAATGTTGCATACTAATTTTGTCTCGTTTCCCATATAATCTTCATATATTTACCCTCACCTTCTCCAATACAGGAAGCCAAGATGTAACGAGATGCAGGTTCTTCAAACACAGCCATTCTCCATTCCGAGCACATTCTCTCAAAGTTTGAATAGCCAGGTCAGCTTGGCCCTGGCCCATGGCAATCTGAAATGGCAGACACAGTTGTATCAAGAATCTCTCATACCTTATTTAACAGTCAAATACAAAATCGTGTTTTCAAGTTAGGAATTTTTTAACATAGGTTAAAAAAAAGAGTGCTAAAGACAACCAGAATTTTCTCTAATGTGATAGGTTGCTAAAGTAGGAAAAGATTAAGGAAAACAAGTTTTTCTTTGCAACTTATCTAGCCAGTTCCTGTACAAATAACATTACCTAGTCTTTTAATGGAAAAAACCATACATCACTTGGTGACAGTGATCATATTCCCTAGGAAGTCAAAAAGTAATTTAAATAACAATGACTAAACTGCATTACTGCAGAACTGCAAAAATAAGAGCAAAATAAGAACTGTTTCTCTTGACTAGAAGTTAGAAGCACTTCCTTTGAAGAGAAATACTCGATTTTGCTGGGATATATTAATAGTTTGGTATATACTCCTTTCTTCACATTTTATAGTACCATATTAGTTCTACTTTAGAATCTATTTGGAAGATAAAGATAACAAAAAACCCTGAAACAAACAAGTTGAAAATAAAGAGGTTTTAGCCAATGTGAAAAGTCTTTTCTTGGCATTATGATTCTCTGACTAAGTAGAACTGAGCATAATATCTTAAAAGAATTGAAAATAGCCAGAAGAAGACAACTGAAAGTCACTAGCAATATAGTAGCAGAGGGCACAAATTTAGCACTCTTTTCTTTATCCCATGTGAGAAATATATCAAGAGAGAAGAAAATTCTATATTTTATGTTCTATTCAAATTACATGAGAAAGTGTAGGAAAAAATAACAAAAAATATTCTCATTAGTGTAACAACTTTCAGGTGATTTGAGTCCCAATCCTTAATTGAACACCATACTATGCCACATTTTTAAAGTCTAACATATAAAAGATATTTAGAGATAAATATGAAAGTCCATGTGGCAGAGTAAGAAATATGTGTTCTGCAATGTTCACAGCTAGATAAGATAGCAGTAGGATCTAAATATTTACTGTTTGATGGGAAAAATATATTATATCAGTTTATGTTCCAGTAAAGGAACAATTTCAAGGACTATTTAAAAGCAACATTAAACTTGACATTTTCCATTTCTATGCTAACCAGTTATCAGCTAGATAACAACTTTCCTCTTCTTAATATGTCAAATGACAGAAGGAAATAATATTTTTGAGAAAGTTATAAAGGATATTGGTACTGTGTATTGGGAATATCACGAAACCTCTTGATTCATATAATAATTTGAATTGGAATGGATCCTGGGAGGTATCTAGTCCAATCTCCAGCTCGAAGTAGGGCCAGGTATGAAAGATTAAATCAGGAGCTCAGAGCTTTGTCCAGTGCATTCTTGGAAACCCTTCAAGGATGTAAAATTTCTCAAAATATTTTACAGAATTTTACAAAATACCTAAGTATTAAAAAAACACTGAACACCTGACTTGTGTTTTCTATTGAAGAAAGAAGTGTGCAAGTCCTATAAGCAGAGGAAATGATGAAGTCTAGTTTTTAGTGGGTTTTGTTTGTTTCAATTACTCCACACCAAAAAAGATAATGCTGCAGCATGTATAACAATTCTCAGCCTCTTTTGTTCTTTTCCATCCATCTTCTCATTTTTCCTTCTCCACACTGGAGGAATGTCTCTTGTTTGGATTCTGCTTCTGTGAGCATGACTAATTGTGTGTCTCTTCTCCAGCCCATTTTGCCAGTGGAATGTGAAATAAGTATCAAGACAGGTAGGAACGACAAAACACCACAGACACCAATAATGATTTTACTTACTAACTTCCTTGGAAAACAAAGTAAAACAGATATTGCCACAGCAAAATTTTACACATTGTGTTTTTTAATCACCACACTTATCTAAGACTGACCTGATGGTAGCACTCAGTATTTCTTTCAACACTGGCAAGTTCCTGTAATTCTTGAGAAGGATCAGCACCAGGAGAAATTATTATCAAGATGGGCTCAATTTCCAGTGTCTCTTTATACAGACGTTTCATATTCAGAGGTGATGGAGATAATTCTTTTATTCCTATAATTAGAATTAGAATTATTATGGAAATAAAGTGACTACACATGATGGAGTGCTTCATTATCCACTCTAGAGTTCATCTGGTTTGAGAGTTCTGCTCAGCAGACACCATAAATCCAGTTTTAAAATGAAGAAAATATCGTTACAACATGCAGGTAGGTATAAGGCACCCCATATTGAGAAGAAAAGTATTTCTGGATTTCCAGCTTGACAAATTACAGTCTTTATTTAGAGTGTAGTCTTGAGGAAAACATACAAAAAGAGAGGAGTGGAATGAGAAGCTATGCCATTTGCTAAAAGTAATTGCAGTGTGTATGTCCACAAGCAGAACTTCTCTCTTTATTCCCTTGAGAGCCTTAATTATTCAACTTACACTGATCTCGGTACTATGATTACTTAAATCTTAAACATGATATTTGTTTTAATATACAACTTAAATGCCTAGAATGTTGACCTAGTAAAGGCTGAAGATACATGTATAAGTGTAAAATAAATTAAACAGTGTTAACCACATATTTTCATGCATCTTTAGACCAGCATTTAACCAGTGAAGCATTGGGTGCAACAGAAAATCACAACATACAGTAAGACAGAAGAGCCCAAATCAGTGACATCTATGCCACAACTACTAAAAGATGCAATACACTCTTCCTTGAGGATGCAGCCTGTTTTCAGACTTGAGCCATTGTATGTTGCACACAGAGCAATGCAATGATAATTTGTACCATAGAATCATGGAACAGTTTGTATTGGTACCTCAAAGATCATCTGGTTCCAATCGCCCACCATGGGCAGGGGTACTTTCCACCAGACCATGTTGCTCAGGGCCCTATCTAGCCTGGCCTTGAATGCTTCCAGGGATGGGGCATCCCCAGTTTCTCCGGACAATCTGTTCCAGTGCTTCGCTACTCTCAAAGGAAAGAACTTCATCCTAACAGAAATCTAAATCTACTCTCTTTCAGTTTGAAGTTGTTCCCCCTTGTCCTGTTACTACATGGTCTTGTAAGAAGTCCACCTCCAGCTTTCTTGTGCACTGGAAGGCTGTTACTATGGTGCATTTCTGTATAGCATGTAAAATAAAGAAAAAAAGCATGCTTCAGGTGTTACAAAATACATTCATAGAAAATTCTTATTAACATTATCCTCAAAAGAAATTATTTTACTCCCTCTTCATCCATAAATTTCAAAATATAGGTAAAAAGTGAGAAAAGGAAAAAAAATGTCTGGATAAAACATAATTGAAAGGCTTTCTTGTAAGATATACATCTCTTTTGGAATTCATTTTTTCTCACAGGAAAGCCGCCAAACAATACTGGAAACTTAATGGCTTCCTTTAGAACTATGTGAAACAGTTTGTTTAAGTTGTTTCAGGGCAAGGACACTCAAAAAGACAAGGTAGAAAAAAAACTATGAAAAAATATTCATACGAGCATGACATTTTTTATTGGTTAGAAAGTGATAATCAGGATTTCGCCGATCTCACTGACACGCATGAAAAATCTGTGGGTGATTTGTGGATGATTTACTGGTTTTGAAAACCCAAATGGAATCAATGGTATTCTGCTTTCCTTGGTGAGGCTGCAGCTTCACTCACCAAAAGCATTCCCTTGTGCAGCATTCCTCCAAGGAACCAGCCCCAACACAAGTAATTTATGTAATGCATTAAGATTTGGAAGAGAGTAAGCAAGCAAATAAATTTACTCTGCATTCAGGTCTCTGTGGATATTGAGCCACACACACTGCAGATCACTTTTGTCATTTGAGTCCAGCAGGCAGGGACATTGTCAGCATGGGCCATGTCACCATGACCAACATACCCTCTCTATCTATTAATAATGTTTGACAGATAAGCTATACCTTAATGCTGAAAATCCCAGTCTGGCTGACAGATATGGAGCCAATTTTAAGCAACAAATAATGTCCACAGACAGCATAAGGGAGTAAGATAAAGTGACTTTTAAAACTTACAGTGCTCACCCCGATGAGACACTCAAAACTGCTAATAACTGAAGGAAGGTTTTTGTGTGCTGTACCGCAATATTAAGATTATTTGGCATACAGGTTTCAAACTTTGGATATAATAGACTTGAGAGAGAAAACTGACTGACTAGGATAAATAGACAACTGTAGCAATGAACCACTCTCTAAATAATGTGTATTTTTAAACAGACAGTAAAAAGTATTACAGACCAAGAGTTCTACAAAAATGATTGATATGAAATACTCTTTTGAGAATCAATTTATAAAATCTCAAACCTAATGGTCTTTAAATGGTAAATTACATAAAATAATATTTATGGAAAATCTGAGTCTTAAGGAGATTGATGCAGTGCAAAACTTTGAGAAAACAAGTTATCTTCCTTTCTTGATTACTCCAGTGTTCAAGAATTAATTAAAAGAATTTGACAGATCTTTTTATTATATTTTCAATCACTGTACATAATAAACCAAGTGATTTTAAATGCACTTTTAAGAATATTTTACAAGAACAAAATCAGCAAACCACATACAGCATATTTTCATATGCTAAAACTTAGGAATTCCATAAGAACTATAATATAAAAGAGAAACATAGGACTAAAAATGCCATGTAATTGTTGTGCAGAAATACCCTGGTGAAAATTTAACTTACCTAGGGTTTTACACGCAAAAAGAGCCATGGCACTCTGTAGTCTGTCTGGTCTGACAGCCTGGACCACAAGTACCTTAAAATAAAATATGTTCAGCAGAGATGAGTTGATAAAAGTGTATAGTGATAATTTAAAATGCAGGATGGATGAATGATGGAAGGATGAAAAGGATGAATTCTTTGAATTCATCTTCAGAACAAAGTTATTTTCTCTGAATATATAGAGCTAAATGATCATTCCTTTTCAAGATCATCAACTGTAATTGTTCTTTTGTATGTAGCTTGTTCTATCAATAGAATCAGAAGATAGATCTATACCTAATGTCTACTTGTAAGCTACAAACTTTTCTACAATATTTTAGAAGGAAAGTAGCTATGTGGGTAGCTAGAATGACAGAAAGCACACTTAGCTTTATACTAGCATCTAAATTCTGTGCACATATATAGGCAACAATGTCCTACTTGAAACAGAAATATTTCTGGTTTCAGTTCAAACTAATTTATGAGCAGCACATCAATCTAAAAATGTAGTTTCAATATATTTGATAAACAGAAAATTCTTAATACTTTCTGTACAAGAAACAAGATGCACTGAACATTCCAGATTTACTTTCCTGTAAATACAGACATTTTGTGACAACACACTGCACACATAAGAAGTGGTCTTCAGCATTTCATTGAATTACATATGACTCAGACAAATTCCTTTCCAAAATGGTTTGCTCCTAAATTGCATGCATGCTATTGCAGAAATTTTCCTCTTCCACAGAAAACTCCAAATGGAACTACATTGTCTAACACCCCATCCTTTCTCTGGATGTTTTCATGTAAAGTAACTTCAAAAGAAAAATTACAGCATCATTTAAAAGTAATTAACAACATCTTTTTTTCATAAACACAGAAGTGACTATATTTTTCTTTTCCAGTGGAAAGCAACTCTCAGGTTGAAGAAGGAACTAGCTTTCCCCATATTCTTGGTGTGCTCTTTATCACCAGATTTTCAGAAGTCATTTTTCATTTCTTCTATTCTACAGAAGCAGAGGCTGTTACTGTATTTTGTGTCAGATGTGTGAGTTTGCACATTCAGTTAAGTAAGATGCTCAACAAGCTGACACATCCAGCAGTAACAAAGCAACCATGAAAGAATTTTAATACCTATTCATAAAATTAATTCTGTGCATATTTCTAAAGAACTTGTTACCTTAGAGAGTGTACTCAGTTGCAGCTAATATATCAACACTAAAAAGACTCAGATGACAGAGAAATAATATGCACTACAGTAAAAAAATTATAGAATTCTCAGATTAAGAAAATTAGTTAAACTGCAGGACAGTGTAGATACTGTCACTGCTTATAATTCAACCAGGCCTGTATGTAAAATTTACTTTCACTGCTGAACTCACAATTAATATTACAAATCGAAAGATTACCTGCTGAAACAACGAAATTCTTTTTACAACAGGAGATGGAAAGTCTTGTTCACATACAGAGCTCTGAGAAAAAGTGCGCCACAGACTTTCATCTTCAAAGCAAAGTGTCTGATAGAGACCTGGGAGAGAAACCTATAAAACAAATAGTGTAGATTTAACTGTAAAGAAGAACAGCCATTTGGGCATTGTATGTTTTCATTTATTTCCAAATATGACTACAACCACTACTGTGCAAATCACAAAATTCAATTTTATCCTTGGAGTTAGAGAAGAAAAGAGTACATTTTAAAATTAACCACTTGTTTACCTATTCCCTGGAAAGACTAAATCTATATTTGTGTTATAATTTTAGTTTTAAACCTTAAGGTTCTTTGATTTTAAACTTTGGGCTTTACCTTTAAGCCCTTTCCTCTAAATATGATCTGCTATCTGCTATCAGTAATGGTTTGCTATCAGAGCATGCTACTGATTCATTCAGTTACTCAATTTCTGTTTATTTGTTTAAACCTCTAACTATAATGCTTGCCACACCATTATTGTGATTGCTCCCGATTCCTGGTTGAAGAGAAATTAAATAGTGAACTTTAGGTTAAGCAAAAGAAGTCTTTGCCAAAGAACAGTCAAGGTTTTTTTCCTTGCTGCTGAGCTACATGCAGGAGGAGAAGAGGATAAGACAGAATTTCAGGACTAATATTTTCCTTTAGTTCCCTTCAGGATCAAAGGACTTTAACATTGACCAATGCAAGGAAGAGTTTCTGTTTTAGTTCAGTCTGAGCAATCACAAACTCTAAAACACCTACAAAGATGTACAGAGAAATCTGATGAGGAGAATATTAATTTCTGAACAGTTTATGACTTTTAGTACAAAATTATTTGTGAAAGTCATTACACTAGTGAAATCTACAACTGAATATTGTTTGTAATTTTTCTTCTATTATCCTAGCTATAAAAATTGTAGAACTCGGATAGATTTGCAGTATTTTCTAATCTCAGTAAGATGGCAGGTTCACTCACATGCATTGAAATTCATTATAGATGGGGTAGAAATGTTCATGAAAAAGGCTCAGAAAAATGAGATTAAAATAAAAACAAAAAACACCTTTGGTTTTTTTAGGTGACTATATATTAAGCCACAGTTTCTGGAAGATAGAATAAACAGCTTAAAACAACAAAATCTTTTGACCTGACAAATACATATATGAGTATTCAAGTCCAAATTGCCATCTGCCAAAACCAAAGTTCTTTAAATTTAAATTCAAGAGACCACATGATGTATACCTTCAAAGATGCTACTGCCCAGACTCGGTCCTGTTCTATCCAAGAGGGAACCTGGTCACGAGCGCTTCTTTGTGAATCCTTAAGGAAGCAAGTTATATCACACATGTAAGCTACACAATCTTTTATGAAACACTATATTCAGTAATAAGACTGTGAAACCCATGTTTTTTAATGACATTCACAACAGAAATCTTTCTGTGACCTTTTGCTAAATTCATAAATGGTATAACAAAAAAAGCTACCAAAATATTTAAATATGAGACATACTGTTCACATTAACACTTGCTTAGCTACTTTAGCCTGAAAATACTTTACCCATTTAGAGCATCCTTATGACACACTCAATTCTAACTAATTTTTTTTACTAAAAACAACTGACACAAATGATTGGCTATCAGCATAGGCACTCTGAGAAACTGGCTTCAAAAAAACAACTCCATTGCACATATTTGCAATCATGAAGATGGTTCTTCACACAAAGAGCAAAACACCATTTCTGAGCATCTCTGCACTGGTTATTTGGCCACAGCTCTATTTTTCTGCTCTTTAGATGTCTGGCATGGAGGAAGTTCTAAGGATGAACAACACTGCTTAAGCTCCAGTGGAATTTCTGTATTCACTATATCATCTGTTATTAAAAGATCTCACAGTACACATTAACTGGTCTGAGGAGTCCCTGCATGGAAATGTATTTGGATCTTTCAAGGAGTGAGCAACTTTAAGAGTAATTTGAAATGCTCAGCAGAGAAAAACAGAAGCTTTCTTGTGAAAGAGTATCTCAGCCATGAGTAACAAAGTCTGAGAAAGAACAAAACTAAGAAATTTGGAAGCCATTGTAGAAATAAATTTGACATGAGTCTGCAGTATACATTTCATTTGGGCTGAAGGGCACACAAGCACAATCCTTCCAAAACCTATGGATTGTGCCTTAGGTAGGGTAGAGGTAAGACTGGTATTAAATTCCATTATGCAATCAGATCTCACATTCCTTGAAAATGGCCTACAGCAAGAAATACTTGACAATCACTCAGCTCACAGACATTTAACTGAATTACAGTGACTCCAGACACATAAAGGGGGACTTCTGCAGTCACACTGAAATGCAAAGCCTGCAGTTGAGCCATCTAATGGCTAGAGAAACTGCATTTCAAGGATCAATTTAGCAACCAGATGCCTGAGAAAAACTACAAAAAGTACAACTCATACATGACTCTGGGAGAAGGAGGGATTCAGAAATACTGATTTTAATTAGAGAAGAGGGCTGAAAACCTCCTCAAACATGCAATTTCAAATTGCCATCCTGATCATAGGAAAAAAAAAAAAAAAACAAAGGCAAAAAGAAATTCAAATTAAAAAGCTACTTGCCATATTCAAAAATTCTTTAATAAATTTATACCTTTATATTACTATGTGAAAAGTACTTTTATCTTTAATGTATGAACACAATTAATTAAACAACATGGTAAGAATAAAACTTTAACTTGTCAGGATTAAAGTAAGTATTCCTTGTTTCAAAATACGAAAATAAATGTAGCTTACTGATTTTCTGATGGTGTCTCCAATGATCACACCTGTAAAAGTCTCCCATTCCTGGATGGAATAAATGAACAACTCAGATAAGTCACAAGACACCTTTAAGAACTAAGATTAATATGTAGTAGCATGTAGGCAGAGCAGGAAGATAAACAAATTAAATGCTAGATTCTGAAAGAGTTTCAAGACATTTTTAAATGGTAGATGATGCTACCAGAATGTAATTCCTTTTGCAGAATCCAAGCTAAGTGGCTGTAGTGCTTTATAAGAAAAAGAAGCAAAGGGGAAGTTCTATACTTTCTCAGCACCCACAGTTCCTACCCAGACTGTTCATCTACAGACTATCAGGAAACAACAAATGTGGCTGGCAAGGACACACATCCAGCCTGGTGGGACATCAGCAGCCCACACAGAACAGATAACTATAGAAAGCATGATTGAATTTATGTATGATTAAAACTTTTAGACTTTGTATATGTATCCAGGAAGACAATTTTAAATAATTTTAAACCAGATTAGGCAAGTATTTAAAACCACTAGAAATGACATAATCCTATATTTGGAAGTGGCAAGAAACAGACCAAAAATTCTTTCATAAGTGAAATTTTCCATAAATAATTTCTATATTCTATAATGAAGATTTTTTTATTAAAGACAATATTAACATTAAAAATTTAGAAGTTAATTAACTAAGAGTAATACTGATGATACAAACCCCAGCATAGTTCTTTGCACCCATCAGTCTCACTGTGTCTTGAAACAACTCACTCTTTCAGCTACAAACTTGAGTGTCTTGAAACAACATAGTTCTTTCAGTCTCACTGTGTCTTGAAACAACTCACTCTTTCAGCTACAAACTTGATGCTCATCTCCCAGTTACAAAGAAAATGCTTGTGCACACAAAAATGCATGGAGTATTTTTTGGTTTGTGCAATAGTGTTATGAAGAAAAGAAGAAGGACAATATACAGGGAATATAAAACTACCTCAGAAAAATCTATACATATTGATTCTGAAAGAGAATGTCCCTACTGAGAACCAAGGCATTCTATAGAACATTGTTGAAGTTGTACTATAAATTCCATATCGCTATGCAAAAAAATATTCAAGTGCAGAAGGTTCAATTATTTTGGGACAGGGACTTAGAATACTAAATGCTTTAGCAGCATATTAAGCAATTCCTAGTCTCATCATTTAAAAGCTTTAGAAGAAATAATTTTTAAAGAATAACCACTTCAGCTTCATTTTCTTCACTAAATATTTTGTACAAGCACACTTCTCTTAACAATTTAATGAAAATAAATTTTACCTTTCAGAGAAGTAAAAAAATTATTGATACTATTTGCCTGTTCTCTCTCTTGAGTATTCAGATACTGTAGAAATATGCATTATATATGACCTAGATTAAGCTGTCTAAGAGCTATAATAGTTGATGGAAATGCATGCTAAACAACAGAAACCAACACTTAAGGCTGTACTTTATAAACACAAAGCCAGGACTTAATTTAGTCAGAAAACTATTTGCAGGTTGCTGCCTTCATGACTTTAGAAACTCAAGAAAGATAAAGCAAGATATTTTCAGAAGCTCAAATCAAATAATAAATATCAAATAGCAAACTTTGGATAATGAAGAGCAGCCAAGATAAACTTCTGCTAAGAAGATGAGTTATTTCTATGAGGCCACATCATTGCTGAAAAACTGGGATTTCACTTTGTCAATCCATATGTTTACCATGAAACAACTCCTTCATCTGAGGACTCCACAGATTTTTTGAACCTTGTACCTTAAGCTCACATATTTCATATAATAAAGTTTCAATAATTTCATATAATCACGTTTACTTCCTTCAAATATATGATCTGATTTTTATCTCTATAATGGACTCTCCTCTATTGAACTGACATCTACTACCATTTGATGTCCCTTCTCGTCTCCAGCTTCTAGTACAGAAAGCCATAGATTTGTCTCTCCATTTCATGGAGGTACTTTAGATAATTAAATGTGCCTTGACTCAGGATAATCAGCCACGTTTAACCAATTGTGTTAAGTCAATTATGCATACTGATTCACTGCAGGCAGACTTTATAGGATTAATCTGACTACACTACAGAAAACTACAACTAAGTCCTACACTTACTGACAAAAACTTTTTATCTGCTTATTTACTCTTCATAATAAATTTGAGTAAAATACTTGGGCATTTTCTTCTTTAGCACTTACATTCTCTTGAAAAAGCTCAGGGTGCATTCCTCGTACAAAATGTAGTGCAAACATCAGCTGATCAGCCTGAAATAAAAACAGTAAAAGTGTATTTATATACTCAGGAAAAGTTCTATTTAAAAGTAACATTTCTTTTAAAAAACACTTCCAATTCCATAATAATGACTTAGTGACATATATCATAATGCAAATTTGCTACATCCCTTTGCAAGTTAGAGACAAAAACTACCTTAAAGTGGGCTGCAAAGTGAAAGGTAATGAGGCCCCTACTAGGAATTAGAATCAAGTTTTGCAAGGCACTGAAGTTCTCATTTTATTGATAAATATGAACATCATATGACATTGAGAACAAACCACACCATTTAACTTTTTCATCTTCTCAGACAAGGTCTGCAAGCAAATCCATAACACAACTGCATATTAGGCTGCTCCCTGGATGATCTAGTATCCAAAATTTGAACGAGAATTATTTAGAATACTAAGTAGCCTAGACCAAAGCAGCTCTGACAAATTAGAGAGGAAAGATGGGCCAGTTCAAGCACTCAGGAAAATTTCTTGGCACCACGTCATTTAGCAGCATTAATGAAGCCTATGTGCACATAAATAATATCCACAGACAGACAAAATCCTTTTTCTTGATTCCAGCATCCTCCAAAGGGAATGAAGTCGTATCAGCTATAGCATTTATGAAGACACTAGTAAAGCCTCAGTGTCACAGCAGTCTTTACAAATTTTCATGGATAAAAGGCAGAATTAGCAGTGAATTGTGGATGGTGTGAAGAGTTTATTTGTGCTGTCCAGTATTAGAACACAATAGTAAACTGGAGGAACCATTAGTTTGAAGCTGCACAGTTAACACATTTTCAGTATTTTCTAAGCTCTAGTCTGATTACACTTAAAATCTTTCCTACTAGAAATCTCTTCTCTGTCTTGCATTTGAACTCTCTACTTTTTTCTTACATATAAAAATTGCTGCCTTCCACATTCACAAGGTGTAATAACTTAGCGGAAGGCTTCACATACTTATGACTTCAAGACAAACATTAATTATTATGAGACTATTTCATGAGACTCCACTTGGGCTTTGATAAACAAAACTCCTTAGAAAGAAATGCTACCCCTCAATACAGCATTGCTAGACTGGGGGACAGGTGTAGAAGGTGGTGTACAATTTTCAACATCTTTCAATTTTACAATTTTCAACATTTTCAACAAACCCACTTCTGTTTCTTTTTTTAAAAAAAAAACAAACAAAAATACAAAAAAACCTGCCAAATAATCACACAAAACCATATCTTTAGGAATGCAAGGAATAAAAGCAAACAGAAAATGAGTGCTCAGAAGAATGCAAAGCCCATGACTGACTCTGAAGCCAGAATGAGGCAGAGAGGTAGAGCTCTGTGGAGGAAGGTGCATCAGCAATATTAATTTGGTCATACACTGATTTTAAGTCTGCATTTAGCATGTTAATTACTAATAGTGTAATGTTTTGCATCTATTACACAATACTGCTTATTCGAAATAGATCAAGTATGAGCTGCTGAAAGAAAACTTTCAAACCCAGTGCACTGTATAAAAGCCAGAAAAAATACAATCTTACCTTAAACAAACAACGACAAACATATTCATACACTGTATGTTTCAATGAGTCAATAAGCAACTTGATTCTTTCCTCAGTATTACCTGAATCCTAAAAAAGAAATTTCAGATTTCAAAAATTCCTGTGGCAGTAAAAAACTTTCCACGTACTTTGTAAATTTCAGCAAAATAACACAAATAATCTGGACTTTACATGTTACTTTACTAGTTCTAAAACCATATTAAATTCAACTGCAGCTATCAATGATTAAATGGGACATTCATGCTGAAGTATTAAGAAATTTATTGAATGTTTTGACTATGAACATGATATAACTTTGCATATAAGGAGAAATACATTAAGAATGAGAGTACATTTCCTTCTCCTAACATTAGTATCATTAAAATCTCATCATTTTCACTTGATAAAAATTGCTTATTAACTGAATTACTACATTTAATACTACTAAACAAGTATGTTGATCTTAAGTGTAGTTATTAAACTTCTGGTCAAATTTGGCCCAACTGGAAGGAACATTGTAAAAAATAGTAAGTGTACACTGTCCTTCAAAGCTCATAGATTGAAAGACTAATTCTAACAGGGAAAAATTTGAAAGACAGGACAAAAGAAGAAAGGAACTGGGGGGTAGGGAGTGTGTTAGAGGTAGTATGACTTCCTTTCTACCATGCTGGAATTTGAAGAGACGAGTTTAAGAAGGGCAGTTGTGTAATTGATTTGCCTAATACCTTTCCCATGTCTAATAGATTTTGTGGCATGAGAAATTGGATAGAGGAGAAGGAAAAAAGGCAAGCAATGACGGCAAAACCAGAAGCTGGGCTTTAAATAGGTAACATTATAGGCAAAAAAAAAATTATGAAGGAGTGTGAGAACAAGAACAAGAAGCTAAAACATCATGTTGTGAAAAAGAAGTAATAGGAACTTCAAAGAGGGCCAGTTCACATAGTCAGAACTGTGTTCCTAGTAATGACTGGAGCTGAAGGAGAGCTGTAATCACAGATGCCAGAACAAAGGGGAATCGAAAGGAAACACGATGAAAGGCTGGTGAATGACTTTCTAAGTAAAAACAAAGAGAAATATGAAGAATTTTGGAGATGCTTAATAAAAAGAAAATGCACTATTACTCAGCATGGGTATTTTGATCTAAGGAGTGAGGTGACAATAGATAAATCCATTATTTGCTACAATAAGAATATACTGGCCTAAGAATACAGAAGAATAAAAAATACATTTTAAACAGGACAAGCTGCAGGCATGCTTACAAACTGTAAAAAAAGTAGATAAAGTTATGACCTTCCTTCGGGTTAAATGAACCATGTAGAAATAGAGGTATTTCCTTATTCTACCCCTTGCTGATAAAATTAGCTTTATTAGCATTTTAAATCATGAATTTATTTAAATAAAGCCTTCTTCAGTAAACTTATAATCAGCCTTTGTTTTCCTAAATCACCGTAGACAAATAACAAGCCTGAAATCAGAAAGAGTTACTTTGTTTTCAGATGGTAGAGAAATTCTGTGATTTATATACAACATAATTTAGAAGTCCACGTGCCTGTATTCTGAACATCTAAAGCACAACAGGTCAGCATCACTACTTATTATACACTTCATCATCAGTTTTTCTAGTTTGTTTTTTTTTAAATGTCCAGAGTGACTAATAAATTCTAAGGATCAAAGCAGATGGACTCTTCTGCAGCTTCAGAAGAGCAAATACCTGCTCGCTTTGCAGAGCCCTTTGGAAAAGCCGCAGGAACGCCGCCAAACTAAAGCGGTACATATTATTAATTTTGGACAAGTCAGAGATAATGAAGTACATCTTGCTAGCACTCTCAGCCAAAGGGAGATAGGCATCCCTCTCCTGTGGAGAAAAACAACACACATTAAAAAGCCAGGTGCATTACTGCCACCTACTGATTACTGGATAAACATTTACTCAGCCCGCCAAGAAAATATTCCTAAGACTCCCACTGATTTAGAAAAGTGAATCCTTTCCAAGCCTTCAAACTGAGGGATCAGCACGACAGACTTCAACACTGTACTGAGATTTCAAAATTGGAAGAAAAAAGTTTTTAGCAAAAAATCCTTTAAATTATGAAGAACATGTTAGAAATTATTCCCTAGAGCATTAAGGTCTTTTCCACCACAGAACACATCCCAAAATTCAATGGGAAATTTTAAACTAAACAAATAGAACACAGAAGAAAACTCTGCAATCTGTCACAAAAACAGGATGTCAGATTAATAGCATCAACAATGGTCTAAACTTTCCCAGTAGCAAGGGGCATATTAAGCAAAAACACCCATATGAACTATAATGTTTGCAATAGTGGATGGCAAAAATAAAGTCAAAACCCATTACTTGCCAAAATTCCCTTAATTCAAACTGGCAGACTTCAAATTGTGTAACTACTCAGCATATACAAAACAAAGCATTTTAATTACTGAAAATACTGCATGTACTTGCATATCCAAAATATCATTTACCCAAAAAGAACTAATATAATATGTTACTCATCCTATAACCCCATGGATGTATGTATCAAATCTAGGTAAAAGATTATCATTTTTAGTAGGGGAAAAACAGTACTTAAAAGATTAAAATATTCTTCTACCTTATCAAGGAAGCTCTGAAGCCTGAAAGATTCAGCCAGTGATTCTTGGATGAGTGCACTGCTTGCTTTAGTTTGATTCAAAGATTCAATCAGATCCTTATTTTCTAGTATATTGCCTTGTGATGTTGCAAGTGTCTGGAAGAAGAAATTCATCTATGTTACATTTTAAGAAAATCCCATAAAGTAACCATTTTGGAAGCTACCTTTCTGATCTGTACGTATTTCTGAATCATTGAATGCATTTCAAGAGCTCTAGAAAACTGGTGGTTACTCCAAAAACTGAGATATTTTTTAAAGAAATATGGAAAATAGAGCTCCAGAACATATTCCAAAAATCCAGACTGCCATATTCTGAAACATAGGTTATCAGCAGGCTTTTGAGAATGATTTCTATGATCAGAGTCTTAGGCAATAATATTCCCACAGTAAATACAGATTAGGTATTTTTTTCTTGTGTTTAACTTCTCATTTAACCTGAAGTTAACTATTTGTAAAAACTTCCTGTACTCATTCATGAATTCATTTTCTTTCAAAAGCATTCCAGTTCTCATAAAACTCTCATCTCCAACTGAGATGAATATTCACATTACAACAATTTAAGTTTCATAATCAAAGACCACTTTAAAATCCTTGAGATTGCCCCACATTTTTCCTGAGTTCTCATCATTAAATTATGAGATAAAGCAATTAATCTCACTTCTAAGAAGTGGGAAAAGCTTGAATAGTTCATTTATATCTAAGGTTTTTACTAACTTCCAGTAAATACACATCAAGATATTTGTTTTGAAAACTGGCTGCTTGTTAGTCAAATCAGTTCTGAGCAACCACCTGTAGGACATCATTTTAGAATATCTGGAGGCACAGATTCACCAGTTAGAGTAGTAGAATGCACTTACTTCTCCACCTGAAACAAGTTTAGGACAAGATCACCTGCTTTTTCAGATAGTCCAGTTCATCCATGAAGAATCATACTGTGAGCTATGAGACAGCACCCATGTCTTTACTCTGAGGCTTTTAGAAGGAAATCAGTACAGTACTTGAGAGAGAATGGAAATGTTGCCTTAAGATTAACTTAAATTCAGCCAGATCTCATCCAACACTGACTTCTTTGTTAACGAAGTCCACCTGTCAGTTTCCACTGAGCCTTAGGTTTCTTTCTTCAGGGTCAAAGAATATCCTGACTTCAGGATAACTTGCTAACAAAAATTCCAAAACTGAAATCAGCCTTGCTGTTACTACTCAGATGCTTTCTGTTGCAGATATCTTAGGCATCAATTTCTTAATGTTTTCTACTTGATAATTCAGATCAGACAAATGAAAAAGATTTTTGAGTTCCAAGATCCCATAAATAATGCTAAAGTGAAATTGTTTTGTTGCATCTCTGAATCCTCAGCTTCTGGTAGACAATAAGGTGTTAAAATGGTAAAATCTGGATATGGAATTTTATTAGAGAGCCAAGTTTCCCTCTTCCTGTAGGAGAAATCAGAGTTTTAAGAAAGAGCTGACCTTAGTATTTGAGAATTAGTAGGGAGTTCAATAGGGACAGCAAATGTGGAAATTCAAATCACATAAAAATGTACAAAATTCTAAAACTGAGCTATTAATCATAGAATCATAGAATAGAATGATGAAATGGTTTGGGTTGAATGGGACCATCTAGTTCCAAACCCCCTGCCATGGGCAGTGATGCCACTCACTACATAAGGTTGCTCAAAGCTCCATCCAAACTAGCCTTGAATACTCCCAGGGATGATGCATCTCCAAATTCTCTGGGGAACCTGTTCCCAGAGGTTCCCAGAGGAACTGGTGCCTACCACCCTCCCAGCAGAGAATTCCATGTAATATCTAAACTAAACCTACCTTCTTGCAGTTGAAAAGCCATTCCTCCCTTGTCCTGTCACTGCAAGTCCTTGTAACAAGCCCCTCTCCAGCTCTCTTGTGGGCCAGTGTAATAAATGGCCAGTCTAATCTGCAAAAACTATTCTTTTATGCTAATCCATTGCACTCAGTACTGCAAAGTTCTGTGACTTAGCTACAGACTGAGGGGTTTAGGGCACCAAGTAATCTCCCTGCATCTCTGACCTTTCAAAAAGACAGGATTCAAGGATCCATTCTTACAAGGATGAAGTACAATTTATGTGAAATCCATGGCTAGAAATAAACAAAAAATAAAACAGTACTTCCTTGGAAGCCTTTTTTTATAGAGGTGTACATCTGTTTCTGAGCATAAGTACTTCCAAAAAAATAAAAAGATGAACTGAAAATTGAGAACATTAATTTTAAATGCAAGACAGGGAATGTTAACTGTAAAGAATAATACAGCTCATTGCTAATAGGAAACAATTGTAGAGGTTTAAAATTTTAAATGTCTCTCTCAGCAACCTTTCCATTTTGTAGTAGGATTTTTTTCATAACACAGCATCACTTCTCAACTTGAGAAAGAGTCATATGATATGATTCACAGGCTTTTTTGAAAACTCATAATTTCAAAATGAAATAGTATCATTTTTAATAAAGCTTTTGCTTCTTGGTGTGTTAAAATTACCAAAATTTCTAATCAACCTAAATCAGCCTAAATCTATCTCACCAAATTCATAAATTTAACTATGAAAGTGCTTAATGTATTGAAATACTACAGTTTCATAACACATGTACTTTCTTATATATTCTACTCTTCTCTTCCAAGATGTCTAGGCAAACAATGCCTTTATTTTTCTAATCAAAAATCCTGACAACTCATTATTCCAACACTTCCAGTATCTTCATTCAAACACACAATAATGTCATTATTATCATATTGGTCTAACAGGTATTAAAGAGGTAAATTTGTTTTACCTCCAAAAGAGAATCCTCCAGTTTAGCTAACTGTATCTTCTTATCTTCTTCCTGTTGCAAGAGTTTTGTCTTCTGCTCTTCCAAATCAGGCTTCTCATGCTGAATTGTTAAAGCCAAAAGCTAAAACAAAGAGAGAAAAGAAAAACAATGTGGTTTTTTTCCTGCATTTCCACTTCAAGAGGGGTCAGGTTTCATGGACACATTGTATGATGCCAATTCTACACCTCCAGAGGAAGGAGGAAATCCATATGGTTATCTATGCTTCACATTTTGAATTATATCTTACTAATCAACATCTTATCTACATCCCATTCTAAGCCTCTTGTTAGTGTAGAAAAACTTGTTTCATACCAAATAAAGAAGGGATTTTCTTCCATTAATTGATCTCTCTTCTTTTTTTCTTCCTTCCATTCGTATGTTACATTTTGAATCCTGGACTTTATAAAGAAAACCTCAACAGCTACTAGCATTTTAAAGGAAATAAAATATACAGTATTTTGGTTTCACTACATTTTTTTCTGTACACAAAGTACCTTGATGATACCAGCATTATTCTCTAAGTAGGACACTGGAGAGCTATAACAGAAATGTTTCCATGGTACCATAAATGCATCTTGAACAGAAAGCAAAGGCTTAGCAATTAATCTGTTGCAACTGAAGTCAATGAGAACATTTTAATTTTCTCTACTGGACCCACTCCTTGGTTCCAAAGTACATAAAAATTTTACTATTTATATTTGTGAGCTTGAAAACACCTCCATAACCATTAACACAAACTGCACCATAGGGCTTATTCCAGGGGCCGGATGCAGCTATGCATGTTCACGATACATACACTGGTTTTATTCTAAATGCCTACCTGTCCTCTTAAGCCACTTGCTGTTGTGGTAAAGTTTACTTCTGTAACAATAGAAGAAGCATCAGGTGGAATGAAGGGATTTGGGTTCCTTGTTGATAGAAAAAGACGGAATTCTTCATTATAATCTACCATTTTTTCACCTATTTGTATGGCATAACGGGGTCCTGTAAACAACAAGCAGATATTATACTCACTCCGATTGGAACATTCTATAATTATCTGAAAACAACGGTATTCATGTAATACTTTATAATCAATGGATCTAAATATATTTAACAATATGAATTTATAAATTGATTGGGAAAAAATACAAATTCAAAAAATTTAAAGAACACATCCTAACCTGCATTGTTAAGAGACAGAAAATTAATGACATAGCAATAATATAGGAAATTGCATAGTAAGAATATTTAATACACCTGAGTAGTTTAATTATCCTTTCACAGAACACAAAGCATCAAGGACAAAAATGCATTTGAAGTAAAAGTAATACTAACAACTTTCTGAAATCTTCAAACTGTGAATAGGAGACAAAACACCACAGAAAATGACCTCTTATGTGTAAGAATTTTGTCAACATTTAAACACATTCCTTTACCTTTAAACATTGGTCTACCCGTCTACATTAGCCATAATTATATACTAACTAAGATAGCTCAATATCTCCTCATCCAAACCCATTAGATTTAATCTCTGGTTCTGTTACATTTATTTGTAGAAGTTTGATGTTGCTGTATAATCATAATTCTATTAAGATACTATTTTCTAGGATAACTGTAACAGAGCAAGTCAATGGAACTAAAAATGATAGAATATCTAGACAGCAGAATGAAAGAAAAACATTCCATCAAGAAATATCCCATACCGTATTATTATAAATATATTTAATTTTACCATATTATTAAAGAAACAAGTGATTTATTATATAACTGTTGTCATGGTTTCAGTCTGTTCATACTCCTAATATTTCTCCATATGCCTGTTACAGAATACAACTACATGTACAGCCCTCTGCACACCTCTTCCATAATAAGTTTCCATTCCAGCAGGGTTAGAAAAGAATAGACTCAGACAATCACATTATTAGAGTAAGATCCTAACTCCTGATACTGAAAAACAAAGAACAGTATTTTAAGTTGAAAAGTGAAAATTTCCATTCCGGAAAACTTTCCAAGATGGCTTAGGTGCTTCTCTATTTTTAGCACTGGGGGCAGAGCAGAAATATAAATCTCTTGCTAAAACACTGGTAGAGATGAAAATCACATACCAATTTTCCTTCTATGCCAAAGATCAGAATAAATTTTAAGACTATGTTGTAAAAATGTCAAACAGAAAATGGAAGCTGTACGAAGACGAATTTACTGCAGTATATAGATTCATATTTTTTCTTAACATTTCATTCCAAGTAATGAAAAGATGTACAGTCATTACAAGCAAAATAATGCAGACAGGTCCCTACACCCACATTTTGACAAAAAGGAGTGCATGCTTGCTTATAAAATGATGGAAAAGATTCAAATAGTGACCCATTCTTCCTTTTCCAACAACAGCTCTTTAATTTGGACCTACACAGACCTGGCATTAACATAGCTCATTAAAAGCAAAAAAGGATGTCTGAGTGTTATGAGCAATTTTCCTGAATAAACTAGTATATTTGAATTTAATCTGCTTTCTCCACAGTTCTGCAGACATAGTCATCTTTCATACTGTATCTCATTAGCTCTCCAAAATTTGGCAGAAGCTAGAGGGGCAAAAAAAAATTGTTACAGTGTTCCACCTAACGCTCCACAGATCCCTGAAATCACTACTTTGGTTCCATTGTTTCAATGGAAATAAACAAGCAAGTACATCTGTAATGGAAGACTGACTTAAAATAATACTTTCTCTTTCCTAAACAGATTTTTCTTATATTGGTGATAAATGTATACATGAATCCTATGGTATTTGCATTTATTTTTAGCATGTACTTACATTTGAAGAATTACTGCTACCTCACACATCATTAGATCTCAACAGTAGACGAAATGACAGCAAAAAAAGTCTTGAGCTATTTTTAGTACCCAAAGTTCATACAGCAAATTACATGGTACATGCTGAGGAATGACCACTTGAGGTAGAAATACAATTACAAAGGATAATGCAAATCTATTTTAGTTACTGTAATTTAGAAAGCACTTAAAACACACTTTACTGTACTTTTTAATTCACCATATTTTCTCAATATAATTTCAAAATATGTAACATAATTCAACAAACTTTATGCTGAGATACTTGCGTAATTACAATTTATTTTTGCTAAACTTTTATCACAATTTTTCATATTAAAAAAAATTCCTTAAAGCAGCTAAGTCCAAAGCAGTTATGCAAACAGTTAGGTAGAACACAGTATCTCTCCAAAACAGAGATATTATATTGCAAAACCTAAACATTGTGATTTTTCACTTTTCTTGCATTGGTTAAGGGACTCCTTTCACAAAATTCCACCATTTTGCTGATCTTTATGATATTCCCATTCCAAGGGTACATCAGGAACAGACCTGTGTGTCTTCTTTAGGTTCAGAGAAATCCAAGAGAAGCAGGAACACCAACATTCTAAACCTTTGATTTCTAACTGCACTAACAGCTGTGCAACTTCTGGTTTACTTAAGGTCCAAGTTTCCAATTAAAACTATGTGTTTGAAATCATCACTGGAAATCAACTTAAAATTTTTAAGGGTCTATAAAAACACATTTTTGTAACTTCAATTTATACTTTGAATTTACTTTTAAATAACTTTCAATTTTAATACTTTCCAATATTTTTCCACTTACTAAATAAGAACATATCTCCAACATATTTCACACTCTGAAGTCTTAGTAGCAGGTTAATACTACAGAGAAAAAAAACTACACAGTATTATGTTTTGAGAAAAATCAAGTTTTATATAAATAGATCTAAACTACAAAAGTTTTGAGCAAGGATTTGCAAAGATTTTGGTGATTTACCTTGAGCAGTAAGATCTTTTCTTAGCAATGGGTAAAGCACAGGTTCCACTCCATCTACTTCCTGTATTATAAGTGTCTTCCCAAATCTCACTGCCAGCTCAAGAGCAGTTAGGAAGTTGGTGTCCTGGATAAATAGAAACACATTCCTTTGATTCATGCTTTTTTGAAAAATGCAAACACTTCAAAATGAGAAGGAAGGCATTACAACAAATAGTCCAAATCTAAAAATCAGCAGTATAGATGAAAAATCCTATTAGAGGCAAATGTTATTACAGGGTTTAGCCACAAACGTTTAGTTTAAATAAACTTGATCTACTGATCAAGAAAACCTATCTAACATGCCTAGATCTTCAAGTGCTGAATCAGAAGAGAGCAGGTTCCCTGTCATGTCTGCCAGGTGCATCTGAAAGTCCCGGCCAGGTCTCTTATATATATATATATTTTATTTTTTTTTATGTCTAAAAACTGAACCAAACACAGGATTCACATTATTAAGAGGTCTACATGCAGTCTTTTGTTGAAAGCAGGTGTTTGAACATGCATGTGGTGCTTATGAGCCCCTTAGTCAATAGAGATCCTGGATAATACAGGCAACAGAAGCTAAAAGGTAATCAGGCCAATCAGCTAGCAGGACAAACTATCAATTACCCAAAGATATGTTATCTACTACCATCAGAGAGTATCTACAAGGGTGCCACAGAGCCAGCAGGGATCTGTGGAAAGAACTACATGCTGTTGAAGCAATATTTTGAGGCCAGGTGGGATTCAATAAGGGACTTCTGAATAGCACCAGATGCCTGCCTGTGTGTGCAACTGAGCTGCACCTCACTAAACAGCTACAGGTAGACAATGAATTTCAGGTACCTTAATCTCAAACTGAAATCAAATATACTCTTTCCAGTGTAGATAATACAATACAACAATCACAGGGAATTAAGTGTATATATACTCCTGAAATCCAGTGAGCTGCAACCAAGTCTACAAAAGACCTCTTTATTTGAAAATCTCTTCTATCATTCTCTTAGCAGGGAATATGACATTCCCAGAGATACTAGCACAAAGAGACAAACTTGTAGAAATAATACCAGATGTTGAGCCTCCAATTTTAAACAACCTAAAACTCTATGGGGAATTCCATGTTTCAAAAAATATAAACTAATTTTTGGTGATTTCTATCACAAATATTTAAAAACTACTCTGTAAAATCTGGAATAGAGAAAGCTCAAACAGAAAAGACCAAGAGTAAATGCTGCACCTGTTGGTTAATAACTTCCAAACGTGATTCCTTCAAATGTGTCTTCAACCATTCAGTAGCCCGGAAAGAAGGGTCTATCAAAAATGGGCAAACTTTACTCTAGGGAAAAAAAAAAAAAATATATTTACTAAAATCTATTTTAAGAATAAAATTGGAATACTTTTTTTTTATTTCCCCAAACTAATGTAATATGTATTTTAAAATCTTTTTTAATTAACAAGCTGTTTAGAGAAACAATAACAGATGAGGAAATTTATGTCTTGCATTTTATCTCTTCTTTAAAAAAAAAAAAAAAGGAGAGCACCCAGATCCAAAATTCTCAGATGTTTGTCCTGCTGAAGTTAGTCAGTTCTTCACCTTCTCTTAAAAATAGGAGTCTCTATTAAATGAGTATAATCTACAGCTTTTGTTACTCACAACTGCTTTTAAACTTAGAAGAGTATTAGTCTTCCTTTTTCCTCCTCTGGTGGGCAAAGGTACAATACTTCTGGGTTTGGACCTCAATGCATTTTAGAAAGAGTCATGAATACAAGTATTTTGCACGTACAAAGCTACACTCAACTCTGTCCAGTACATCCATGTCTCTCTTGTGCCGCGGATCACGCAGCTGGACCCAGGATTCCAGGTGTGGTCTCACCAGTGCTGAGTGAAGGGGAGGGATCGCCTCCCTTGACCTGCTGCCAATAGTTTTCCTAAAGCTGTCCAGGATACCATTGGCCTTCTCCTTGGCAAGGGCCCATAACTGTCTCATGGACTACCAGGTGTCTACCAGGACCACCAGGTCCTTTTCTGCAAATCTGCTTTGCAACTGGTTGATCCTCACTACTTGTTGGTACATGGGGTTGTTACTATCCATACACAGGACTGTGTAATTCCCCTTCCTAAACTTCACGAGGTTCCTGTCAGCCTCTTTCTCCAGTCTATCAAGGACCCTCTGAGTCTCAGTCTTACCCTCTTGTGTATCAAAGACTCAGTCTTAGAATGGCTTGGGTTGGAAAGTCCCTTAAATATCATCTAGTTCCAACACCCTTGCCAAGGGCCGCGATGCTGCTCACTAGATTGGGTTGCTCATGGTTCCAATACAACCCAACTTTGACGGGGCATCCACAGCTTCTCTGGACAACCTGTGCCAGTGCCTCACTACAATCTAAGTAAAAAATTTTTTCTTAACATCTAATCTAAATCTCTCCTCATTTAGTTTATAACCATTCTTCCTTCTCCTCTTATTATCTGCCCATGTAAAGACTTGTTCTCCCTTTTTTCTGTAAGTCCTCTTTAAGTACTGAAAGGCTGCAGCAAGGTGTCCCCAGAGCCTTCTCTTCTCCAGGCTGTACAACCCCGGCTGTCTCAGCCTGTCCTCACAGAAGACATGCTTCAGCCATCAGATCATCTTGGTGTATCAGCCATATCTCCCAGTTTTGTGTCAGCAAACTTGCTGAAGGTTTAAACATGTACTTTCAACAATTCTCTGGTTCAGTCTGACAGAAAAGCATTTCCAAGTTTAAGGCTTTTTTTTTGATTGAGTTCCAGTATTTCAAACTGAGTAGCTACACAGATCTCAAACTGAAAGATAGGGGAACATGATGAGTATTCAAGCATCACAAGATGATCAGCACAAAAGGCTGAGAAATGTACTGTAGATTACACTGGTAAAATACCATGTCAAATTTCAACTTTATGGGGATGTACACAAGGAAAATTATTTGACCTGATTGAGTATTTCAAAAACTTCTTTACACACGGTGAGATTTTTAAGAGCTCGATCTATTCAACTAATGAAAAATATGAAAATAAGGTTATAATGTAGGATATAAGTAGCTTTAATGGTACAATACAGTGTTTCTTGAAAAGCTTTTTAATCGAACAGAGAAAAGAATATATAGAACTACTAAAAGGATCATAAAGCAAGATGAATTCAAACTGGAGAAAAATCGGTTACTAATTTGAATCATAAATCATCTAAGCAAATCACCTGTAGTACATGCAGATTCTCTTCATGCCATTAAATATTTACTTGTTAGTAGATCAAATAAATGACTACACTATTATATACATAATCATATGTATTATATATATCTATATATATGATGAAACTGAATATTTTCCTTTTCTCAAGTATTATTAGACATATATATATATATATTAAAAAAAGAGATAGATAGATAGATAGATAGATAGATAGACAGATAGATCTTGAAAGGTATCTGCATATAGCCTTTTCCTTTTTCGGAGAAAAAAGTAATAGGAATTATATGCCAAAGTGAACATACATAGGACATAATTTTCATTGGTTGTATTGGTGTTAATGATTATTTATGCTTTAAGCCTGAATAGACTGATAAGGAATACAACAGTGACAGCAAAAATTAAAACATCTTCTTTAACAGTTTTTTTTCCTTTTGTTACAAAATATCCATTGTTACATAAGTATTTATTTCTCTGTATGTGTGCTCTCTGTGATGCCAATAAGAAACATAAATGAAATAGTTCAAGTTGCCATGTTACTGAAATTTGTAAAAATTCAAATACTTCCAAGACAAGACAAAAAGCAAATTTACCTGCAAGATGACAAGAGCATTTTCTATTGAAAGGTCATCTGAAGGCAAACCTTCACTTTTCCAAACTAACTCCTCACTTTCTGTACACAGGAACCGTCGTAAATCGAACTCTGACAAATGAAAGTGTAATTTTCTATCATTTACAGTCTGCATAGTTTAAAAACATTTACCAGTCTATACAGAACAGAGACTTTGTCTATATTAATAGAGTGCAAGTCTGTAGACTTGCCTTTAATCTATTACTTTATTGAACTTATTAATAAGTAGTGGATGCCACAGAAATATTTTATAGTTTTGCTAACACACAGATAAAAACGATTACTGAAAAAGCAGAAGCATTCAGAATGCAATAGCAAATTAACATTTTTGTAGACTTTTCCTTTTAAGCAAGGACTATAAAGATAAAATTATTTATAAATATTTATAATCTTAATAATTTCATAGAATGGTTCTAAGAAATTGTCTGTCAGTATCTAGAAATATTTGTTCAGTAAGAAAACATCTCTTCTCACTTGGGAGTAAAAAGACAATTGAGACAGTTCATTAGAACTCACTGGCATTTCTCACTTCCTCAATCAAGCTTAATTACTTGCATGCAGACACTGACAAACACACACACACAAAATTACTTTCAAGGCCGGCTGATTTGGTCCATTCATCCAAACTGTTTTTCCTCTGATCCTCAGGAGCAGCAGAAAGATATGTAATAAATGCAGCTGCTAACTGAGCTCTTTTAGGCAACGTTGCCAGGTCATCTGTTATCTCTGACACCTTCAGAAAAAGAAGTACAGAAAGTATAGGTGTTTTGCAAACAAAAACTGCATTAATACGTCTCATCAGTTACTAAAATGTCAGAATTAAATTTGCCTGCCATTGGTTATACAGTTGAGACAATTTCTCTTTTTGCATTTCAGGTATCTATACCTAGCTAAGACACATGGAGGTATGGGAAAAATTCCTTTCAGCTCTGGGCTAGAGCATGCATGGATTTTTCTGAGTATGCAGCTGATAAAAATCCATGAATTTGATGAACAGTTCAACTTATAAGCAAATGAATAAATGGTATTATAGAAAGAAAGATAAGAAATATGTGATCCTAGTCACAGTCAGGCTGTAAGTATAACTTACAATATGTATACAGACAATAAATACTATATGCAACTTTCATACTTACTGTTACTCAATGTACACTTAAATGATAAAATAAATTTATCATGTATCTTCAAATAATTTATCTGCACTAAATAACCTCTGCTTTGAAATGTTTCAGTATTTTTAAGAAAAATACAGTGTATTAACATCATATGTGACTGCCATAATCGGTTTCAAAGTCTTGTCACTTTTACTTTAATTATATTGACATTAAAAATAAATGCTGATTCACAAAATAAAGGCAACTTTTTACTGGTTCTTCCTTACCTTAAAGGAAGAAAAATACAGCTTTTTTACTGTCTTCATTACGGGGTGAGTTCCTAATTTATCTATTTGTCAGTTTAGTCTACCATTAACAGATAGTCTGAATTTTCTAATATACCAAGATGAAAAACTATGAGGAACCACTTTTAGAAGCATTTAAACACTGGGGTCCAAATATATCCAATCCTTACTACAGCAGGTAGCTATATAAAGCTACTTTCAGAGGAAAATCTTCCTAATTTTTCCTGTATGGCGGTCAACCTACAAGAAGGATTCATCTAACTTTAACTTTGGTTCTCCAAAATGCAGGCATTTAGTTAATTGCTGAGGCTTGTTTTGGTATCAGTGGAGACACAGAATCATGTATTTCTACATGAAAATTTCTTCTGACTTATGATCTCCTGACCCATGGAAGTTACTTAGGGCTTTGTGGAGGTGTCAGCTATTTTCAGCTTATATGTATCTTCTGATTTTCCTTTTTGTTTCAGACTGTAGAAGGGCCTGTGTCTCCAAAGACTTGTCAGTTTCTCTCAAATATATCATTTGAGCAAGTAAGATATGCTTACCTTCCCTACTTCAGCAGCAGAAAATTTTCAAGCATTAAAGTGAAGACTTCAAAAACAAAACAACATTTTGGGTATACCTATATGCACATTTACAACACAAATGCCATAAAGGTGATACATTTTAAGACCATAATTGTTTAAAATCTGTCCCTTTGGCTGTATCTCAAGTTGGAGAGTCCAACTGCTGACATGTTCAGCCAGCATAACAATTACAACCTTGGGATTGAATACCAGCACAGAATATTTTATTTTTTCTATAAAATACTGGGGGATTTTTACACATTTGGTAGCAAGGTTATAAGTATGATGAAGTAAAAATAAATTTCAGAAAAAATTAAAGATTTATTTTCTAAGGAGAAATCAAAAAATGTGCACTGGGAGAGATGCAGAATGGCAGCAACTCACATTCTCCAGGCAGTGCAAAACTGTATTTTCAACTTATCAGCTGTAAGATGTACTTTTGAAAATTTTCACTAACCTGAGTGCTCCATCTTTTGTGCTCCCTATCAAGTTGATTTATCAGTACCTCTGCAGCTTTCAATGTTTTCTGAGCTTTACTTAGTTCTGCTTCAAGTTTTGCTGCTTCTGTTGTTCTATTCTGGAACCTGTAAAACAAATACTCTTTGTAATTGCTATCACAAATTACTAAACTTACGAACAGTTATTTTCAAGGAACTTTAACTGATTGAATTTGTCATGAATGCCTGGCTTATTGTTATCAAAGAACACAACTGCAGGTGTTCTTTTTTTTATAGCTTCTGCTTCTAATTGGTAGATGGGCTTGTTAGACTTTCAGCTAACAAAATGTAGATGGATGCACAGGTGAGATTTAAAAAGGGATTTGAAATACAGACTATAATGTCTGAAACTCATTCCTTCTTCTACTTAAACAGCCTGACAATTACAGAGATTGTGTAAAGTTTTGTTCTGTATATAGTCAGGACAACAGCAGCTCAATGCCATACCATAAATTTGTAACTATTTGGTAAATTTTATCTATTAAATGTTTAAAAAATAGTATTAATAATTCACATGGATGACTCCAGTTTAATTCACAGTTGCCTATCTTGTAAACTAATATGAAGTAAGAACACGCCCAAAAACTAGGCATGATTTATTTAGGTATTATTTTCATACTGTTCAACATCTATTTAGTTTGATTAATATATTAAATAATTAATACATTTAATCCACCTATTCAAAATAATATATTTATATATTACTTTATAAATATATAATGTAAAATTATAATATATAGGATTCAACTGTAACATATATTAATTAATTAAGCTAAGAGATCACTATATAGTTGATTTACAATAATTCAATTATCCTTTTTTTCCTTTGTAGACTACAAATCATGACTTTTACTAATATGTACGTATGTCAGGTTGCAAATTATCTCCTATACTGATTACATAATAAAAACATCAAACTGAAAAACTTGGATTAAACAGAATTTGGAGAAAGCATAAACATTTACCAGATCTATTTTTATGCCTCTGTGAGTCATGTACTTGATGAGAAGCTAAGAAAAAACTAGCTGACTGTCAGAAAAGTAGGCCACCTTAAAAGAAATAGAACTGCCTCTCTTCAAGCTGTGATCAGCAGAAGTTTTGTACAGGAATGTTTCCAAAGTCCTAAGGAGTCATTGAAGTCCTCTGTGATTCAGAAGGTGATAAACACAGTTTCCCTTTGACATCTACAATCCCTACAATAAAGGCTACCAACACAGTCAGTAGTGAGAAGCAGGTACTTTTAAGGAGCATTTATTTCATCTGATCAAGGAGATGAATTGTAATCTTATAGTATTTATCTCCACTGAGAGTACAGATAGCCTAAGCATCACTAATTGTGACGTGAATATCTGGCAGGACAGGAAGTTACATTTCCTTAGACAAAATTATTCATACGGTTAAATTATCCATGCTTTCTATTTATATTTTGAAATAAACACACCCAACTTACTTGTCTTTCAGTTCAAATACTTTTTGACCAACAGAGTTCAGAAGATCCTCTAACTTCCGTTTTCTGTCCTCAGTTTTCTTGAGATTACTATAAAAATGTAACATATATTTTAAGACTATGGACTCAAAGGAAAAAAAAGAGTAAATATAACAGGAAAGTAATTTGCATGGAGATAGTTCAAAGATATTCTCCACTGTGTTTTATATTGAAATATACATTTTCACATATAAAAGTTTTGAGTACTTCTCATCACATAGCTTTAAAATGGAAACCAAACACCCCATCCCTAAGATCAAATTCTTCTAATACAAAATTTCAAAACCTGGGAAAACAATAATTTTAGATTCCTCAGGTTATGTATGGTCATAGGACTGTGTCTTATCTTTCTGATCCTAAGGAGAAACTGATAATGCTTGGCACGAGACTGAAAAATAGGAACTGCATACCTCATAAAATAGCATGGGTTTCACTGAGAGAATACAAGTTAAGAATACCTGTGATGCTAATTTCCCCCTGTACTCAGCTGAGACAGGTTGTACATGATTGTACAAAAAACATCCATGGCATAGATTCCAGGAAAAAGAAACTATTGCACACTTAATTTTTTTGTCTCAGTATGTACATGTTATTGCCTCTGATGGAGGTTATCTTTTATTTTTTGTTTTTAATAAACTTCAATTCACACACAATCACAGAATGGTTAGGGCTGGAAATTACCTCTGGAGATCATCTAGTCCTGTTAAATCCTGCTAAAGCAAGATCATGTCCAGGCCAAATTTTAATATCGGAGGAGGAGGCTCCACAACCTCTCTGGCAGCTTCTTCCAGCACTCTGTCACCCTCAAGTAAAGAAACCTTTCCTAGTACTCAGATTCCTCCTTGGCAACTTCAGTTTCACCCACCACCATTGGAATTAAAACCACTGATTTTGTAATAGTGTCTAACTTACGCTTCCAAGCCAGCCTTTTCTTTTTCCAAAGGCTGAATTCGCTCTAGGACATGGGAATACTGGATGTTGGCATTCACCCAAGCTGCTAATGGAGCAGCTGCAGCACTGGCTCGTTTAGCATTCTGAAAAATTTAGTACAAGTAAAGTTGTTGTAAGAAAGTCCTTGAAGTATAATGTAGAAGAGATAAATAGAGGATAAGTAACAGCAACAGATTTTCTAGTTACCAACTTAAATATGCTAATAAGCCAACTCTTCTAATGAACTAATCTTTTAAATTGTTACTAAAATTGTATTGAAGGCCATCAATCTGTGTAAAAACCCACAGTGGTATTTTTATGAAGCTAACTGAAATTAACAAGTTTTAAATCAATGAATGATTTATTAGACTTTTACTGGTACAAGGACGCCAAGGAACCAGTTAGAATTCCTTGGTCTGAGTTTTACTTTAGAGCAGTAGAAAAATCTTTGACTACTCAACTCCATAACGACTTCTTACCCCACCCCTTCATACGCACAAACCAAAAATTTTCGCTTTAGGAGGCAGTATGCAACAGAGTAACCTCTGCTACACCTTTATCTGTTTATACTGACAAACTCTGTAAGCAGAATTCACCACTTTTTCTCTAACTGAAGTTCATCCTAAAAATTTTGCTGGCAAACCAGGCAATCATGTCTTTTCCTTCGGTCTTTTTTTGGTCTTGTTTTCATTTGATGTAATGCAATCAGGAATTACCTTTGGATCAAAAGATGCTCTGTTTTTAGAAAGAAGTTCTTCAACACTCGCTCGTATTTCTTTTGGAATATTACGGGCATCAAATGATCCTATGTCCTCCCTCACACTTCTTTTGGCCAAGAAACTGTGAAAAGAATTAAACAACTAAGTAAAGAAGAAACAAATGTTGGAAATATTATTTCCATATGAAACCAAGGAATTCTGAGAACAAGATTCCTGAATACAACAGAAAGTAGTTCACATTGTAACTCAATGTTTAATTTTAAAGGTTAAATAATATTCTCACCTTTTCATGCTCACCCATGATGTATCAAAAATCCCCATCAGGCGCAGAACTCCCTCTAGAATGTCTCTGATTATGTCAGGGGGCATCCGCAGCGACCGGATTTCTAACAAAGCTTCTGGCTTTATATTTCCAACAGCCAATTTAGCTTCATTAACCAATGGCTTAAAACATGAAGAAAACACATTAAAAAGAGAGATGAGGATATGAGATACTGAACATTTCCCATTCCAGTTTTCACACAATTTCTTGTTCTTTTTAAATACTTTATTACCTAAGAAACTAACATTGATGCAGATTCATGTTTACTAAAAAATTGCCATGCATTTACAAAGTGATAATAAGTATACTTCCATATAAAACAGTATAATGTAATCTTGACATTGTGATACAGGTGTCTTTTAATAATGATGCTAACCACTATTTATAGGCAGGACTGGGGATCTCTTTGTAAACATCGATAGAAGTACAGTACACAAGAGCCTTCTGTTTCCAGTAGCTAAACAAATCCTTCACCCTTATCAACAAAGCAACAAAATGGTCAGGAAATAAAGTTACAGATTATCATTAAAGACTGTGCACACCTTGCACATCCTTCATATTTATCAAAGACCACAGAATGGGTCTAATCCTGTAGTTCTATGTCACTTTCAATACAAGGATATAATTCCTTGATACCTATGATATTTAAAAGGAAAAAAAATAAGTTGTTGCACTGTTCTCTTAAACTTTAGTATAAATTTAAAATGAATGGTATGAAAAATACAGACTAAAAGCAATGACTGAACACACATATCCCCCAAAAAACTGATGCCTAGCAGGTGTAAAATCTCTTGAACAAGCAATTTGCTGTAGCATCATTATGACATACACTTTTCAGGATTTAGTAATAACAGTAAATTATCCCCCACCAAACTATTTCCATTCAGCTGATAGTACCAAGCCCTGTATTACCAGCTTGATCAAAGCAAAGTAATGTAGTTGGTTTATGTAAAATATGAGTAATTGAAAAATACTATATAAAATCAGCAGAACTCAGCCAGAGAGCATGGCAGAATAGAAACAGCAAGTGAAGGCAAGATTTGGCTTCAAAACTGTTTCTGTAATTACTATCTAACAGAACACAAATGCCAGAATGCCAATCTCTATTTGCCACATGGAATACTGTTTTCTAATGCATAAAAATTTTAATATCTTAATATTTTAGAGTAAAATTTAAGAATTGCATGGATAAATTCTGCAAAACTATTTTGCACAGCAGGACATAAGTCAGATAAAATCAGACTGCAAAATATTACTTTTCCTTATCAGCTCTTACCTGAACCTCTTTCAGTTCATCTTCAATTTTTCTTTTTCTTTGTTCTATTTCTGCAGCCTCTTCTGCTATTCGGTGTTTTATTTTTTCCATTTCTGCCTTCTGCTCACTAGCACTCTGTAAAAAAAAAATTTCTTTCAGTTTGCAAATTTACACGGATTTTATTCCTTTAAGTCTCTTATTTCTTTTAGTCTTCATTATAATAATTTGCACAATATCCATCACAATAAAATAGCTGAGTCAATTTGATATTGGGTAGGCTGGCTAAGTAAATCAACTATATGGAATAAGCATAATTTGCTGTTACTGTGTGTCCTTCCCTTTCTCTACCACAGACCAGATCTGTACCTCTATCTGTGAGGCTCATTATGACTTTTTTTCCCTTCCTTCATACATTCCATTCCTATGTCAGCCTTCCTCTAAAAGTGTAAGGCTGACAGCCTCTGCAACAATCTTACTACATTTGAAAGTACTATTTTCCTTTTATTGTCTTTGTCCTGATCCTATTTCTATTTCAATTTATTTCACAACACCATTAAAACACTCTTTTTCTATCACGTTCATAAAAGCAGCAATATTGGAACTACAGCTTATTAGCCTAGAATTACTAATCATGGTATGGTTTCTTTACTTGTAATTTTGCACCAATCTGTTTGTAAAGATAACTGTCTTATGTCCTATATACATATTGGAAGTTGCTTTGGGTTTACTTTTTTTTTTTTTCTCTGTATTTGTACTGTGCCTATCAGTGTCTACAGGTAGACAGTAGCTATTAGCCATCTCCAGGAATCCTAAACACTTCAGTACTACAATGAATACCCAGTATATAAAAGTAATAAAAGTACAGTAGAAAGGACCTGACAAGACTTTTAGCCATTGAGGATAAAAGTATAAGGTAAGATGGTAATACTCTAGGCTCAGATCACCTAAAAGATAAAGACAATGAAGCCCAGAGTTTGTGTTTTTCCAGTATGTAACACATTATCATCACCAGCAATTGTCAAGCTGAGTTGAAGTTGTAGCAGAAGGTAACTGATGCATAAAAGCAGAGAAAGTCTTAAAATAATAATAATCCTCTGAGCACTTAACCCAAGCTACAGATCAGCATGTTATTGAAGATTACATTCAAATCCATAAAACATTAGCTATATAAAACTAGATTAGACATTTCATGCAAATGAACATGCACTGAATGATTACTCTGAATAAGAAAACCTTAACATTCAGTTGTAGGTCAAAAGCTTTTCTCTAAAAGGAGATTAAAAGAGTCTGTATGTATTAGAGCTCTCTATGTTATATAAGCTAGATCATTTGAAGTGACATTAAAATGTTAGAGGGCACCTATACTTTATGCTAATCTAAATAATCAGACTTCCACTGTTATTTTTCTGATGTCAGCGGGGCTATCATGTTTCACTGCTTTTGGCCTAACCTTTGATTTTCTCCTACAGTGTAGTATGTGCTGCCCACATACCCATAACTCTACCAGACAACAGTAAATGCTAATTTAACACTGAAATCATCAACACTCCAAGCCAATCATCATTATTCAAATTCATGTACGACAGACAGACAGAGCCTAAAAGTACTAAAAACTGCCTACAGGAAGAGACTTACAAAGAACGGAAGCAATGCACCTTTAAACCTTTAAAGCGCTGTGAAACAATGGTTTGAACAACCAGGCAGTTATTCTACTGCACACAGAGAATGTCTTTGACATCAAACTTCAGACTGGCCAGATTAAATTAGTAACAAAAAATAAAAAACAAACAAAAAAAAAAACAACACCCAACCAAACCAACAGTGCAGTGATGCAGTGACAGCAGACTCATTATAGCTTATCCTCCAATCTGAATTCCAGGAGGCATCAATGCAGATCAATAGGCATCACCTATCAATAGGCATCACCTATTGTCTACACAATTACTTTACTTGACTAAGAAAACATTACTAAAGAAAATTAGCATTTGGGAAAAAAATTCTGCCTCTGAGCTGAAGAATAAAAGAAGAATAAAAATTCAAAGAGTGATGAATATAGAGGCATTATCTAACCTTCTCTGAGGTTAACTTCAGAAAAACAGACCTCATAAAATATGTATTTTCTAATAGTTCTCAAATTTAATTCCTGGTATTTGTTACTTAAAACAGTGCTACTTGTAAGTATTTTGTTGAAATTTCCAATCTGGGATAAACATAAAAGGCATCAGTTTGGGTTTACAAAGTTCTAGGAAAACATTCAGACTAAACTACAACAGTGAACACTACTCAGGTACAAAACTTGCACTGATCTCTTCCTACTCAATCAGTTCTAACCTGACCTAAATTACACTATTCTTTTCCTGTTGCAACTTTATTCAAGCCTCTGGGCTCATGCCTTCCCTAAGGCAAATTCTTGTAAATGCATCGGGTTTTGTCACAGTTGAAAAGTACACAAAACATAGGCAGTTACAGAGACTAAGGACAGAAAACCAGCTTTTTTTTCCTTCTTTTCCCCCTACTTTTGATGTGATTGTGTACAGCACCTGCATAGATACTGTAATTTCTTGAAGAGCAGCATCTGCTTCATCCTGCTTCGTTTTGAGTAAAATGCTTTGTTCTCCAGCTTTCCTGTTCAGCTCATCTACCAGGGCTTTAGCCTCATTCAGCTTTGAAACACCTGCCTGTAAACGTTTATAAGAAGATATTTAGGAACAAATTTTAACTGAATTTAAATGAACATTTGCTAAAAATAGTAAGGACAAACAAAGAATAATGTAGACTAATCTTTTTTTTTAATTAATTTTCACATTTTCTTAATGTTATCTAACCTAAAATTTAGATTTGGTAGTTCTAGCTGTGTCACTGTAAGATCTATTACAACAGCCAGAAGATTAAAAAAAATCTCAATATAATAAACTTTTAATGAAACAACAACTAGCGCATAATCTTTTTCCCAGTAATACAATAGCTTTTCAGTTAACTGGTATTAACTCAATGTAACTATATCTCCCCTAAAAGCAAATCAATAAAAATTAAACAGAATGAAATCAAATAGATTATCTGATTTCTACATATTTGAATACTCTAAAAACATAAATATAAAATGTTTCAATTATGCTCAAAATTAACTATTTTCTTTAATCACACTTTCTACATAATTTATTTAATGCTAATTATATAATACCAATTCTTCAAGATATATTTGGAAAAAAATATCTGGAAGATATTTTGGTTTAGGATAAACATCTCTAATTTTCCAGTAAATTATTACCTTTATTCAACAAAGCATTTAACAAGAAAACATGCCAAGTCTGATACATTCTTGAGGAAAAGTATTAACAAAAACAAGAAAATCACTTTTCACTCTTTCAGGCACTTGAACAGAGAAGGGCATTAAGATTGATACTATTTCTCTCCTGAAACCACAGCATGAGCATTTGCCAGAAGAGGACAGACACATCACATAACCATGCTAGCAGCTACAGCTCTTTAATACAAGAGACATTTCCTAATGCAAGAACATATTGAAAAGCCATATGTCAAGGGTGTAAAACACATACCTGCAAGTGGTTCTGCCTTTTTATTAGCTCTTTTCTTTTACTGCTGTTGATGGTACTGTATACACGAAGGAATGTCATATACCTGCTAGGCGTTGCTCCGTATATTTTACATGATTCATGGATTGCCAAAAATGACTTCAGAAAATCGGAATGACCTGTACAACATCATTTGTTATACAGATAAAATTATACTGAATTTTATCTCACATTAAAATAACTAAGAAAAAGCAACACAATAGGCTTGCTTTTCAAGACATGAATTAAGAGTATTCAAAATAGCACAAAGACTACACACTTTTTAAGTACTCTCAGGGAAAAAACATGTAAATACATTTGAAATGCCTATTTCACAGAAAGAAATACATTGAAATTGTCTGACGTTTGGAACAGCCAGCAAAATTAACTGCAGACTACTGAAGGGTAACTGTATAAGAAACTACTTCCACATAAATTGTATTTTAAAATACTTGGGACTGTTTTAGAAATAAAGCCCATGTGTGTTTGTCTTCTCCCTTATCGCTGATGACAGGCAAACTAAAAGGTTTTCCTGCCATTTAGTTTATTGAACAGTTTCGCAAAAAAAGCCCAAAGATACTGTAAAATAAACTGCATTACCCTACAAAGGAAAAAAATTGCTAAACGCTATCTATATATAAATGAATGCCTCTAATAAGAACTATGGCCTAGATTAATTACAATTATCTAGGATAAAGAGGGATGGTAATGTGAACACCAAATACTATTTTTGGCCATTATTCTGATTGGTCTATTAAAAAGCAATATAAACCAAGAAACTCCAAGTGATCCACTTACTATCTTATATTCTGTTAGTTCCACGACCTCTAAGTGCTACTTTTATAGAAAGTGGCTAAAAGTAGTATTCTGCAAGTGAGTGCTGACACTGGTCTCTTAGATTATGTTTGAGACACTCTTTTTAACATGACTATATTTGAAGCCTTATGATAAAAACTAATTATTCTGAAAAGGGGGCATTTCTTACAACAAAGTATTTTCAAAATTAATAAAGTAAAATGAAAACCTAGAAAAAGAATAATGAAATATATAAACTGAAAAACTCTCAAAACATCAAATTATCAGGTTGTGAAATAACATCCACATAGAAGGAAGAGACTGACCAAAACAAGATACAGCTAAATCAGCGTATAAAATTGAATATACACAGTGTTGCTTATGACAGAAAAGACTGCATTTGATCAGCCAGGATGTATGTTTCAGACTAATGCTCTCTTGTGCAAAATGCCTGCCATGTGAATAACACCAAAGTCTATGAATATGCTAGTAAACACATACTCAAAGTATCTATGTTATTATCTATGCCCAACATTGGATCAAGTGTTTAATAACAATAACTAGTAGGTCTACCTAAATATTACCTGAATGTTTTTTCTTAACTTCTTTTTGTGTTTTTCCAGTCTTTTCTTGCTCATCTGAATCACACAGAAGCATTTCAGGTATCTAAAAAAACCACATTATTTTTTGTATGAAAATTAGAAATAATGACAATTTGAGTTAAAATGAAATTAAAAAAAAAAACCACAAACCTTCAATCTAGTTTTTCTTTTGAAAAGACTGAAAATTATACACTTAGAATAAGGAATCTACAGAATACTTTTAGCATTAGGAAGATGATTACTGCCTTTCCATGTCACTGATAACTTCCTATTCTCTCAAGTAGAAGATCCCAGAGGCACTGTCACCACTGCTGTTGGGCTCAGCCTTGGCCAGCAGCACATCCTTCTTGGAGCCAGCTGGCACTAACTCCACCTGCCATGGGGGAAGCTTCTGGCAGCCTCTCACAGAAGTCATCCCTGCAGCCCAACCCAATATCAAAACCTCACCATACAAACAAAATACAATTTGCTTTAACACTTTGCTTTTAGTCTGTATTTTGTTCTTAAATGCTGTGCTGGATCAGTCACAGTAGTCAGCATGTTGTTCAAGTCAGCCCACAGAGAGAACAAAACATAATGTTACTGGCAAAATAACAATGCCAGTAACACTTCACTTTTCTGCAGACTTAAAGTGTACAAAGGAATTAAATCAGTACAGTGATAATTATTCCTTCACAATCTTAAATATTTTGACTTTACTTACCAGAGCTCATTTATATTAATTAGCATCAGAGATACTAATTTAAGTAAGTCACAATTAATGCAACTTACCTTTTTCATACTGTCTTCTGACCAGCCTTCCATCCATAAAACCTGGCATTTCTTATACAGTGCTGGATTACTTTCACAGTTTATTGTGAAATTTAAATTGGTAGAATCCATGATCAAGACAACATGCAGATTTTGTTGGATCCCTAAGAAAATGTAACAATTCTGAGTACATAACAATCTGACTACATGACAGTAGATTTATTGCAAATACAATATAAATTACTTTCTTTCAAATACTTATCACAAGGTAATTTCTGGAAAAAAAGAGCCTACAACACCAAATCACAGTAGGACAGGAATGTTTATAAGATGAACCTTATTAAGTACCATGAATTCTCACTATGTATACTACAGTGCATTTTTTAATTCTGAAGAGCAGGCAGTATTTAAGCAGAAAGCACTAGTTTTCATTGTAATTCATGTAGACCATTAGAACCAATCAGAAGTAGTTCCAGGCTGGCTGGCTGCTATGACTGTATTCTTCCAGTCATATTCTTTGATTTATTTCTAAACTATTTAATCTTCTCATGGGGCCAAGGAAGAAACACCAATAATCAAGAAAACTATCTGTACACTTGCTTATGATTACTCAGAATCCAAAGTGATTTCTTGGCATAATTGACAAATAGAAGAAATCTCTGTTACCAGATATATATAAAAGCTATACAAACCAGAAAATAATGGGACCAAAAGCTTTCTTCCTTCCAATTACTTCCAACAGCAGATTTCGTAACATTTGTATAACATTCATCAATAGAAAATTTCAGACAGAAAAATAAATTTTCAGCTGAGGATTCTGTGCCCTCAAATACCACAAGTATTACTCCTGCCAGCTATTTAATAACTAATTTAAAGTAAAAACTGCACACAATAAAAGACCATGTTAGAAATTATTTGTCCATTATTATTCCACTTTTTGAACTTCATATTTAATGATAACTTATAACTCTGTTGACATACGGTATGTGAAGTAGGTGAAAATTGGTCCTGTAAATCCATCTTGCGAAGCTTGATCCTTCAGAGGAGATAGCAATGGTTCCAATTCTTCTATTTGATACAGCCCAGGAACTTCTCCTATTTCAAGAATGAATTTGAGTCAGATAAAATACACTATAATTCTTTAAATTGCTTTGAAGGTCTCCCATGAATCCTCTGTAGAGAGAATTCAGATTTCATCGTTTTCACCTCTATTCTTTCTTGACTATTATCCCATGTACTTAATAATTATTTTCATGATATCATGAAAACAAAAAACAAATTACAGTGCTTCTATTTAACAGTCTACTTTGTTTATATTGATGAAATGTGTTCGAAAAAGGCTCTTTCAAATCTACCCAGTGACCCTGTTCTGCACACAAAACAAATCAAACCAAACTGTCACACACCAGGACACCGGAACATGAAAGTGCGTAGTCGCCTAGATTCTCAGACATAAAGTTTTAACACTGGATAACCAAGATCTGATACTGTAAGTAGATCCGGGGTAGCACCTGAGAGACCGGAAAATCTGGTGCTCTTATTAATCAGCTCTTAAACTACTGCAGTTCCAAAAAAATCATTCAGCAACTTTGACTCAGTCCTTCAATGATCTTCTCACTGATCCAGGAACAAAGCTGAACACTAAAATAAAGTCACTTTTGTTATTTGTTATTGTTGTTTATCATCTCACTACCTTCAGAAAAGTGAGCTTTGCTGGTGACTATTTCATTAAAGAACTCAGTCTATAAAATCTAGTAAAGCATTGGAAACCTCTCAATTTTAAGTTCTATTATAAAAAGGAAGTGGTAGAATAGAATGCATTTTAATTTTGCTATTACACTGTTATCAAAAACTTCTTTGAAATTAATTAGAGGAACAGAAAGCACCTCTACTATAGGGTAAGTGAACCTTGAGTTCACTAAGTGAACCTTGAGTCAGGATCTTATATATGAGTACTCTAATTATAACAGCATAGAAAGCTAACTAAACCTTCTGATAGAGACATAAAGTTAGAAAACACCATCTAATTCTGCCTTCTTGAGCTAGGTCTGCGGTACAAGTAGCACCATACTCTCTTTGGACTTGACTCACCTGAGGACAGTAAACTGTTGACCATCTCCAGGAAAGTGGAATGAACAAACTGATAGTCTTCAAGCAGCAATACCACCTGCTGGGCTTCAATGCCTGCAAGCTCCATCACCTAGAAGCAGGGAAGACATTTAAACCTCAATGTATTGTTCAGAAAGAGAATGATAATCATACAATATCCTGAGGTGGGACTGACACAGATCATAATCTTCCTTGACTATATATCACATACATATTTTCTCCACAACATCTACACTATTATATATTTACAAAAGATTTCTAGGTGATTCATTTCAAAATATATCAAATATAAAGAACATTTTACCTAGATATACAGCTTAGTAATGAAAAAATAATTAAAACAGACTCTTTCATAGAGTATATTTACGTATATGACTCAGTTATAGAATTTAATCACTCTTTTGTGTAGGCAAATATCTAGAATTTTCTTTAGCATAGCTGAAGGTAATGAGAAACTGTTGATTCAAGGTTTGCATCTGGTTTTAAATAATATGTACACTTTCATCAATCACTAAAATTTTATTTGATTTAACTACTATTAACTGGCAGATCATCATAGAGACAGAAAATAAAAGTATATACCAACATAGAAAGATATACATGAAAAAGCCTTTCACATAAAAATTCACATAAACTTCAAATTTGTAAGTTCTACAACAATCAGAAAGAGCTCTGGTATTCCACAAAGTGGATTCTCAGCTAGTCACTGTAAAGAACAGTACACACATCTAGAGTGAGAACTTCTAAAAAATTACTTGTTTCATTTAGACTGTCATTTTTCTTCTTGCATAACCTTCTGTATCCTTCAAAATTCCCATATTCTCTTTATTTACTTTAACATACCCCTACAGCATTACAAAATAGATCAAACTGAGTGACTTACATATTTAAGATCAGTTTTGAACTGCTTCAGCTGATAACCTCTGGAAATTTTGGGAGTAACCAGAACAGCTCCATGCATATGACTGACTAAAGAGGTAACTGTTCGACGACCTACACCACTCCGTCCTGCCAAAAGAAGTGATCCTCCAGGAAAACTCAGCACTCTGTCCACTTTGGACATATAACTGAGGACTTCGTGGAACAGTAAAATATCTATCTCTTTTTTGTCTCGTCCATAGTGAATTATACCCTATTAAAAAAAAAAAGAGGAAAATAAATCTGATCACCAATAATAAATATAAGCAGTGAGATATGCAAACATCCAACATTTAAACATTTAGAAAAGAAGGGCTTAAAAACTTAAGAGCCTACACTGGGCTTCATTCAGAAAAAAAATATTTTTGTCACAGAATTTAGAAATCTCACATACCCTTTATGAATAATAAATATATCAATAATTAACATATCACACTATGCCCAGCAGCAGAACACCTTGGAAGTCTTTGATATATTGAAATGGGAATCTACCACTGAACTAATTAAAATTGAATAATGGACCAGAACGAAGTCTGAGCTATGTCTCTGATTCCAGATTAATTAATAACTCAGAAGAGTGTTTTAGGCACCTAATTGCTGCATAATTGCAGATTATGGAAGCTCCTAGTGAAAGACACACAACAACAGATCCTATTATTAAATTATGACCTTGTTATACTCATTAAAACCTCATCTTTGAAGCCCAATGTAACCATGTAGTCAGGAAAAAAAAAAGAAAAACAACAACAAAACCAAACCAACAAACTCCCTGCTTACTGAGGCTATTGAATTTCATAATTTCCCATATAGTGTATTGGTCACAAGCTGGCACTTAAGGAGAGGTGGTAGATTCCTATCTGCAGTCCATCAAACACTATTACTAAGGGTGACAATCTCAAAACTCTCATCCTAAAAATCAGAAAGCCTGGAGGAGTCAAAATGTTTGTACTTCCTCATCAAGCTCACTTTTTTGTACTTTAACTGCTTAAAAACATGCCAAATCTCCAGCAGTTCTTCAAACAAAAATTATGTTACCATATTGCCAATTCAAAAAGAAATAATTTAATAAAACACTTAGGTACTCAAACAATACACAAATATATATAGACATAAATGTTTCTCAAAATGTTGGTTCATCAAACTGTTGTAAATCAGCAGCAAAGGCAATCGATGCCCCTTCATCAACCTAACCTTGTTACATACTTCCTACTGCCTGCCACATAACATCATAAATCTTCCCTTCACCAAATGCAAAAGGTGATTCATTGAACAGGAGGCAGCCCCCACCATAAACCTGGTTGCTTGCACGTCATTCTTAGCCAAAAGTGTCTAGAATCATTGCTATGAACCCTTGCTGTGTATGTTCTTTAATCATGCCTCACTTTTTGAATAACATCTTTCAGGTCTGTTGAGTTTAGTCTGCCAAGTGGCCTCCCATGTGGTGGTAGTGCCTGGCCTGGTGTGATGAATGCCTCTTGACAAGCTCCCCAAGTTACATAAAAGGTATCTGTGAAAAAAAAGGAAACTTTTGAAACTTCAGGTATTCATCTCATATGCTACCTATCTTGACTAGGCGTTTTCTAAACAAATATTTCAGGCTTGTGTGGTATGCTTCAAATGCCTTACCTGCCATATTGTCCAGAACATCAGAGCCCCAATCACCTTGAAACACATTGGTCAAAATGTTGTCAAATACTTGAAGTTCTTTTGTGCCAACAATTCTGTCACGGAACAAGCGGCGTGCTTCATAAGCAAGAACTTCCAATACAAAGTCTGCAGTTTGTGTCAATGAACCTACAAAATTTAATGAGAGAATTAATTTCATATATTTATAACAAATTTTCAAATTTCTACTTTAAAATATGAAATTGAAAATGAGCAAGAGAAATTACATACCAGAAGGAGAGCATCGGTAAGGAAGAAATGAGAGAAAAAGTAAACATTATGAAGTGCTTCTTAATAATTTCTTTATGGATCATTACAAGATAAAATGAAATATATTCTATTAAAGCAAGTTCTCTCTATTAAAACAAGTGTCAGCTTTTAATAAAAATGAACAAGGTGTTGCACACAAAGTTAAAATTAAAAGTCAGTTTTCTAAGCAATGAAACCAAGAAAATCCAGAAGACATTTTTAAAAGGGAAGAGAAAGACTGACAACAAATACTAAAATAATAATAAATACCCAAAAGTCTGTATTATAAAATGCCTATAGAGACTCCAAATCTTAAATACTCCTCACAAAAGGAAAAAGGAAGGTGAGTAAATAACAAGCCCTGCCATTCGTCACTGGAAAAGCACATGCACATGTCAACGTTACACAAAACTAAGAAGTCCCTAAATCAGCTGAGATTCATTGATTGTCAGTGCAGCTTTTCTGACATCATTCAAGCTGCATTTACTACCTCATGAGCCCAGAAAATAGGTGGAAAGGGAGCACAGCATTCTTATCACATTCATCCTCTTTAACCAGCCCTCTATACAACTTTTTAAAGAATGTAAGATCTAAAACATAGTGAGTAACTGCTTGTGATGTAGTAATAATACCAATTTCAGAAACAAAAACAATATTAGAAAGCAGACTATGAAGTATGTGTATAAACTAGGTTTATACAACCAGGTACAGCAAGACCACCATGAGAGGCAAGGCTCTGGGAATACAGAAAACAACACATATACTCAAAAAAACCTCAACACAAAACACAAAAAAACAGAAGAGTGAAGAGTAGAGGGCATAGTTCAGGTTCCCATAGTAAAAATGCAGTCCCAACCTATTAACTTCGCTTAAACCATAAATAGCTCCACACATATTTTAAAACATCATTGGATTTTTTTAAACTTGTTTACTCATATGTTATGGAATGAACTGTCAGGCATTTTCTCCCTCTATTTACAGACAGTCCACAGTTAAAAAAGATCAATGTGGAGCCAACAGCAAGACCGACATCAATAATAATCTAGGCCATTTTAGAGCTACTTTATAAATGAAAAGCAAATAAGTGACTTACCACCTTCTAAATCATATCTGAATAAACCAAGAACCCACTGAGTAAGAATACATGGTGTAAAAAGGTAATGACTGTGATCATCAACTGTGAATTTTGCTCGTACCTAAAAATGGGAGTTAAGGAAAGGAAAAAAAAATGGTATTGTAAAATGTAAAATACTTTTCTAAAAGGTACCAGATAGATTAGTTTTCTAGTTAGTGCACATTTAGAATGTTCACCAACTAGAATGTTCATATTGTATGAATGCACTCCTTATTTAAATCTTGTTTTTTGAACACAAAAGATTTTTCTCAGAGGATTTTTTTCAGTACTATTTTGTGATGGAAACAACTGCACATCTCACCTAGGACTGTAAGTGCAGTATTATTAGACAAAATACATAATTTTTTTAAACAATACCAAATATGAAGCACAAAGGCAATAATGAAATGTAATAAAAACCTACCTGAATTATTAACATTTTCTCACTAAAACCTACCTAAATTAGTAATTCTTTCTCACTACAAAATACTTCATACTTACTCTTCTCCCAGAAAGGATATTCAAATTTACAACTCCATCATTAATTCAAGGAACAACTGCTTCCATCAGTTATTTGATCACAGTGTGAATGAGACTTCAACTCATATTTCTTGGAATACATCAATAATGTCATATGTAACTCCTGCTAAGAGGTGCATGCTAGCCAGTGACTAAGCCCACATCATAGTCAAAAGGATCAAGTATGTATCAAGCTTCTGCCTGGATGGGGACATTCATACATTCTATAGCAAGCACAACACAGTACCTTCCCCAGTAAGGCTATGTACTAATTAAGAAAAGCAATTAATTAAGCATTTTGCTAGACAGAAGTTCATAAAATTTCAAGTGGGAAGCTAATGTGAACTTGTGTCCAGTTGTCAACACCTGCTTTTAACAGTGTACCATTGTAATAGATGTCCTTGATGTTTGTAAAGGATGCCACTGTCATATCTCCTTCTGTGTTCATAACACCATCCATAACAACTGGGACACAATCATCTGATGCACTGTCTCCCCATCCATTAAGGAAAATACTACTATTCACATTTTATAAATCAGGAACTAAAAGTATAGAAGTGTTAAGATGCATGCCAAAATCCTAAAATAAATCTGTGGGAAAGCAAGAGCACTTATTGCTTAGTCTGCTTGGTTCTACTACCTAGGATTTTCTGAAAATAAAAAGTTCCAAATTTGATATCAACTTTATTAAAAAGATATGAACTTAGATTTTAATACTGATAAACCTTTTTACTCGCTTATTAATATCAAAAGCTTATTATTTGTAGTAAAATACCAGAACTCTCCATCTCCTTGAAAAAAGAAAAAAGGTTTCCATACCTGTTCATAGATCTGAACCATAGATCCTGCTAGCTGATGTATTTTTGGTAAAGAACCCCAAACAGGGTGATTCTTTAGGTTTTTCTGTAGTACAGGTTCCAAGTAGGCACTATAAATAGTTTGCAATTGTTCTCTTTCTGGATAGCTAAAAAGAGAAAAAACCTAGTCATTATGGATTTTTCTGCTTTTTTCAGAAAACTGCTTAACTTTAGTTAAACAGTTTTCTGTTTAACTAAAACTGAGTTAAACTTATATACACAATTACTGAGAAATTTCATTTAATAGCATTTCCATCCAACAGTTAAGAAAAATCATCATTTTATTGCATTACGCAATAAAATTTTCTAAATACATCTGTTGATATGGTCAAACTTAAATAAATAAACTTAAATAAAAATAAACTTAACAAAATAAACTTAAATAAATAAAATTCAAATTCTCTAATTTCATAACCAAATATCACCTTAACATAAAGCTGCAGAAAACAGTTTATGGCAAGAAAATTATCCAAGAGGAAACATATTTCAAACACTTCACTACCAACAGGCACCTGTGGATTCCTCTTAGCTGGACTCTGGTGCCAAGAGGCACCAAATAAGCACCAAATCTGACAATCACAAACTGTGAGAAAACATGAAAGACTGGAACGACCACATCTTTGCAAAGACTAAATTGACAAGAGGTCCTTATAAAGAGAGGCTGAATCTGAGTTCTGAGAGTTAGACATATACTTACTCAATTGCACAGAGACGAACAATAGAAGTAAATCTGGAGGTAAGTTTATGTCTTCCTAATGTTCCTCCAGCTGACATGGAAGCCACAATTTGGATGCTTTCTAAACCAACCCATTCCAGATTTTCATCATAAAATCCTTGATATGTAAGAACCTTTAACAATTAAATAAATACTTCATTAAAGTCAACAGAGTATCATACAAAATAAAATATAATAAAAAAGTGAGAAATATATTTATCTCACTTTTTTCATTATTTCTGCTTTCCTAACTGCCTGAGGTATCTTACTCCTTATAATTTTGTCATCTGCACATTTGCAGGACTCCGTTGTCCCAATCATTAATGAAGATGTTAAAACAGATCACGGCTTCCAAGTGGACTCTGTACCACTGACAATCACCCTGGCCTGGCTCTTCAGCCAGCTTTCAACTCACCTAACTATCTGCTTATGCAGCCTGTATCAACAGCTTTTCTTGTGATAATCTTTTGGGAGACAGCATCAATGGTCTTAGTGAAGTCTAGGCAGACTATATTCACTCTCTTCCCCTCAGCAAGCATGACATGTCCCTGGTGAATCCATGCTGACAACTCCTGCAATCTTCTTGTCATTCATGTGTCTACTGCACTGTAACTCATTGAGATGAGTGCTATCTTTATTTGTTTATAAATATTAGCCAAATAAAAATGTTATCTTATTTCTGGCTGACACCTACATAGTCTATTAAAGCACAAACAAAACCAATTCCAATACAGGATGCAGGATTTTAACACAGAAATTAATCAATGTAGGTATTTACTACATACACTAAATTATATCCAGTATACCTGAGTCTCTTTATAAATAATAGACATAAGTGCTCACCTGCTGCAGAAAAGCCACAAGAGTGCTTGTTCCCCATTTATCAGGTTTGGGTAAATTGATGTCTTTTAAGTACAAAACAAGCCTTTCACAGTCCTTTGGTCTGTACACTCGTCCAGTGTTTGTGCTGATTACAATGCAAGTTTGACTTAATTTCTGTAGAAGATGTTGAGAAGTAGTCTGTGCACTGCAGTGAACAGTGGCGATCTGAGTGGAGCGGAGCTGAGAAAATGCATAGTGAAGCAGCATCCTAGAAAGCCAACATGTAGGCATAAATAAATGAAAATGCTATGTATCAAAAGATATTTTATAGTTTTTGAATTAACATACATATACTACATTCACTATTAATAGAATCGGTGGAACATGAGGTTTGCTGAATTCAACATTCTTGCCTTTAAAACCATACCATTTTCCATTCACAAAATTCAATGGAAGTGTAGTGTACACAGCTACACAAAACAAACAGCTAATTAAATACCTTGGTTTAGTGGCCCAACCCATCTAAATAAGAAATCTAATAAAGGCAACAGGATGTGCTAAGTTGAGTTGCCCACACAAGGCATCTAGAGCCTCTTGAAATGAGACTGGATCTCATGCGCCTCTAAGCTGTTGCTCCATGACAACTGGTTTTCCAAAGATCCTGTTTCATATCTAAAAGCTACATACAGATATCTTAGATGCACAGTGACAGTCTGAACTGTCCCTGTAGAGCTTCATAATTTACTCACTTGCCAATACATAAGGTTTGTTTAATTAATGACCTAAACCAGTCATATTCTATCAGAAAGTCATATGATAAAAGCATTATAAAAAAATTACAGATGCTGTTAAACACATAGAAGTATATTTTACTTAAAGTAGAAACTATTTTTTACCCTTTTCCACATCCTTCAGGACCCACAAGAAGAAATGGCTGCTTATTATTAATATCTAGCCATGGTCTAAAGTAATCTAAACTTCTCTGCATGTCAGGGGTTTGGATGACAGGAAGATTTTGGAGATTACTGAAGTCATCAGCTGTTAGATTTTCAGTTTTTTTCAGCTGATACAGCATTAGCTCTCCAGTGTCAGTGTCATAATAAGTGTCCAGAGGCTTCCTTGGATCAGGAGGAGACTCTTGTGACCAACTGAAGATCTTTAAAAAAATAAAAATAAAGCTTCAGTTAAATCCATATTCCTAACACCAAGATCTACCATTTCAAGCTAGTCTAAAGAATGTTCAAATATGTAAAATCAAACACAATTCTTTGATAGTTTGAGGCTGCCTTTGAAAATTAATTTATATCATGCATATGCTTTATGATTAAGTCCTTAACTAAACAATAATATATTACTCTTCCACTTCTTATAATATAAAGAAATTAAATTAAATTGTATTTAGAAAAGCTTTAATTTTTTTTTTATATTAGGCATCCTAATAAGAAGAATACCTAAGACTACCTCTCTGATGAGGAGGAGGTAAAGTCCTGTTTCTATTTCAAGTATTCTGAACAGAAAAAAAACCCACAAATATAAATCTGAATTATATACAAACACAGTCTGCTGCAGTGAGTCCTGGTACTAAGCAATATGGACAAAGGCATTTCACTATCTCTTGATGCAGGACCAAAACATTGCTATCTGGGATGGATGCAATGTATCAGTGACACATAAAACATTCCTTCACTTCTCAGCTATTTCCCTACAGATTACACAAATCAAAATCAAATTAGAGCACAGAGATTACCTCTTTTGCAAATTCTTGTCGTGACTTCATGTTGAGATTGCCACCAAGACCACGTAACAAGTTAATCATAAACTGTCCACGATCACTACTGCCACGAAGATGAGACAGTCCATTCATCACAGTTCCAACTAAACTTGTTTCCACAACAAAGTCATTCTGTAAATTGTAATTTGTAGCAGATTTAAATATATATTCCTCAATATAAATGTGATGCATTGCTAGCATGCTTTTACTACTCATGGCTTTTTGACATTTATACGAATGAGGAAAGATCTCAACACTACTATTGTTCTAGAAAATTCACTTGACATTAAATTATTTCTAAGCATTGATATGGTGATTTTAATTCCAGATTATGAGTTAATGTAATTTAGGATAAGCAATCAGAACTTTTCTCACGGATTTTGAGAATCTATAAGGAATAAACATAACTGTACACTGGAAATCTTCCTTTTGAACAGATTATTTATGGATTTTGCTCTTTGGCACCAAAGGGAATTTGCAGCCTCAGGAACAATGCCACGGCTTCTACTTTGTTACTTTAAATGTTTAAAAATGCCATGGGTAAAAGAATTGGGAGGAAAAACAATTAGAAGAACACAACAGGACCTTGTATGTTCCCCAGAAGGAGATAATGCACATCTCTTAAACACTAGCACACTGGAGGGAAAATCTCCTAAAAAATATTTTCAGCACACAAGCTACTTGATCAATGTAAATTCAACTCCTCCAGAGGGGGAGTATGGGAAGCAGCATTAATGTGGTCACAGCACCAAGCCTGCCAGAGTACAAGGGTTTGGACAATGCTTGCAGGTACACAGTTTGATTCTTGGGGTGGTCCTGTGAAGGGCCAGGAATGGGAATTCAGTGATCCCTGTGTGTCCCTTCCAACTCAGGACGGTCTAAATTCTATAATGCTATCCAAAAAGAGCTGAGATTTATTTTTTTTTAATTGCAGTTCAAAACTTAATCTGAATGATCTATTCATTGCTAAACTAGAAAAATGGATCATACTTAAAATAAGCTGAAATTTGATTAAGTATTCATTTACTAACCTTCTTTACAACCCAGTTTAAAGCCTTTTCAAAATAGTCCCCAATCCAATTTTCAAGGTTGTATCTGCATTCTTCAGGCTGACTTCTTATCCAAGACTTTATTAGAGCATTAAGATCTGTATCTTCATCACTAAGTCAGAATAAAACAAGATTCAGATAAATACAAAACACCAATGTCTTTAAATAGACTGTTTTAAAGGAACAACACAATTCCAGAAAAAGTCTGGTAAGATACTTCAACAATTTCTAACCAATATTTGGGCTCTCCAATAAAGAATTAACAATGTCTTTTAGAAAAAACCTGAGATATTTCAGTCAAAAATTTATAACAAACACCACAGAAAGGATATGCAACCTAAAGAAACTTCCCCAGTGATTGGCTTCCTAAGTGTAAGCAACTAACCAACTGCTCCCTTCACCTGAGAATACCTTTTCAAGAAAGGTAAGTATGTATTTGCTCACTTGAAAAGTATGTAATACTCTTCTGGCTTACCTCAGAAAGATCATTCCCATTCGAGATATTGTAGCAGGAGAGGCACAGCTAAGGTCATGAGTTTCAAATATAAAGTTAACATTTGAACCAAACTGAATTCTTTCTCCACTGGGCATAGTCAACAATTTGTTGTCATCCAAAACAGAATTCAGAGATTCAATCCATTCAGGATCAATATCACCATCACAAATTATCCATGAAGTAATATCTATTTCCAGACAGAAAAATAAAATATCAAACCCAAGAAAAACAGTTCAAAAATATCACCCCTTGGTATCTTAATGTCATTTATTATTCTTTCTTCATTATGACTTACAGTTCTCTGAAGACACTCCTCACATACTTTACCTTCTGCTGCCTATTTTTTTTCCTTATAACAAAATTTGTAAAGAATCTACTGAGGCATTTGGCTACAATTGTTACCAGAAGTTTTTCTTGCCTTATGCTATCCACAAACAATAGCACAATATGAAGAAGTACTTGAAAAGGAAGGATTTCAGTAATTTCAGTGTAACATCTGCAAGTCCCTCTCAGACATACCTTGTGGCTCTCGCACCACTTGCCGAGCACTATTTGTAAGCACTCCATCAGACCATTCCCTGGTATCCATGTCAATCCGGCCCAGCAGCTGATGCCGAGGCATGGCTTTGGGATTCATTGTGTACTGCTTCACTACTCTGCCGGTTTTACCAAGGGCTGCCTTTAACATCCGCCAGAGCGTTGATTTACCTCCACCACTGGGACCTACAATAACTACACCCATTCTCTGACGCAGCTGCTCATATAACTCCAAAGCCTTCTTGATCTAGAAGAAAATGTAAGAGATAAAGGCTGTGTGAAACTGTAAAGCTAAATGAAACATGTTCCTTTACAGTATTTTGAAAATTACTTTGCATGCACACGCTTTCTATAATTTTGTTTTCTTAAATAATAGATAATAGCAGACATATTTAGAATTATGATACTAAAGTTTATGAAGAGATTTATTTTACATGTTAGAAGCATTTTGCTAAATTACTAGTACAAAAGCAATAGCTATCTTCAGGCACTTTTTTAATGAGAATTTAACAAATCTTCAGTCACAAAACTTCATCCAGTTCTACAATAAATAAAAACAAGGCAGACAACTGCTTGTGAAAATCAAATATTCACATATTTCATTCTTTCACTGTCCAAAATATTCATTGGCATTTGTATCTGGCTTGAATGACACTGTGTGTAACATGTTCACATCTTAATTTTCTTTGCACTATTTTTCTTTCAATTATATAACTGATCTACACACACATCTTCATTTCGAACACACATCTAATTTTTATGTATTCATGGAATTAGAACCTAACAACCAGTCCACAAACCACTTTTTTATAAAAGATTTTTCAAAAGAAAACAGAAATGAGTTAAATTAATGTAATACAAATCAGTTCTAATTCAGCATAATACTGTTTTGTTGCTGTAGTTGATGTTTACCTGTGTGCTAATAATTTCCAAGTTTGCTTCCTCAAAGACTTGTTGCAAAGCTGCAGTTAACTCAGCATATTCCACATCTTTAGAATCAGTGCCAGGAAATACATCTTTAACCAACTCATCAAAACGAGTGCAGTCTGCAAATGTAAGCTTTGATGTAGTGTTCAGTCGCAAAGCTTGAACCACTATGTGACTTTCATTAACTGGAAAGAAAAAAAAAAAGAAAACAGATCCGTTTAAGCTGTGTCAACACTGCTCATACATTGAAAGTAGAATTGGAGCATAGACTCCAGAATTCCAGTTCATGTACCATTCTACTTGGAAGTTAGGCATACTCAGGCACACTTCCTGTAAGTACAATATATGCCCACAATCTGCCCTATACAGATATAAGGTGGTTATGATGCTGGTCAGATGCAGACCATTTGTTATGTCAAAATCTGTAAACTTTCAGATGCATGCTGGTCAAGCAAACAGGAACCAGTAGTTGTCTTCTAAAGACATGAAATGCTCATCCATTCCATATTCTTTAACCCCCTCTCATTTAACACCTAAACAACAACTTTAAAAAACTTTAAAAAATGCAGTGATTCAGTCTTGTCCAATGTATTTCTATCATTCCTACCTATCCTTATATTTGTCTCTGCCTACCAATTTGAATCTAGAGCCATGTGAAAATTTTGGCAAAACTCAGAGTCAAAATGGTCTGATAACTAATGAATACTAAGAGCATCAGAAGAATCACTTTCCTGTCCTAAGCCAAGTAAAAACAAGACTTTGAAAATCATTCAAAATTATTCCCAAATGAAGTCTGTAATCTGTGTTCTTATCATCATAGGAAAGCTCAGTCTAGAATATGACATATCTTTTGTGATATCCTAGCGAAGGTGGGCTTTCATAGATATTTTCTTCTTTCCTAAAGTGCCTATAGATAAAAGCCATGGTTTTTTAAAAGTCCAGTGAACAAAAAAGCTGGAGTGAGTTATATTTGTAAAAGATTCTAAAGAATCAAAAGTTTGGTGTGGTCAGTCTTACCCTCTTGCTTTGCATCACTTTTCTTCAGCTGATGAAGAAGACTGCCACAGCCTCTCAATACAGTCTTCAGTGCTCGTAAACCCCAATCATAGTGCTGCTGTGGTGTCAGAAGCTCCCTGAATTTAAAAACAATATTGTAATAAGCTCTAGGTGGCAGCATCTGAAATTTTGGGTTGGTGAATGAACACACTTATAAAAGTGTGGTTTGGTCACTGGCACATAGTGTCATCGGAAATGCATTTCATAAATACAGCAATGACACTGGAATTTTCAGAGGGGTTATATTCAACATGTATTTATTATTATAGTGAAAGACTCTGAGAGCATCACTATAACTCTGATCTTTGCACTCTCTAATGCATATAGTTTTAACCAAACAGTCACTTGCATTTCAACAATTTTAAGAGTTCAAAACAACACAATGCTTGTCAGCATTCATATGCTCACTTTTCTATTTAGTGAGATACTAGGGGAGCAGCAATTTCCTCCCTTAAGACTGTAACTGAATTCAAGGTACTTTCACGTCTTGACCTCCCAACATATGGCTGTATTTTAACTTTATAAATTAAAAGTATCTGTACAGAGATTTGCATGGTAAACCACTTAGATTTAAGAGCTACAAGGGAAGAGAATTAGAAAGGTAACTTTACTAAGGAGGGGAGAGGCAGGATGGTGAAAGCTTACCTTGCTAGATTAAAAATAGCCACTAATTTTCTACCCAGTATTTTAGCATCCTTAAAGCCTTCTGAATACAAAATAACTTCTGCAATGAGTTCATTGTCTGGATGAGTCATAGCAACTGGCCTGAAAAGTTGCTTGAGGTTATCAGGCAGTTTTTGTCTTCCACCATAACCTTTTCCAGCAGGATTCAGAGTGATAAAAATTCCAGAATTAGGATCCATTTCAACCTAGCATTAGAAGTGTATTGTAATGATACATTGTCAGATGAAACAGTATTGAGAAATGTTGGGTGGACTATTTTTCGTTACAGTAGTCCATTTTTAAATGTGGCCGATGTGAATAAGATAATGAAGTTTTGCTGTACCTTTTTGCCAAGCATCTCACACACAGGACTGTGTTTCTTCAGGGCATGTTGAATTGTCTGAACCTGCATGGATACTGCGGACAATACAGCTTCCTCAAGCCTATTGAATTCATCAAAACACCCCCAGGCACCACACTTCACTAAGCCCACAAATATGCGTCCCATTGACTTCACATCAATGCCCTTGAAATTGAAAAGAATGTTGTCAAAAGTCAAATAACAAGAAAATATAAAAGAATGTCTTCCCACCCACTAAAAAGCCTTGAAAATGGCTAAAATCCACTAAAAATGTCCTTGAAAATATCCACAAATTTCTAATAGCAACTGACAAATTATCAGAATAATTTCCATAATAATTTCAATATAACTACTACTACTACTACTACTACAACTATGATAATTACAACTACTACTACTAATAACAATAATAACAATAACAATGAAGATTAATATTATAATTTTAATATTATTTCTGGAATATAATATTGCTTAATGAAATATGGGTGTAGATATCCATTTCCTAAATTAAACAAAACCATATTCACCTCATCACAATTAAAGACTAATACTTGTCTTCCAAGAATCCCACCCAAGGCTTTTACTGATTCTGTCTTCCCAGTTCCAGCTGGACCATAGGGATTTCCTCCAAGGCCCATCTTCATGGCCTGAGTAAGAGTTAGGTAACACTTATCTGTCAAAGGTGTATAAACAAGTTTTGGTGAAATCCCCTGCAGAAACAAAACAAATTATATTGATTGCTAGACAGAAAATACTGGCATTTTAATTACATTAATTTTAGTGATAAGCAATTAATTTGAAAATATAAAGCAACAGCCAAACTTTCTGTCTCATTAAGAATATGAATTTGCTTACAAAGCTGTCCTGGTTTTATATCAAATGCCAATGTATTGGTCAATTTTTTTCACGACAACAGATGAAACTGCACTTGGATATATAAAAGCAAGCATATTAGAAAATATTTAGATGATAACTTGATACAATTTATATTTACCCCATCAGCATCAGGAATGAAAATTATTACCCTGTCTTTTAATATGATCTATGAAACAGCATGTTAAGGACATAACAAAGTTTAGAGAAATTACAACAGTTAGGAGACAATCAGCAACATGTATGGAATGAGGAAGTGCTTGACTCATATATAAAAGCCACTACATAAAAATACTACACCTGATATTCATAAGTATACTGGAGTTCAGCATCTACCATCTGAACATAACATTTTTGGTCATTCATATAAAATCTCAGCTGCTTCTTCCAAGCCCAGTCTTCAACACTGTGAACCTCAGCTTGATTCAGCTGTTTCACCACATCAATGTTATGAATGATATCAAGAATTAGAGCTTTAAGCTTGAGCTCAAGGATTCCAGATTCTGCAAATAATCACACCAAAAGAAAAAAATCACTCTTGTATAGCAAGGAAGACATGTTACCTATTCACAAGTTCATTGTGCTGCTTTCTATTATCAGCAGATTTTATTTGGATCTTGTTTGAATTATATAAAGGTATTTTTTATTTTCTAAAGCAAGCAGCATACAATAAGATCCTGACAGACAATGTAAACCATGTAACTTTAGTCATTTTGATGTGATTTTGTCTGCCTCTACATGCTGGGGGGGAGGAGGGGTTTGAGACAGAGGAAGAGAGAGAGAGAGAGGGGGAGAGGAAAAAGGAGAAGGAGAAGCTTTTCTGCAAAGCAATTTATGCCAAGAGTGTTAATAGCCATCTCCACTTCAGCAATCAGTGTGGCTCAACCTGCTGAGTGAGCTGCTGGGCATCTGAAAACTTTACTACACACACTCTGGTGATTTTACTCAGAATAATTATGGTGATGTGGAGTGAAAGTTCATTAACAGATTGGGTACATTAAGTATACTCTTAGAGCATATTGTTTCATTTCATTTCATTGAAAGAAATCAATGTCTGTGTGTTTCTATACCATTCCATAATGGGAATTAAATCAAAGTAAATGAGAATAATCACAACTCACTTCAAAACCTCACCTATTTTCCAAATTAAAACATTAATGTAATGTATTATACAAGAGATTATATGAACACTCCTCTGTAACTGAGGAAATTTCTCAAACAGCTATAGAAAGAGCACAGAAAGGGAGCTCAGATAAAGAAACACAATTACATACTGCTGGAGGTAGGTGATATGAATCCTGATTCTAATTAATGTATCAGATGTTTACAGTTCACAAATTGTAAGCTAGAATTTAATACAGTAAGCAGCTGTACAAATGTACATATTTGTACAGCTATATGTACAAATGCACATATAGCTGTACAACTATATATAAAGTCATTTTAAACCTAAGATAAAAGCCATCTAACCTAACCTGCAGGGTAGACTTTTTTATCTGAAGTAGTCACTCAAAGCCCCACCTCTCATCAAAAAAAAAAAAAGAAAAAAGCACCCAGAGGCATAATTATTCTAACCCATTCAGACTATGTAAGATTCAGAACAATCATGTCTTGAGAATAACTAGCTTATTTTGCCTCAAAGGTACTCAAAATTATTAGTTCAGAGGCAGATGTGTATGTCTAATTTGAAAAAAGAGAATCACCTACACAGTTGTACAGAATATACTGGCTTGACACAAGGTACATCAACTGTAGTTTACCCACTTCCTGTGAAACAGTAGACACATAGGCTAAAAGATAGAAACTTACTAAAAAAATTAAGAAAAGAGGTCCCCAAATAAATTCTCCAAGATAGTTTCTAAGATATATATCACAGTCCTTTTGTTTATTTTGAAATATTAATGACTTTAATCTTGGCTGTAATAGGTGACTCTAGGTAACTCAGCTTTGTGAACTCAAATTGAGACATATTTATATAATTTCCTATTTAAATAAACAATGTAAAATACAACATTACTGCAGTCATAATAAAGAATTACATATTAATTATCATTTTTATACCTGTACTCCCAGTATCTTCTATGTCACTACCAATGCTGGTATAATGGTCCAATTTAGCCGTGAGTTCTAATTCTAATTGTTGCAGATTATGGTTTTTGATAGCACTTTCAACATCTTCAGTGAACAGAATTTGTTCTGCCAAGGAAAGAATCTTTGGAAGAGAAAGTTCAAATTATATTTTATAAATATTGAACACACATAAAAAAGAATCAGTTTTTCAATTAATTTGCAATTGCTTATGTCTGATAATTTAAGTATTTTATTGCACAATTTTTAAACAAAGCTCTACATTTGCTATGATCCTAAGAACAAATAAGCCATCCAAAAACCTGGCCAAATTTTGCCAAAGTTTCCAATGTAATCTAATACAGCAAGTCTTTTTCATTAAGTGGTATGTCAAAATGCCATGCAAAAGACTTGAATATTTCAAATGTTTGCACAGGAATTTAGTAAGAGCACATATTTTTAAGAACTTCTCTACATGATCAGTGAGTAAAATGGATTTGATTTGGGTTATTTTCTTCCAAATCTAAAAAAAAAAAAACTTATTTGGTAATTCTAAGACTACACAGTGGCACTGTTGGATCAACTACTACCTGGGAAGGAAAGAGCGATGGATCAATTGAACCTTGTGATTTTTTTCCAGCATCAACGCAGTCAATTAACATTTTTTTCAGAGTCTCCTTCATCTCCAAAGCCAAACTGTTTAGCCACACCTGACAAAGAGACAAAAAACCTCAAAATTATATTAGAAATTAATATCTCAGTGATGTTTGAACTAGAACAGAATACGGATTTTATTACCTCCACATCATTTGATAGAAGAACTTTATTTCTAAGTGGCACAGTTTCTCCTTCTACAGACTTCATAGCAATTATGTATTTAAATTCTTCATCAAAGCTCACACTATTAATGCCTATGAATCAGAAAACACCAAAGAGTTATATATTCTCAAAGTCAAAAAATTAATTACTATGTGTCTAGTCATGGAAAGAGAAGAACTGCAACACATTATTTGGCATCAAAGAAGCTTATCTCTAAGTAAATTTCACAAATAAAGATTAATGCATTACCAGCAAAAAGTTTCTTAAGATGAGACTGGATAACCAGAGGATTTGTGGACTGTCCTAAAATTTCTAATAAGTCATCATCTCCAACAAAATAGAATCTTGGAAATGCTGAGCGCTTTTCCTATACAAAAACAGAATAAATCAATTTTGTTGATTTAAACCCAAGCTTACTGACTTTCTTTACAAAAAAATGCATTAATGTTCACTGTACCTCCAAAAACTCATTCAGAGATTTCTGACACCTCTGAAGCTGGTCAAGAATGGTAGTTAAGGTATTTTTTATTCCTGCCCGGGCATTCAGTGATGTTATCCTATTGTCACTCTTAATATCTGACATAATGGATCTTGACAGAAAAAAAAAAAAAAAAACATAAATTCATTATCATTTTAATTTAAATATGATACATATAAATTTAAGTAAATTTAAAAAAAACACAGAGATAAGTAATATAAACAGCTGATATATAATTTTTAGATTTCGGTGCTAATGATGAAACATTTCAGAATTTACCTCAATGTCTCTCCAACGTAATTTAAGAAAAAGAGTTTCTTGCTAAAATTTCTCTACACAGAACCAAGAAAATTAAATTACTGACTTTTATTTCCATTTAAGTCATTTCAACTCAAGCCAAGACAGATAATGGCACATATCTTTCTATATTTCTAAAACCTACCCCCTTTTTTATCTTTTTACTTGTTTGGAACAAATAAACCATCTGTTTCCACCAGAACTCTGTGTGTATTTTCTTAGTGAACAAAGTGATAGTCTTCAACATGATTCTTGAAAAAACAATTGCATCCCCTCTACTTCTGCTACTAAACACTAATCTTGTGTTTGCCTGCCTATGATGCTTCATGATTCCTTTCTTCACATGTGCCCCATTAAACAAACTATTACCACCTTTATTCAGATATATGTTGCCATCACATGTATAAATCTTCTGAATCCCTTCCACTGTCCTTCTTGTCCATACATATGCCAATTGTTCCATATATGTGCACTATGAAGAGTGTTCCAGACTATATGTGAAAGATACCACAAAAGGTAAGGCACATTCCATAACACTAACCTAAAGTTTTCATCAACTCTGTTAAAACGAGCTTGTTCTTTGGGTAGAGCTCCACGACCAAATATCGGTTCCAAATACACCCATTTCCTTTGAATTTGGTTTAAATTCTGCAGGTACTCATCCAAGTCAGCTAGCTTTTTTTCCCAGATGGACACTTTATCTTCAAAGCCTTTGTAATATGGAGAGTCCTTAAGAGACTGTAGAAGACAGCGATGATCTCCAACTTGATTGACTGTGTCCTTCCAGTCTTTAATAAGCCTGATGGTCTTGCCTTGGCTATCTTCATAATCTGTTAACATGAAGACAGCTCCAACTCCCCAGAGTTCAAGCTCACGTAATGCTTCTCTGATTGTGATTTCACCTTGAGCTCGACAATTCAAATCCTATTTAAAAGTAAGAACAGCTCTCATATGAAACTATAGAGCTTGCAATAAACTCTCCATTCAAAAATATAACACAAATTCTACTTCTACAGTATTTAAAATATATACATAGGGAACAACATATACCACATAAAGTAAGTCATAAAAAAAAAAAAAACTATGGATCCTGGATTTAAAATTATTCATACCTTAAGTTCCATTGCTTTTTCAATAATGGCATCTGTCACTTTTAATAGATCTCCAAATAGCAAACCTTCAAGTGTAGTGCCTCGGGGAAGACCCAGAAGACGAAAGAGATCCAACCAATGGTCTGGAGAAAGATGTTCTCCTCTTACATATTTTAGGAGTGGAATTATCATCTATTAAAAAAAACACACAGGTAAATCCATCTACTCATTATGAAAATTGCATCTCTTTGATTATGGACTGATATGCTATTCAAACAAAAATAAAATTTAAATTCTTAAACTGAGGTACAATTTTTCCAGTTCCTGAATTTAAAGTTTGGGAGTATGATTCTGAAGGCAATTCACTGTAAATCTGTGTCTATGTAAGCTGTAATGACCATTCTATTTAATGTAGAGAACTAATGGTTTCCAAAAGTAAGTGAAATGTTCAAAACACTATCAGAAGACATTTTGTTAAATATTAACATGGTTTTATTGTAAGAAATGAACAATAAGGTATAGAATGGAGTACATTACTCAGTAATACCATAACATTTTTTGTTTCACAGGACTTTTTGAAATTCATAGAATCACAGAATTATTTGGGTTGAAAATGACCTTAGAGATCACCTGGTTCCAACTCCCCTGCTGTGGGTAGGAACACCTTCCACTAGACCAGGTTGCCCAAAGCATCACCCAACCTGCCTTGAACATTTCCAGAGTAATTAGCATCTTACCTTATATTTGTCCACTTCTTTTTGCAACTTTACTGTCATTACAGTATGTTCTTCCATCTTCCTCAGTCTGTCATGCCATTTAAACAAAAATTCTTCAAATAGGTATATCTTACTTCTGCATGAAAATCAGGCATAAAAAGGTCATAACAACACAGTACTACAACCACACTTGTACACCCATTAAAAATAAAGCACAAAAATGTTACCTAAAAGTAATCCAGTCTTCTTTGGCCTTTTCCTGTAAACCTTGATAAAATTCTTCATAGAGTGCCCAGACGTCTGCACAACTCTGAATATCTTGACTTACAGCTTCTGACAATGATAAGTCAGGCTCTTCCAACTTAAAATGATGGCATTCTTCACTGCATAAAAAGATCATTGCATTATGCATTACATTATTCCACTGTACTTTTATGGGTTAAGAAATAGTACCATAGAGAAATCATCATACTTTTTTAAGAAAAGTCATTGGCTTTATTGAAGAATATTGCTGCCAACTGCATTTTCCATATCATCTCCTTCTTGAATAGAAAGAATAAAGAAATATGAGTGATAACTCTTTTACACAATAACCTTGTCCCATATTCACAATTATTTTTTCCATAAACTTTCATTTATTTTTTATTTATGAGAAAGGTGAATTCATCTGTGCCCTCAAAATCAAAGCTGGAAAGAAAATAATTTTGAATTGATCATTTCTTCCTGGTGGTAAAAAGAACATGCTAATTTTATTTGCCATAATTTACATGCCAAGGTAAGAAGTTAAATAGAAAACTTTATCCTCAGGATCTGCAGTAATGAGCACAGACACTTAATGGGAGAGGTGAGCTCCTGTCCACTTAAGTTACAAGAGGTTCTTTTTAGACCAATAACCCAAACCTTCTCTTAGTGAGAAGTTCTTAATTAAGAATTGAGAATTAAACCCTTAGTGTACAAACTTCCTTTTGCAAGACCTTAAGAGATTTCTCAATTTATCAAAAAAAATCTAGAAAAATTTAGCTTAAGAAATTCATGTTATGTAAAACCAACAAAAATGATGCTGAAAAGCTAATGAAAAACATGTAATACAAATTAAATTACTTACAACATCTGTTGTGATAAAAATTAGTAAACATTTTCTGAGATACTATTGCTGTAAAAGATCAATACATTAATGAATAAGATATACAGGGAAATAAACACACATACATGAGTTTTTCTTTCACGGTTTTAAGTTCATCAAATTCTTTTTTTTTTTCCTTTATCATCTGAGCACTTTTCTCGAGTACATCCTGACCACCTGTTTCAATTACATCATCACTTGGCTTTAGCTGATCCCAGCGAGCTTTAAATTTTTCCAGATCTTGAAGATATGTACTGATACGTGAAAGCACATTTCCTTTCATCACTTCCATCTGCAAAGTAATAGGCAAAATTACATTCCTTAATGGTTTGTATCTATAACTATGATCAAAATCAAAGTGTCAACTTCAAAACTTTGTAATGACTACTTGATCAAAAATCAAACTCAAAAAACACCTTGTACAATACCTGAAGAAATAGTTCAACTTCAATGTCCTCATTCTGTTTTTCTTTTAAAGGGGCACTACTTTTGTTATTATGCTAGTACTTGAAATCTATTTATTCAGCTTATGCTATCTACTTAAGCTTGCCTCTTATAGCTTATAGAAAAAATGCTATATGTATGGCAAATTGGTATCTTCAGTGGAACTTCAAATGAGTTAAGCAGTTTGCCTATGCACTGGAATTACAGGACTGTGCATAGGTTAGCAAAGTTAAGCAAAAAGAAAATAAAAAGCTTCAATACTAAAATCATTATAAAGAAATTAAAATGCTATCTTTAAACTGCCATCCTCTTTTCCTCTGTTAGCCATTGCATTTATTAAGCCATTTCTGTCACCAGAAAGTTGTTTTGAGACTGAACTACAACAATACAACATTTATTTTAGCATCGGTTCAATAAAAATTTCCCCTAGTTACTACTTCAGGGTTAACAGTTACTGCTTGAGAGTCTTAAGTATTCTTCCTTAGACAGCTCTCCCTCAACTCAATAATGCCCATGTTATTATTGAAGTGACAATATTTATGGATTTAATCTAAGAAAAAAGTATTGTTCCAGACATATTCAAAATTATTTCAACATTTTCAGGTAAAACCTTAAGCTTTCATTGCTACCTGTTCAGCAATCATAAGCTGGTGGCTTTCCATCATTAATTCAAATTTATCCCATGTAGCTCTTAGGTTACTGATACTGTCCAAACCTGCACCAGACACAGTTCGCAGAAGTTTGTTTTTATCTTCAGCCTCTTGAAACAGGAGAAAAATCTAAAATTGGAAAGATCAAAGATAAGTGTGCATGTAAAAATTCAGCAAATCCTGCTTACTTAAAGCAAATACATATGAATAACCAATTCTGCATGCACAAATAATAAGTTTGTATACAGATGCTTCTTTAATACTGTTTATAGAATAATATTAAAATATTTGAAAAAATAATATCTGAGGTATTTAGAGAAATTCTAAACCTTGATCCTAACATGAGATAAACAGAAGTGAATATTAACTATGAAAGAGGTAAATGCCACCTTATACATTGCAGAGATCAACTCAATCAAACTGGAGAAGAGCAGCAGAGCAACAGAATGTGATAAATCTGCATGTATGTTTGCTGACTTTGGCTGGAATGCTAGTAATTTTTTTTCTTAGTATCTGTTGTGGACTGCTCAAAGTACTCATAAAAGAATTGGAAAAGGAGACCAGTCTGTGAGATGATAAAGTTTACTGATGATAACTATGTTATTTCAGGCATTAAAATACTTCACCTGAGAAGAACTGCAGAATGAATGTATAAGAAATAATGACAGATGATACTGGTGACAAGCAAAATTCAAGCAGATAACCATGAAGTGACATAAATGTGAAAAAATAAATTTCACATGTACAAGTTGAGTCCTAAGATAAAAACTACACTTGACTGCTATCTTAGGGTTATGACAGCTAGTTTTACCAAAATGTGAGCTTAACCTAAGAAGCAGGAAGCAAAACAAATGTTATGAGTCACAGAGATCAAAGAGATAATAATAGATAATATTACAATTTCATCATGTAAATGGTTTATTCAGATATTAAAAACTTAGAAAAATCTGTTGGTCACACACAAAATGAAATAGAAAGAAAAGACTTATCAAAAGACAACAAGGACAATCAAAGTTATGAGTGGGCTTATGCATAAGAAGAGATTAACTACCCTTCAATCTACAACAGATATCGCTGATACCAGACGCAACAAAGTAGAATACTTTCATGTGCCATGAAAAGGAAGAATAGGAACTGTTTGGTCCATATCTCTTCCAATATAAGACACAAATTTTATGAAGTTAACAGGTGCCAGTTGGAAAAAAAGAAGAGGTGTTCTACATGTAATGGGTAACTGAGCTACACTTTACCAGAGTATATTTTGGATGTCAAACACACGTTTGCTCTCAAGAGAAGACAAGGTAAGGCTGTGGAAAAAAATCCACTGAGTGTTACTATATGCTTAGAAACCACATAAAACTCAACAAGGTTCAGATTGCAGTTTAGAAGTAAAAAGTATCAAAAAAGCTAACCTGATTGTATGTTTTCCCCTAAATAAATCCCTCCACTGCTGGACACAAATTACTGTGCTACCTGGACTACTGCCCTGACACTATGTGACTGAGCATGATCTTTACTAGTTATTATTAAATGTAAGTTTCCATACTAGAAAGCAATTACAGTTTTATAGCTGTTGCTCTGGATAGAATAAAATAGTATCTTACCCCCTCTTTTCGTTCATGTAGGCTTAAATATTTTAAATTGTCTTCTGCTATTTCATCTACAGTCTGGGGCCTAATCACAAGTGTTTCCATGGCATCAGTGAGAAACGTAGAAACATCACAGAGGTGAGCTACACAAAGATGGAAAACAAAGTTATCATGGAAAGAATATTTCTAGTTTTAAATATCCAAGTCACACAAATGCACAAGCATACAGCATTAGTCATAAGTATACAAAGTATTTGTTTAAAAATTGCAGATTCCAATCTTGTCTACTACCTGAACAAAAATTGCACATTTGTGTTTACAAGTAGCTTTTCAAATGTAATCCAGTGTGTTCAGTGTATGATTTAGACTACAAGTTTTAGATCTCCTTTTGAACATTAGACATAAACAGATGACGCATTTATTTAAATACTTTCAAAGGTTCTAAAGGTCTTTTTTTTTTTAGGTAAACAGATAAAAATTGCTTTTGGGTTCTTTGGGGGTTTTTTCTGTTTATTTTGGTTTGGGTTTTAGGGAGGCTAAATAACTAAAGCCACCTTGCCTTACATATTGAAAAGACTCACAAACAAATTCCTGCATAAGCTTTAATGTGGTATTTACCTATCAAGGTAAATTTCTTTTGGTACTGAGAAAGGAGCTTTATAGCTCCATGAAATCTTCCAGGAAAGATTCAACTTTCAGGCTATGAAATAATTCACTTTCTTGCCCAATCCCCGTGATGTGTTTCCTATGACAACCATTAGATTTAAAGCACAAAGCACTGTTATTCCTCATCATGTATGCTTTATTCCACTTTGTCCTGCTGTTTCATATATAGGTCAACCATCCAAAACGGGGAAATGTTTCGTATTCTTCAACATAGTTTTAACAGTTTTGACAATCAAAGTGATAAGCAATTCCATGGAGTAAGTCCAGATTATTTTAGATTCTTATTATGTATTTCAATTTGTAAAAGAAAAATCTAATAGCATTTTTCTTACATTTTATGACACCTTCTCAAACACCTAGGAAATTTTCTTCCCTCAAATATCAAATTAATTTTCTTCTCCGAAGCAACAAAATTTTTCTTCAGATAAAGAAGCAAGCAAAATAATGTTCATATGTATTCTTTTACACCTGTAACAGAGGTGGCCCAAACAAGAAAACAGGAAAGCTACACAATGGACATCAAAGGGTCCTAGGCTATGTCTGTGGTGAAAAAATACTATTGAGAAATATACAGCTGTAACAGATTACTTTCTCTGCATTGTGATTTCTGCAGTTCACTGTGCCTGAAAGCAAATTATTTCTATAAAAAAAGTATTTGCATTAACACAAATGTGCCCAAGTACAACAGAAACGAACAAAACTAAAATACTGTTCATTGACACTATTTACCTTGAATAGATTTTCTCAAAGAAACAACTAGAATGTCATACAACTTCTGGATGAAATCATCAATCACAGTTTTCACAGGGTTGCAGTTCACAGTTAAACAATCTATTCTGATTGTGCTTCAAAAAAAGAGATTAAAAGACAGCAAATATTCAGTAGCATACTTACATGTTAGTGTCTCTAGATCTATGCACATCTATGTTTACCCTAACTTCACAGTTTAATGAAAATTTTCCCTTATAATTCTACAAGTGAAAGTCATAGCTTAATGGGAAATTAAGCCATAGTATTGAAATATTTACAACAATCATGCATATATACTTTCAGTTTTATGGGGACTGAGGTCCAATGCTCTGCTTCTCCAAATAGTTAGAAAATGTAACTATTTATATTTGCATATACAGTGCCATAAAATTCTGAAAGGCTATTAACATACTCAAAAGAAAAATACTTTCATTATTTGTGTATTCATGTCTTTAATTCTCTGATTTCCATCACAGTTTACTAACTCAGCCTTCAATAGCAATAAGAACTGAAGAAAATCCAGAGAGTCATTTCATATATATCTAATTTATCAGTGACCATAAGTAGATACCTAAAGAACACTAAGGAAAAGGTCTACCTTACTTGATATCTTCCTGACTATCCTCCCTCAACACTAATATTTTCAGCTCATGGATTTCTTAGCAACATGTTGCTTCTGGCTATAAGGCACATAAGCCAGTTTCTCTTCTATTCACCTGGGTTTGTCCATGAACTCATGGAAATCTTTACTGCTCAGAGTATCACTGGCCAGCAAGTTCTACTTCTCCAGCATGAAATGTCACATCTTTTTCCTTGTTCTAAACATGATTCCTACCAGTTTTACTTTAGAACTCTAACCATACAGTACAATAGGTTCATGCGATTATACATAAGAATAAAAGCCTACCCAACCATATTTTAAACTCTAAGTTATAAGAGGTAATTGATGTTTCATTACAGGAATTACTTCATGACAAACATGTGCTATGTCTGTTCCTAACTCCCATATATATTTCACATGTACAGGACTTAACTAAAAGATTTGTTAAAATATTATGTTTTGAAATATTTCAGAATTAGTCCTGAATTCTGAGGAAGTTTCTCATTATATCAAGAGGAAGTAATTAATTTTCAGAGAAGATGACACAAATAAAAGAGAATATCTAAAAATAAAAATGAAAAATCAAAATCTGAACATTTAAAAACCACATCCACATTTTAAAAACATTTGAAATTATATCTTGATCTCTATTTTACTATTACCTTTAAACTTTCTGATAGAATACATTATTCAAACAAAAGAATAGAGTTACACTATACCTTGGAAGACGTTCTGCTTCTTTCCCTCTCACTTTTAATGCCTTGAAGTTTTTTTCCCAGTCCTGTTTGCTAGAAAGGTGTGTCTTCACCAAAGGTTCCATATCTACTTGGCCAATTACAACCCATTCCTTTCCATGGAAAAGAAATATTTTCCAGATTAAAAAACTGTTTCTCAATAGCATTAAAATACTCTAATAATGTTTTCAAGTTACATTGTACTTCTTCAATTATCTGTAGATTTTTTTACTGCAAAAATCAGGAGGTAAAGAACAGTTTGACATGTTCACACATTTAAGGATATTCAAAACAGAAAGACTGAAAAGTCAGCTATTATACAGAGCATTCAAAAAGAACTACACATATACTTCAAGTCAGGCATGTGCTTAAGTGGTTGGCTTAACATGGATGGACTTGCTAAGCTTTTGCTTATATGCCTTGAAGAAAAGGACAACAATTCACAAATGTCATTGCTCAGCTACTTCTAGTATGTCCAAAGCGTAAAATGATACAAATCTAAGTGAAAAAAGGTATGAGTCAGTCCACTACTGAAAATACCTTGAATTGATTAGAAACATCTGCCAGCCTTCTGAACAAATCTTCTGCTTTACTGAAAGCGGTGAGAAATCCATTTGCATTTCTTTCGGTCATAACAGTGAATATAGACTCATCTTCTGCCTCACTTACTCCCCTAAACTGATTTGGAATAGAGATGAATCTCTTCATTTCTCTGTAATATCTAGCTCGTACTTCTTCAAAAGGAGGTCTGAATTGCAAGCGACCTTGCCTAAAAGGTGAAACAAATAGAAAAATTAGTATTTTAATGTAATCTGTGCCTGAATATTTTCTTTTAAGGCAAAAACCCAAAATCTTACTTGAATGTTAGATCAATAGTTATCTCTGGTAAATTCTCATTGAGTGCTTCTAAGCCCATTTGATACTGATGCTCCAGAGCTTTGTAAAGTTGATGATTCCAGTGTTGTCTCCAGGCTTTCATATCACTTGATTTGAAACCCTAAAATGTATTAAAATTAAAATTATTTTATTCCTCCACAATTATAAGATGAAACTGCACACGGTATAAAATCTGAAGACCAGAATCTTAGTAAAATTCAGTAATCACACAGCTGGCACAGACTGGGTCATGGCACCAAGCTGGTCAAAGTTTCAGGACCATCTGAACAACATGCTTAAGTCGCTTTGTTTAGTTTTAGATTTAGATAGTCCTGTGAAGAGCAGGGTGTTGGATTTGATGGTCCTTGTGAACCCCTTCTAACTCAAGATATGACTTTTTGATTTTGTGACCAATTATTGCATTTATTGCATTTATTTCAAATTAATATAGGAATTAAAAAGGTATCCAAATTAAACAGTCTCTGTGGCAAATCAACATAGGAATTTCACTGAGGTTCATCACCCATTGGTTTACCAGAACGTTACTGGGTTACTCTAAAATGCACAGGACTTGGCTGGAAATAACATAAAGAGCTGGCTGAATAAGAGATTTAAACCTGTATCACACTTTCTATTTTCTTATAATATGTAAGCTACCTTTTAAACAGTACTTATAAAAATTCTTGTGTGTTTCCACAGAACAATGTTAACTAATAAATTAATGTAAAATTTTACCTCAAAGAATCCAGTTTTTCATCAAAATCTGCTACACTGCACTGTAAGAACATGGAAAGCCTTATCATACAGTCAAGCTCTGTAAATCACAGAATATTCTCAGCGGGAAGGGACTCACAAGGATCAACAAATACAACTCTTAAGTGAATTGTCCATATGGGGTCAAACCCATTACCTTGGCATTATTAGCACCCTGACTAACTGAGCTAAATGGTCATTTGCAAGTCATGGAGGGATTTGCAGAAAGACAACTTAAGCTAGGAAAAAAGCTAGAAACTCCCTCCAGCTTAAAAGGTACTTTTGTTTAATTGGAGATTTTCAGGCAGGGCTGTGGAGGCAGTCCAGAGCTGCTGCAGGAAGCTATACAGTTAAGGTCTGCCCTACAATTCAAAGCTGCCTATAGGACCTCTTCCAAAAGAAAGATTCTAGAGATTAAGAAAACCTGAAATTGTCTTAATTAAGCTTTAAAACAACTATATACAGGGTTTTTAAAGAAATATGTCATATTTTCATGACAACAGCAGTAAGACTATACCATCTTATAATTTTTGGAATGTGAAAAAAATATACATTCAGTTAAGTTTTATCACTTCTACTCAAAGATTTTTGCAGAGTGACTGAATACAGTTTAGGTAATTTTCCATCTAAAAACATTTTGTAACACCAAAATAATTTTCAAACAATACTAAAGGAAATGTAGATTCTTCTCATAAAATATACTGACTTAAAGAGAAAAATCTGCAAACTAAACTTGAAAAGAAACCAAGCCAAATTAATTTTCATATTATCTTGAGAGAATAAAAACAAAATTAGAAGTAAAATACTGTAAAGACACTGCATTTATTTGACTAGCAAATAACAACAAAACTAATCTGCTTTGTGTTATAAAGGATAAGAACATATACACCTAAGAATATAGTCCTTGGATGGCTGAAGGCTATAGGAAAAACTAAACTGACTTGAATAATAACTCAAAATAGCCTACTTTGATAATATGATATTTTTAATCAAAATTGTTATCATCTTGCTCAATGACATTAAGGGTCTTTTCCAACCTTAACAATTCTATGATTCTACTCTAAAAGTTGTCAGTTGATAAGCGAACAAACAAAAATATGTTTTTTCTCATTATTTCAGACAGAAATGCATTTTAATTCCAAATTTTATACATTTTTTTAATTCTGTGTGTGGATCACTCATTATCTGTACCAATTTCCTCATTTTACCTTGCATTAACAGCTCAGACACAACTGACCTACATTACCCAAAGTTTTCCTATTTCCTCATCTAACACCTATCATTGACGAAAAGTTCTTCTCCCATTGCTAGTATGACATAAAAAATTATCTCCTTCCTCCTCATCTGTGATTTTATCTCACATCTGGCATTAACTAGGACACAAATGTTTTCCTAAGACAACTAGTAACTCCTTAATCAGAATTAATTCAATCATGCTATGCTTGAGTCTTAAATCTTGATTACGTTGAAAAGTCAAATGTTCACAGTTTGAAGCAGGAAAATCAAACCCTGCCTGTGACTCGAGGCTGGCAAAACCAGTTCGGAGCTCCTGAAGCCCCTCTTTCCAACGCTGCTGCTGCCGCAGTAGATCAATATTCATAAGTGATATGACCTGTTAAAATAAATTTAAGGAATAATAAACATACTCATCATCATGTAAATTAAAGAAAGATTAAGATATGATATAACAGACATGACTTCAATTTCATCTGGAAAATATACCTTTTGAATGAAGTTTGTGTGCCACTTTCTTAGTTTTCTATTTTCAGTGGAAATCCGTTCAGCAGCACCTTGGAGTTTTTGGATATAAGCCTCCAGTTCTCTGGGATTATCCCATGTTATTTGAGCTTTTCCTCCAGGACCTGATTTTGAATGCTTTAAAAACACACAAACTTTGTAACATTTAATGACAAAAACAGTCTACTAGCCAACATCCAGAAGTGATAATATAAGAAAGATGGTTTTATTCCTAGCAAAACAAATGGAGGATCTCCTTATCCCTACCTGTAGTAGAGATAAAATAATCTGGCAAATCACAGACAAAGCATAGCATTATAGCTACATCAGTGCACTGGAGAAGGATTAATGACAGACTCCTAACAGAAATTGAAATAGATCAACTGATGTTGAGACTGCTGCTCCACAAACATAGGCAGACATCTGAAGATGAGAGGACACCTTAAATGCCTGTCTTGGTCTTTGTTCTGCACAGATCAAAACCAGAAATGTTTGGTTTTGATTAATAAAAATCAAATAATTGCTAATCAACTTCACCTGTTTATCAAGAAATACTCTTCTAAATAACAATGTAATAAATGTAGAAAATGCAGTGCAGAATATGCACAGATACCACCGAAATTAAAAAGAAAAAGATAGGGGAATTCTTTCACCTTAATTATCTGTTCAAATGCTAGAGCAGATTGTAACATCATTGGTTTTTGACTCCAAATCATTTGTTGATCAATAGAATTATAGAAATGCGCCACCTGTAAAAAAAAAGAGAGCTTAAATTTAAAAGGAAAAATTAAAAGTCTCATGTCACCTTTGCCCTAGTTGTAGGGGTATCCCAGATATCAATGACACCTCATGTGAAATTGAACTGAAACACAAGCCAAACAAAAACATGTGGTATTGAGTACAACTAAAAAAATAGACCATCCACCCCCAAAAACCCCACACACATTTTCATTAAAATACTTGCTCATATATTTGAAAACTACCAATGGTGAGGACAAGTTGCTACATTTTATGAGCATTCCCTTTAGTCATAATTATAAAAAACTGAAACTAAAACCAGGTAATCAACTGTTGTATTTTTATATATTCATACAGTAATTTCATATGGCTTCAATACTATATTTCAAAAGAAGACACATTCTGAAATTGTAAAGCATATCTTTACTTTTGTTTTCTTTTATGGGCTTCACTAATATGTTCAAGAAAAAAGTCACTTTCATACAGACAAGCACAGTGAAAAGCTTAACCACACAGACAGAAAAGACAGCACTGTAGACAAGTTCAAGCAGGGAAGTCAGAACAGGAAGTTATTACAGCATAATCTTATACCTGCTTGAGGATGACTGCCTGCTTGCAGAACTTTTGTGCAGTCTTTGCAAGATGCTGTATTTTAGCTGGTATAGCAAACCCAAGTGCTGATAGCTGACGTACTTCTCTTAGCAGAGTCACCAAACGATCTGAGTAAAGTATGTTTAATGCTCCAGAAATGGGATCCAACTCCATCACAGGGCTATTAGCTTGGATACTGAACCAAAATCAATCATATTACTGAACAGAATTTGATATTTATTCTTACTTTGGTGCGTTTTACCGTAATATCACAAACTATTCTAAACAGCTTGATGTCATTCTATTTTGTTTTTCTATGCACATTAACATTTTAATTTACTCAGAAATTATTCCAGTAACCTTTCCATTAATTCAAAGCCAATGAAGATAAGACAGATATTTTTTGCTTACAGTTTTTCAGATCTGTGATGATAGTTAACATGTAACTCACAGCTAGACAGTATTCTAGATTACACTGTATCCATCACAGTCTCTCAAGCCTTACCAGCTCTGGTCTCCAGCACTGCAAAGTGGGGAGAAAATAATGAAGGAACCAGTTCTATGAACCAGAACTTGCATCAATGGAGCATTTTGGTATATTCAGCCAGTTGCTAATAAGAATATCAGCCTATTTTCAGACTCTATTTTTTTTTTCTACTTTAGCAATGCTTCTACCACCATCCTTTCACAAACACTTCAGCCTTACTCATTTTTTTCTATTTTTCTTTCATCATCTCTTTTCTAGTTCCCATACCCATTGTGCTCCCCTATGTAGGGAGCTACTTATTTTCTTGTTCTTTTAATTAACCACTTTGCATCTTTTAAAATCTTACAATAACAAAATTTTATAGTACTAATAAATTAGATGGCTGTTATATATTTGAGTATTTTCATTAAAATAAAAGCTTTTGCTTAAGTATAAACTCCTGTATCCCCTGTAACTGTGGACAAATTCTTTTCAGAGGAATTTTGCAACACTCAGAGCTGAAGACAGAAGTAATGTGGCCAATCAACTAAAATTCTTAAAATATATTTTAGTATCACATACAGAAATTATATTATTTTGGGGAAAAAAAATTCATTAAGTTTAAATTTATATGCTTACCCTTCTTTCATTTGCCTTATGTAGACTGCAGAATTTCTTGTGAATGGCAATTAATTTGTTACTCTACATGTGTTATCTGTATATCACAGCTCTACTCTCATCTAGTCTCTATACATTATCACTGTAAGGATTACAATGGGTAACAAGTAAAAACAACAAGAAAGTCAAACGTCTTTCATTCCAGGTGCTAACAGAAACTTCAAGATTAGTTATGAATCTGAAATATTAGCTGTTAATTAGTAATTAATAATATTGTCCTGTATACTCCGCCTTACCAAGCAAGACTGGCAGGATGATGAAAGTGGAAGTTGCTCTATTTGTGTCTCCATGCATTCTCAATCCTTTATTTTTTTTTATTTCCTTTGTCAAGTTCTAATGAATTACACCACACTACACATTTCATTTTTTAATAAACATTATTTAAACAAGAGTGTATTTACCAAAGTCCTGACTTGGGATTTGATAATTCTGACTGGATATTCCTAGACCAATCATCAAATTGTTCTTGCTCATATACTTTCAACTGTTCCAGAAAACCATTTGCACTTTGATGAAAAGTTTGAAATCCAGGTAAGTCAGACAGAAGAGCCTCTGCCAGCTTGATAGAATCATCCACCTTAAACACAATAACAAAGAAAAGAAGGTTAACTTCCCAGTATTCAATCAGAAAGAAAAGAAAGAAAAATCACTACAATAAAAGTCAGTATTACAAAACATCCAAGCTGACTAGGAAAAAAATAAAGTGAATTCTGAACTGTGTCCCAGATGTCTGAATTCTCTTTACAGTAAGCTGGGTTTGAATAAGCTGTTCACTGACAACACTGACAATGGCATCCACCCCTATTAAGATACGCCAGGATATCCCACTTGGTCTTTATTTAAGTCTCTGTAAAGGTACAGATCTCCCATGAGTCTTCTGTGTATCTATAAGTTCCATGACAATACTCAAAGGCATTTACAATAGAATTTCACATCTACAAGCGGACAAATGAAAATCCTGGTCAATACAATCAGTGGAGATTTGAGAGCCAAATTCAAATTAAAAAATTCATCACAGCCTAAAGCTTCTGACATACATCAGCTTATAGGTTAATAGTTATTCTGGGATAAGCATCTTCTATTCTTATTCAAACCTAGAGTTATTGAAGAGGGCACTTATGTTCACAAAAATCATTTTGGTTTTCACTGGTCAATGTTGTCCAAAAAATGTTAAAGTTTCATACTAAAGTGTAAATACAAACTTAAAAAAACAAGATAAATTAAAACAGAATAGTTGTACTGCAAATACTGCAGCAAATACTGCAAATTCCCTGGCAAGCACAAGCTCAAAATGTACTACTCTTAGATTTCAAGAAGATACTACAAAGGTTAGTAATAACAAGTGAGGATTAGGATTTCAGAATCTGGGTATCTGTGAATCTTAAATACAATTTTAAAACGTAAACGGATGGGTAAAATTTAACAAAATCACCTACTGAATTGAATTTTGGTCTTTTACCTAATGAATTCTGTTTTTTTCTTTTTTTTAATGGCAGTTCAGTTTACTACAAAAAAGACTATATTTTGGGTCTGCTAATAAAATTAACTTAGCAAGCAGCACCACTGTTAAGGATCCTTGATTATATAACTCTAGGGAAGTCCACAATTTTTGTGTGTGGAATTCCCCACAGAAATGTCAAATACCATGTTTTACATTCTATGAAAAATCATGTGTAACAGAATCTGTTACCTTCAGCTCCAGCTGCTGTACCCATACAATATTATTGACAACTTCAGAAAGGTTCTTGCCTGACAGTGGTCCAGAAACATCACCAGGAACACCATGGCACCGAGTTCCAAAGTCTGTCTCATAGTCTAACACATGCAAAAATTCATTAGACCAGAAATCTAACAGAACAACCTTATATCATTAATGCAATTATAAAAATGTACTAGGAAATCTGGCATAATTCTAGAATTAAATAAAGATCCTAGCATTCACTAAATGCAATTAAATACCTTTGACATAATCTTGAAGTGCTGCCAGTAATGTTTCCCTCTCAAAAAGCAACTCTTTGCTTATATTTGGGTGCTTTATCAGTTCCTTATGTTTCTGAAATATTTGAAGAAGCTAGAATATAAAGATTTTTAAAAGTTACCACTTTCTTGTGAAAGAAAAACATAGGTTCACACCACCCAGTAATGCTGTCTTTCTCATATCCCCTAAATGACTACTTAGGAATTAAATAACTTGATCTTCAGGAAAATTTTCAGAATACAGAATTACCCATACCTGCTGTGGACTGTCCTGAATTTCTGAAATAATTTTCTTCAATTTGCTTGCTATTTTTTGTTCCACTGGTGCAATAATTCTTTCATATTGAGAGACTGCTGCTTTCCATAATGGCTAGAGATAATGAGTTCATGTGTTAGTTTAGGGCTATATACATAGCAGAAAGACACAGAAAGAATGCGAATAAATTAAAAACAAGCATTATACCTCTGTGTAAGGATTATAGTGTACAGGATTTAGGCCAGCAAAGGGTTCAAACACATGGGAAAGATGTAAAGAATTTTTTTCTCCAGCTGGCAAAAAGAACATAAGTTTTTCATGAAGTGTTCTAACAGTTAGCACCTATGAGGGAAAGAAAATATTTGATATAAAAAATGTATTTTTACATAAAATTTATATTTACAAGTACACATCTCTCTCCTTTTTACAAGAAACTTTTGAAAGACTTAGACAAACATTATAAAACACTATCTGACTCTGAAAAGACTATGGAAGTATTTTAATTCCCTTTTTTAACTTGAAACAATGCTGTTTAATTCTGTGTCTAATGAAACTAATGCGTATAATTCAAACTTCTACCTCATCAAGACGTTGTCCAAGTTTGGCTATCAGCTCAGGGAAATATTTCTCATTTTTCCATGGATGTAGAGTGTAATGTTGCCACAGCTGTCCAGTTAGGTATTCACAAGCTGACACCCATTGTTCACAAACCAAGATGCCAGCCTGTATATTTTCTTTAACACTGTGAAAAGTATCCTCCCACAAATTCAAAGCTGTTAATTTTCTCTGAACAAATCTACCTAGTGAGCCACCTAGAAGGCAAAAAAGTATAAAAATCTGTTTGTTTAAAATAATTCCTTTAAAGTGAACCACATTCTAATCACATTTGAAAAACAACAGTGTATTGTCTTGATTTCAAACCACACAAATGCAGCAATAACTGATTATTTTGTTTCAGATTCAACAGATCTCTTGAATATCTCCAAGGTAAACAGAAGTTGGTCCAACATGTGAAGCTGACAGATTTGGATTCTGGATTCCACACACAAGCACCTGCCTTTATCAGCAGCAACAGCCATATCTGCCTGCTCCCCACAACTCTTCCTCTTCCCCACACACACAACTGGCAACCTCACTGTCCTGTGCCTGTCCCCAAACAAGGGGCTGCTATCAAGAGAAGGAGAGAAGAACCTGTCTGCACATCCTGCTCTCATCTCCACACAGACTGAACCAACATTTAATGGGAGTTTATGTAAATAAATTTTCTCCTCTGAAAGAAAGGCAGAGAGTCAAACAGAAGCATGACTGCCAGCTTCTGTTTGACTCTCTGCCCACAGGATGAAAGGTATCCAGCTCCATCTTCTATCTATCACCTTCCCAAGCATGTGTGAAAGCATCTACCAGAACTGGATGAATTACCACATACTAGAAGGCAAATAATATTCATGAATCATAATTACAAGAAGCAAGCACCCTCATGCTGTGGGCTGTTATTGGTGCCTTTACAAGGAAGAAGGTCTCTGCTCAAGGAGTCATTTTACTTTTCTCAACTGCTCATTTAACAAAGACTGTATAAAGGTTTACCTATCACATCCAAGAGATTATGCATGCGAGACTGTGGATAAGGATCGTGGTCTGTTTGTCTCCACACACTATCAAGAGTGTCCTTGGTAGCCTCCACCAAATCCACAACTTCAAATAATGAGAGGGTATCCAAGTTGCAATAATCCTAGAAAAAAATATCCTTAATACTCTTACTTTGCAAATAGTATTGTCAAAACATTTACACTTTGCTGAAGCTGGCAAGTGGTGTAGTTTCCTGAGGTTTACTGCATAACAGAATATGTCATAATCCTCTTGAAAAACCAAGCATCTGTGTTAGCTTATTCATATGAAGTATTCATTGCCATCTGAAGCACTATTCAAGAAAGTGCTTTGAGGGTCCCTGAAGTGTCGCATAACAGCATTAACAGCGTCCTTTTCAACTCGTGAGTCAATCCCCAGCTCACAAACTGTAACATACAGTTGTACTTCCACAGCAGCTCCTAGTATTCAATGATCAAATCCACTCCCAAGTAAATGTTGGCATTCCCACCCACCACTGTCACTACAAACTACATTAATATCATTTAAAGTAAAATTCTGCCTGAGAAAAAGTAACTAAATAGTTATATATTCATATACTTGGAAAGAGAGTACACTGACACAGATTTCATAGGAAGAGTGGTTCTCACTAAGTCTAGAAATATTTCACTAATCACACAAAAACATACTTTTGCAATGTCCTCAAACAGGTCTCTAAAATATGAAGCTCTCTCTTTACTACATCCTTTATTTCCATGATGAGCACATTCTCTCCAGAACTGAAATTCATCTGTTGGTGTAAGTATAGCTGCAAATAAAATAGAAAATATTTCTATATGAAATGAAAGAATGTTTATAAAATACATTCAGTCAGAACATACTTTCTAAAGCAAACTTATAGATCTGGTTATGTAAATATCCTTAAACTTCTGATCCTGACTACATGCAGTACAAAAGTCAACTCTGCTCTTCTAGCATGACCATAAGTAATTCCAGTCTGCTAACAACAACCAGTTATATTTTACACTGTGCAATCACTGGGAAACCTAAATTCTCAACTTGTAAATAAATTATTTACTCTGAATTCAAAAATTAACTATAAAAAAACAAACCTCGCACATCATCTTCACTAAATTTTGTTCCTTTGTAACTGGGATCTGATCTTCTGAGAGCAGTACTCAAGCCAGCTTCAAGCTCACTTAAAAGTTTTTGGAGCTTGGGATCAAATGCTTTACTCCACTTCTCATCCTGTAATGAAAATTTTGAAAATTATTACTCACATGATAGAGCAATTAGTATTTTCTTCCCATTAATAATTAAAAAACACAAAATTGAGATTAAGAACCAAGCACATGGTGGGACAATGTAGCGGTTTTTTCCCTGAAGTCAAGGAAAAGCACTTCATTCTTTTGCTTTAACAATTCAGAATAATACTATAAAAAACATTTTCATCACAAAGTCAAAAGACACTTGTCAGGTTTATAAAGGCATCCTGAAAGTGTGTGAGCCATTTTTCCACATTAATCACCAATGGCCAGTGTATTCCACATTTCCAGTCAGGCATATTTATGACCAGAACCTTCCTGATATAAGCTTAAGTACTTTCTTTCACTTAGAAATTATAACTATCACCCATTGCTTAATCTCCTCAAATATTTTGGTTTCATGATATAAAACATTTAGCTCAGAATTGGGTAGCATCCTATTGGATTCTAACGTCTCAATATAAATCTACAGAACATTAAACTAGTATGTTGCTCACCTTTAGTAATACTGGTGCAAAAACCTGTCGTACAGCTTGATAAAGGGTGTTGATTGGTGAATCTAGCATAGATGACACAAGAATATTACTGTGAAGATTATCTTCAGTAATTACATCAGGTCTCAGCTTAAAGAACACCAACACATTATTCTTTGAATCAGTAGCTTCAATCTGTAATAATCAAGAAAACGGGATTTGTTTAGAAAGCTGTTACTAACAGCTACACTACATATACCATTTACACAAACAATTTGCATCAAGAAAAAATATAAAATAACCATATTACTCCCTCTGGGCTCTGATAAAATTCTGATAGCATTTGTTTTGCACAGAAAATTAAAATTTCTATTATACTTATTTCTGAGTCCATAGGAACCTGACTTCCAACATCAAATACATAAAGCTTTCTACAGCATATAATGTCTGTAAATATCATCATTTCTTACTATATTTTGAAAACTTCACTTAACACTTTCTCTGGACAAAACAGAAACTCTGTCTTGTGCCTAGAGAAACTAAGCATTAAGCCTATTTTTTTAATTGTATCTTTATGCTAAAAACCTTTGGGAATATTTTTCTATATATTGTAAATGTTCTGTATGATTTTCCTGAGTTTGTAAATCTATTATTCATATATTTCTCAACAACAGAGACAGGCATGCTCCTTCATCAGTAAAATCATAAATTGTAGCATGACTAATGTTCCATCCACAGCCCAACTTATGGGTAAAGTTCCAAAAATTGCCATAAAGTAATTAGTGAAATTATTTGTGGCTGAGGAGAATTCATAGTACAGGAAAATTTATTAAACATTTTATAAATTAATAGCAAAAAGATATGCTAAGTGAAATCCCAGATTCTCTGCAACTGTAAATATTTGTGTACTATTTTTCTGTTAAAAGAAACAAAGGGTAATAATAACAGCCTTCAGTTTTATTGGACAGTATCAGTTTTACTCTCTTATCGAGTGTTTAGCCCAACTCCTACAGACATAGCTTCCCTGAGACAACAAGTACAGATAATAGCACCAATATGCATCTTATCTTCCACAGCTGCTGAAAGCTGCTTCGTATTTTAGACAGTGGCTCAGCAGCACCCCCAAAACCTGGTACATCTTGTTCATTATGTTCATTCTTGCCTGACTATAGCAGGCACTAGACTTCACAGAGGATTAACCAAGGAGTTATGTAAGTTACGGGTCCACACTCCACAGGCTGGGACTCCTTACATGCTTCTTCCATGTGTGAAGCCACCAACATAAGACACCAAGTCCCCGGTCTCCTGCAGAACAACAGGTCCCACTGTCAAAACCCACACCTTTTCTGTACACACCACGCCGTGGCCGTGCCTTCCCTACACGGTGACACTGAGTGCACATCACACCCTGTGGTAGCAATCCAAAGAGTCGCTTGCTGAAGACAAGATTTAAGGCAGGACATTTCACACAATGAACCTCAGATTTCCTCACAGCTGGACAAATCTATGGTAAAATGCATGCTTTGGAAAAACACGCGCTTTGGAAAAACACGCACCTTGGATTTGTCAAATATCAGCCAATGTGCCATACACTGGGTCCCATTCCCTGCACGTACATTGTCCATGCAATCCTTTGGGACATCTGGATGCAGCCATGCCCAGGAAGAAATCACACATCCAACTCCACGCTCCAGGCCATTCACATAGAGACAATACACAGCACACTAAAACTGCACCAACATGGGCACAATCTGCTAACAAATGTATCGTCAGCTGACCATATGGTCTTTGTGGACTCTGGGAACTGTGTTCTTGTTTCAGCAAGGACAGAGTTAATTTTCTTGCAGTGCTGTATTTTGGGTTTAGTATGAGAATAATGTTAATATCACACTGATACTATGCAGTGGTTGCTGCTGAGCAGTAACTACCCAAACTCAAAGACTTGTGAGTGCTTCGTGCTCTGCCAGTGAGGAGGGCAGGGGAAGCTGGGAGGCAGCACGGCCAGGCCAGCTGCCCCGAACTGGCCAGAGGGATATTCCGTAGCACAGAGCTCAGTGCATGAACTGGGGGGAGCTGGTCGGGAGGCACCGATCGCTGCTCGGGGACGGGCTGGGCATCAGTCAGTGGGTGGTAAACAACTGCACGGTGCATCGCTTGTCTCCCTTGGGTTTTATTCCCCTCTCTTGACCCTTTTCGTTACAGTTATTATGATTAGCGTGTTAGTAGCTAGCTATTATTGTTTTATTTCGTTCGTTTATTAAACTGCTCTTATCTAAATCCACGGCGTTGTTTTCTCTCCGATTCTTCTCCCCACGGCGAGGTGGGGGGACAGTGAGTGGTACTTATCTGCCGGCTGGGGTTAAACCACGGCAGCCGCCAGCAGCTCACAGCAGACACAGAGACTCGCACAGATATTCGCAGGAGGGACATGTCTCCCAGATCTGACACCAGTTTTTACGGCCACCAAGCCTGGGCTGACTCCGGGCTCAGTATCGCCGCTCGCACGCCGGGACGCGGCGGACTCTACGGTACCTTGTTGGAGGCGCTGAGCTGCGCGCCCGAGCGCTGCACCACGAGCAGGAACTCGTTGCCGTCGTCGAGGAAGCGGCTCAGCTCCGGACGGGAATGCAGCCCCGCGGCCAGGGCAGCGGCACCGCCCGCCGGGTCCAGCCCGAAGTAGTTGGCAGCCGTGGCTGAAATAAAGCGCTTCCTCCTGTCCCCCTCCCCGGCCATGGTGGCGGCACGCACCCCGCCAGGCAGGATCAAGGCGGGAGCGGATCCAGAGCGCCACGGGAGCACATGCAGGCGCTGGCGGGAGAAGACCCAAAAAGCTCACGGCGGGAAGGACGGCGGCTCGCTCCGGGGCACAGGGGGAGAGGCCGGAGCCGTCCCGGCGTCGCCGGGACCGTCACTATGGTGACCGGAGATGGCGGCCCGGGCGCGCAGGCGGCTTAGCTGCGGGAGGCGCCGGCCGACGCGCTCGGCAATCAGCGGAACGGGGCGGGACGGGGCTGGCCCGGCGGGCGGGGCGCAAAGGGTGCTGCGCTGCTCCTCGCTCGGCAGCAGCGCCCGGGAGTCACCCGATCCGCTGCCAGGCTTCCCCTGGGTTCACCGACGCAGCTCTCCGGCCATCAGCTGCGTCTCGGTGTCGCGGCCGCCGCAGGCCCTGGGGTGTTTCCCTCGCTCCCGCCCCACTCCCTCGGAAGCCCGTGGTGCCCGGTACGGCACGGCGGAGAGGACTGCGGTGCCGGCCCCGGGGAGCGCTGGGAGAGTGCTCAGAGCGCCCACCGCGATCACAGCTTGTGACCGCCCGTGGTTCCGCGGGCCAGTGCGGGCGTAGCGATCCGCGCCCCGCTCAGCGCTCCCGGGCCCTTCTCTAGAGGGTCTAAAAGGACGGAGCGCCTCCCGTCCCGCCCAGCAGCTGTCCTCGAACTCGGCCCCCGCTCGCGCCTCTCTGTCCCAGCCCCGAGCCTGAGGGGACACCCAGCTCCCCCGGGCGCGGGCAGTGACCGCGCGGGTTCGAAGGAACTGGAAGGGCGGCGCGGCCCCGTTTGTTTCGCTGCGCGCGCCGAGCCCTAACCGGCACCTCGGGCCCTGCCCGGCCGCGCGCGCGGCGGCCCCGCCCTCCCGGGGGCGGGTCCCGGCGCGGCCCCGCCCCGGCGGCGCTACCACTTCCTGCCCGGCGCCGTCTGTGTCCGGGTCGTTCTCGCCGTTCTCTCCGCAGCCGATACCGCCCGCGCTCGCTCCCGCCCCCGGCACGACACCCGCTTCTGGGAACGGGGCGGCGGCGGCGTCTGCCCGCGGCGAGCGGGGGCCGGCAGCACCCGCTGGGGCTGGGGAGGACCAGCAGGAACCGGGTCTTTTCTCGTTTCCTCACCGCCGGTCTCGGGAGGCGGCGGCGGCCAGGGGAAGCGAGCCCGGGGGCGCCTCGGCTGCGGGCCCCGGCAGCGGGGCGGCCCCGCCCCGAGGCAGGACGATGCCGGTGAAGAAGAAGAGGAAGTCCTCGGGGGCGGCGGCGGCGGACGACACCGGCCTCAAGAAATGTAGGCGGGCCGTGTGGAGCCCGGCGGGGCCGCGGCCGTGCGGGCAGGCACGTCCCGGGCAGGTGCGGGGCTCGCCGTGCGGCCGCTGCGGCGGCGTGGTCGTGCCTCGGCCAGAAACGCCACGGAACGGCTCCCATTCCCGGCTGGCTCTGCCTTTGGCTGCACCTCAAGGGCCGGTTCTGGCATTTGTCCCCATATTCGTTTTATCTCCCTGGGGTAGGCGGCTCTCCTCGCTTTAAGGCTGCAAGTACTCAGAGTGTCTGTCCTAAATCGCCGTTTCCTCTTTTTTTTTTTCCTTTCCCCTCCCCCTTTTTTATTTATTTTTTTTTTTCTTTGTTTGCAGTGAATTGGAAGGATTGGTCAGCACACTGGAAAACAAGAGCAGGAAAGGTTTCTCAAATAAATACAGCTGTTGGAAGCATCTTGTTCATTAACTGCTATAAAAGAATCACTTTATGCCGTGATACCCAAAAGTTGCTGTTAGAACGATAAACCATTAGTGCGGTGCAGCAGGAGCTTACAGTGTGCCTTCCCCGAAATAACTGCCTGCTTCATCTATTAGGCCTTGCTAAGTATGCCAGTAAAGCAGTAGTTACGACTAAGGTCCTGAGGACATGAGGATACAAAGGACTTGCGAAATCAACACTACGGGAATGGCTATTGCAAAAAATTGTGGCATATGGCCTTTCTCATTTGCTGGCCAAACTTGAGCATAGAAGTACTCAGGTTCTTAGTTTGTTATGACTGTTCATTTAGGGTAGCCATTCCTAGCTCACTTTTTGTGGGCATTGATGACCTTATAGTTTCAGTCAGTTTATTCATTGCCTATAAATAACTGTTCTTCTGCCAGCATTATCCACTGTACCACTCTACTCCCTCATGGTTCTGCCCCAAAGTATATTTAGAGGGAATACTTCTGTTTTCTCATACTTTATTTTGTATACTTAAAAAAACTAAGTTATTCGGGTTTGTAATACCAGCTTTCAGTTTCCTTGCTGATCTTAGCACTTGTTTGCATGTGCTCACTTTCAGTTTGTCTTTCTAGAACACTGTTAACTGAAATTTTATTATCTCAATTTCTTTGACTTAGTGTTTTATAGCTTAGGGAAAAAATAAAAAAAACCCCACAGATTCTACAGGGAGCTAGTTGTTGGGCAAAAACTATGATGTAAGTGAGAGTTCTTGCTAGATGCTAGGTGATCAGAAAACATTAGATATGCAAGCATTTTTGTCATTATGTTCTTACACAACAAATTATTTGTAATATTCTTTAGTAAAATCAGTGATTACAAATAGATCTATGTTAATCTGGATAAAGCCAATAAGCAATAGCATACCATATGACTCTGCCTCTTTCTGGTGACTTGTGTTCCTAATGCCAGTTGGATGGATGGATGGATGTTTGGAGGACTCCTTTAATTCTAGCTTTGAACACGGAAGGCTTCTTCTTAAGAGCATTGTGTTTTTTTCCAGTGAAGCTAAAAACGATCCATGGGAGTTAAAGTTGTTCACCCCTCTGAGAATTGAACTATTCTTCTCCTGCTTGACGTTTTAATTTTAAAATTGCAGTGTGGGAGCTGCATAATTTTAAATCATCTCATATGATTAGTTCTCACCTCATTGTTAGAAATAACCTTAGCTTGTTCTAAAAGTCTGTAATTTGTGTTGGAAAGGAGGATGCATTGAAGGTGCTGCAACTCCTTACTAACTGAAGATGCCTTTGTATAGTCGGTGTTTTTACTGGAAGAAATTCTATGCATTCTTTTAATGAATGATGAATTAGAGAATTCACTTCCTAGGCAAACTGGGTTGTGTGTTACATAATGAAGACAATGCTGAGCAGCTTCAGTCTTGCCACAGATTGCACACTGCTATTCTGGTATACGTACCAAATATCTATAGAATTTGTATTTTCTTAATTGTATGTATAATGCAAACCAATTGACCAAGTTTTTTTCTCAGATTTGGATGGTTAACTATAAATAGCCTGACTTTTAAATATGTCAAACTCTGCAGCTTCTGTTGACCTTAATGGGATCTGTGCATGTTCAGCACTCTTGAACATCAAGCTGCTTATTAGAGACCTAACACTGAATGCCTGTACGTATAAATAAAAGTAGGTAATAAGGCATTTGAATTACTGAGGAGTGATATTTTCGCCATCTGTGTGGGAGTTTTTTAATTTAATATCTACAAGATAACAGTACTTCTGCATTTCAGAAAAAGTAATATTTGCAATAAATTTAGCTATGAGATGGTTGTAATCTAAAGGGAATTTTGTGTTCCAACAGGAGTTGAGGATGACAGACAGTTGTCTTTTATGAAATTCAGCATAACTCTAGATGTATACTGACCTCGTGAAGCAATTTAAATAGATTAATAATAAATGTTGTGTAATTTAATTTTTCCTGCTTTTCACATGTCACATGAAAATAACACTGTTCATCCCTGTGTTTCTATTTGCTACTGCAGATCACAAGCATCTGGTAAAGTAATAAGTGGAGAGGAACATTTTTCAAGCAAAAAGTGCCTGGCTTGGTTTTATGAATATGCAGGTAATGTGCAGTGCATTCATGTTTGAAACTATATGGTTTTGTTTTAAATAAAGCAATACATAAAATATTACTTGCATTTTGCTTTTGTGTGCTGATGTAGACATAAAAATGTGTCCGTATTTGCTTCCTTATAACATGCACTTGAATCAGGAGGGCTTTTATTATTACCTTCTTGGTGTTTGTTCTTTTTGACTTATTTTTGTTTACGCTTTATAACTTTAAAATGAAATAACACATATCAAGTAGTACAATGTTGAGCCAGGATATACTGAATGATTCATTTCTTGCTTTGAAATTGTCGAGTAGAAGTCAGGACATTGAGAGATAATTCAGACTGATGCTTACGTATCTAACTATATCTTCTTTGTGATCATATTGGAAGACTAATAATGTAGGTCATGATTTAAGCTCCTTGGATTTCTGTTTTAAAAAACAAAATAGTAGAGGTTTATACTGGTTTTCCATCTGAGAATTTGTACTAACATTTTTTATATTCTAAATACCAATGTTTCATTGCAGAGGTATTTGAAGTAGCCTCTTTCAAACAACTCAGAATTGCCATTGAGTAGCTGCTTTAAGTGAATAGGCAGTATATTTTGCAGAATTTGTTACACTATTGCTGCTATTTATTTACCAATTACATGGTTTCTGAACTCAGGATTTCTGAATTGTTATTAATTCCTTGTCTAGTCACTACTTAAAGTCCATCAGAACTGGTTGGTGATTAAAACTCATTAATTGCCAGATTTAGTATGCAGAGAGCTGCTGATTTATCTGCCAGCAATTGGTTTGAGTACATTTATCATATTTTCTTATCATATTTATGATATTTTCTTTGCAGTCTTTTCACTGAACTACTTTTCAATGAACTACTCTTACTTATAGTAATCTGCTCTCTACTTTAGGTTTGTAGCATACTCTTCTGGAGCAGAGTCTTTTCTAGGGAAATAATAATTCAAAGTTAATTTTCTTGTGATAAATTTGTTTGCACGTTCTTCAGAATTAATGTCTGTAAATTTTGGCTTTGTCACTGAGTCAAGAATTGAATGTAGGAAGTTATACTTACAGTTAACCAGCAATCAAAAAATGCCAGATTTCTAGCACGAGAGAGAATTCCAGTTAAATTATATACAATAAAAGATAAAATGGTTCCATTAAAAGATAAAACTATACACACACATATAAGTGTATGAGCTTTATGTATAATTTCTGGACCAGAAACACTCATTCAGGCTTTTACTTGTCATTACCAGTGAACCCTTGTATGTGTTTCTCTTCATAATTTGCTTTTTTTTTCAAGAATTTTCTATTGTAACAGTGTTTGGTATTGCCTACCTAGGCAAAATGGCCTCTGCAGTATTTTTCAGGAGGTAGGGATTCATGATGTTAAGTGTCAGTTGGATTTTATTTTTCTACAAAAGTAGCCATTCTCAGTAGGTTTTATTGACAATGTTCTTATCTCACAGTGAGTAGTTATGCAAAGCACATTATCAAAACTCTTAAAGAGGCTTCTGCTTACCCTGGCAGCTGATCAAGTGGAGACAGATTCATCAAGGACTCTGCCTATTAGAGGTAGCAAAATTTGCCAGAAAGTTGTGAAGTGGTATGTTGTTTTGGAAGCTAAAACCTTTGCCTTTTATATGAGTTTATACTCATTAAATGTTAATGTAATGATCCAGGACACATTAAAACGCTGTGTTGACTGGCCTTTTAATAATATTTGGCTGCTCAGTAGGAATAATTTTTGGAGGCTTAGTCAAAATAACTGAAGCCAGAGAGATTAGAGGAGCAAAACACCCTGGAGTGTGTGTCCGTATTCACTCTTCAAAAGCGCTATTTTGCTGCATTTTAGAGGCTTTCATGTTAAAATGGAGAAATGACAGCAAAACACTAACTGCTGTGGTCCTAATCAATTTGTTTTCATTGCAGCCCTGAACCTATTTTTTTGCTTTGTATATGGCTAACATGCTCAGCGTTTCTTCAATTTATTGTTCTCACTTTGCTTATTTTACTCAGCATTGTAAAACTCATCTTACATTATTTGCAGATTCACCCTCTGTGTTAGAGTAAACCCATAATGTTAGCACCATCAAAAGAATATCTGTAATAGTAGTTGAGACAGAATTAGATTTTTTGGTTGTTGATAAAATAATTTTTTGAAGAACATTTTTCATAAAGTAACTTCAGCAGAGAGTAGTGGTACCCAAATGTCTTGACTCCCACAGTTATTGGAGTTGAGCTGCATCAATAGGAAGCTCAGTGGAGTCTTTTGAAAAATCAAATGCAAAACTGAAATGGCTTGTCTGCTATCATAGGGAGGCAGTGCACAGCACAAACATTCTGGTGTAGCACATGTGTCTACACAATTGCACTTGACAGAATAGTTCTAGCTTAAAAGCTACTTAATAGTGTAACTCAATATTTTTAGAAATACTTTGGGTGCAATATAGCCTAATTATTGAGTATAACCCTTGTGAGTGTTACTTAGATTTCACTCTGGTGTGGTTTTTGCTTTGAAGGTCCCGATGAAGTTGTAGGCCCTGAAGGAATGGAGAAATTCTGTGAAGACATCGGTGTTGAACCTGAAAATGTAAGTTTCTTTCATATTGCTAATAACACCTAAGATACTAGGTAAGGTTAAGTTCTGTGTAAAGCTCCTAACTCCACTAAGCAGAGTTTTTCATTTTCCTGCTTGTAGGAGCTGCTCTTAAGATATTTCAGCTGAATACATCAGTTATATTTGGCTGGTGTGTGAGGGTTTTTTGGGTGGGTTTATTATAGTAATACTTAATTTTCAAAAATTGGCATTGAGGGAAAAATTGCACGTAGCTGAATTTTTTAATGTTATCAAATATGAAGACCAACCATATACCACTATTGCTGGAATGTTTGAATGCTTTAGAGTTTTGTTCTTGGACATTATTAAATCACCCTTTTCTTATGTAATGACTCTTTTTCCTCCCCTTATTTTTGTTTCCCTTAGATTATTATGTTAGTTTTAGCCTGGAAACTAGAGGCTGAAAGCATGGGATTTTTCACAAAGGAAGAATGGTTGAAAGGAATGACCTCATTACAGTAAGAGTGCTTTTACGTATCTAATAGAATGTTCTAATTTTATGATTGTACCTATAACTTAACTATTCGTGTTCTGTTTCATGTATGTTGAAAATCAGACACAAAAACAGCTGGCTTTTAGTTCTTGTTTTGGTCCACAACTGCAAAATTAATCTGAGTTCAGTCAAAGGATTAAAATACTGTCTAAACCTAGTTAAGTCAAGTTTTGGTTGCTTCCATTTCTTGCAACAATATGTTAAAATACTATCATTCTAGTTAGCAGATATAAATAAGTGTATCTGTAGATGCACATAAACATGTCTCAGCACTGATATTATGGAAAGATTTTACTGATTTCTGAGCTTTATAGATGAGGATAATAATTTTGGCTGTTGGTGTTATTAGATGTACATCAGAAGCTATGCTTAATGCTTAAGTTAAATAACAGCTTTTCAATTTATAAACTAATCTTGCTCTTTCTGTTTGCATTTGAATTTTTGATGAGTTAATGCTCTGCCTAAAGAGATTGTTTCTTATATTAATCAGCTTTTTGTGAGGCTTAAGTCAGTAGTTACTTTTTGTTTGTTCTTTGTGTAACTACCTGTGGTACCCTAGTGTTTTAAGGGTGTCATGTTATGACACTGCATTTAGTATTACAGATAGGGAACTACTATCGCAGCTAGAGCACAGTGGGAAAGAGGGCTTGGCTTTACCCTTGCCCTGTCAGTTGTGGATTGGTTTGGGAAATTGGGCATATACCCTCTGGTTACTCAAAACTATGGAGTAAGTGACTCTGGACTGACTCTCAACTCTTAGTTGATTTGGGACCAGGCTTCTGATAGATGCCTTGATTATTTTGTGACTATCACCAGAAATTAAATTAGGAGCTGGAATGATTAAATTGCCTGAAATTCAAGATGACAGGTTAAATTCTGGGTGCACGATTTTTCAGATGCAGTGAATTTGGTATTGGTCACTTATCCAAAGTATTTAATTTTTATGCCCAAATAGAAGCTTTCAAGAGTTAGCCCATCTCACAGAATGCAAGCACAGAGACATATGAAATCAGGCACCTGTTCAGAGATGATGTTTTAGACTTTGTTTCTAATAATTTCCTGACTGGAATTCTTCTGGTTCTTTTCAGAACAGAGCTGGTCATGCTATAGTCTAAACATGTTTAGTACTGAAAATAGGGTGCTGGTGTGCGTTTTCGTGGAAACAGACTTGTGGTGAGAGCACTTGCCTAAGCCTAAAGCAGTTAATGTGTATGTTTTGCTTTCCCTGTTGCTCTCTAAAAAGCTGGCTAAGCAGAGGCACTCACATAACACAGCTCAGGATCCATTAGCTGAAAAATAGGTGCAGATTTTGGCTGGGAGTGAGCAAGCAGCTCTGTGATGCTTAGTTACCATCTGAGGTTAAACTATGATGAAAGAAAATACAAACCTGTAGACTAGTGCTGTTGTTGCTTACTAGGAAGGGAGGATGATATTATGGGGTTATCTATTTTCTCTTGAAAGGTTTGACAAAAGTTTGAAGTAAAAGGGTTTTACACTTAAAACGTAAAATATTACTGCATGCTTACATAGCTTATTTTTTTTTCTTTGTAATTTTTGCATGAAGAAATGAGATTGAAATGCATTAAAACCCCAGAGTATATTATACATGGACTTCTCTTATAGAATCTTTATTTCAAAATATGTGAAATGTTACACAAGGTAATTGCATGAACAGTGCTGGGTGGAATTCAGCTTAATAGTAAGATACCTAAATGTTTGGTTTATATGTAAGAGCTGGATTTCTTAAACTCTTACTGCAATCTTTGGGGATCCAGTCGGTGTAATGGAGCCTAGGGAAGTATCCACTTTGCCCTAAAACCTAATGACTGGTCACCTGAATTGCTCTTAGAGGTTGCTTGGCTAGTCCTCTATGAATGACAACACCTGAAGCTTAGGACATCTATCTCTAATCTACAGTTAGATGACAGCATTTGGGTGCCTGAATCTTGAGTGACATTCTCTCTGCATGTTGTTTTGTAATACACTGGTGAAGTTTGCTGTTTAGAGATGAGAAAAATAAATGTATGGTGTGGCAGATACTGTCAAAATGAAGATTAATTGAGCCCGAAATGTCATCTTATAAGACCTAAACAACTTAGGCTGGGAGGTTTCCAGTACGGTGCATAGGTGAATTCTGCCCCGTATATGTGTGCATATACACATGTACATATATATGTGTGTATACCTATATATTTATGTATAGATGCAAGCTCTCCTCATAGCAGAGAGAATAGAGTACCTCTGCTAGGCCAATTATTTCATCCTTCTTAGGATGAAATGTATATACTAACATGAAATGCTTTTGGTTTAATGTTTTTATACATCTTGCTGATTTTTCTTTTTAGTAAAAGACAAGTGTATGTGAATAGCTATGAAATATAAAACATTGAAATAGCTGAGTAGGAGTTAATAAATCATCACTTTGTCCATGTTAGCTATGCCTCAGATGATCTCTATCTTGACAGAAATTAAAATACATTCACTTTGTAGTGCTAATTTGAGTTTTGCTAAAGATGTTACATAGGGATGAGAAGAGAATGTAGTAAGCTAACGTCTAATTTTTATGGTCTTGAGGTAACACCATTCAGTGCTATCTTTCAGTAAGGACCATTTGAGAAATTACATCTTTTTCTAGTGTCTGTACAGGAGTTTAGTGTTAATTCACTTGTACTAATTAGAAGGTTGTTCTGGTTATTAGGAAGATTATTCCAGGTATGGGTGATCTCAGTCATCTGTTTTATGGTGCAGCCACACAGGCAGCTGTACCTCTGTAAAAGAGGAGTTTGGCAACTCCTTGCCTCTTTTTGGGAGGAAAGTCAGTGGCTAGGTATAAAAATGCCCTAAACAGCTTTAACCAAAACATACCTGCGTGTCGGGATCCAGAGGCTGGCGCTGGTCTGAGCATGATCCATTTGGCTTTTTAGTTGCAAATGCACTGATAATAAATTGCTTAGGAGTCATGACACTTAATAATTGCTCATTTTCATACCAACTTTTTCAAATTAATCAATTGCGTGTTAAAATACACATAGCCAATAGTATTGCAGACAATAGCTGGCATTTTACTTTGCGCTTAGATGTATGAACAGTTTTAACAAAGTAGTTTGCAAGAAATTTAAACATACTGAAATTTGAGTTTACCCATGATAGGGTAAATCATCTGTCAAATTATTTAACAATGCGTGGTAAACCCACTATAAATATTTTATGTCACTAGTACACTAAAAACTTGAGCATTTAGGTAGATTAAATAGGTAGATTTGTCCTCAAATGTGTAGAACATTCTGGTGAAAGTATGAAGCTTTGAACATACAAGAGGTACGAGTAAAAAACGCAATGCCTTTCTAGCATAGCATAATGCTAGAATAGCATAATTATTTCTAAGGGTTACATATAGAATACAGACCAGTTAGATGGCTGAAGACAAAAAAAGTCATTTTATTTCTAGTTCAGTTTACCAAAGCTCATTTAACAAGAGTTCTTTGCAATTTGTTGTATGTTTTATCACGGAATATACTACATGTCATCTGAATATGTAGTCTAATTAGCTAATAGTTTTATTTATTTAGCACCAGTGTTGGCTAGGACTGAGTGCTGCTTTAGGTAGATGCTGCTAGAGACAAGAAATAATAAAAGGTTGCATCAGTTGGAATTGCTACATTTCTCTTGTCGAAGTCTGAGTGAGACAGACTGACAGACAGCTGTGCACACACAGAGTGGCAGATCTGAGGAACAGGAAGTATCAGCTGTGGGCAAAGTACAGCATCAAAGCCCAGCATCTCAGCAGCCCTTGCTGGGGGCCTGTGTGACAAGTCCGTGTGGAGCTGTTAGAGGTGCAAATGTGTTCTCTGAGAGGCAGGCTGCCAAAAGGGGGACACGTGACCAAAGGAAGTATTTATGTACAGCTGCATTTCTGAAAGTATGCTTCTTCACAAGGGATACAAGGCGAGGTAGATTTTTTAATTTATTCTTTTTTAGTCATGGCAGCTATTTTATAAGAATAGAATGTCCTGTTATAACTGTTCTATTGAGTGAGTACTTTCTGGAGGATTAGCAAAGTTAAATTGCATTCTCCTTTGCCATTGTTGGTGAATCTGACCCATTTTCTGTTTCCTTGCTGAGTAAAGTACAAGGCAGACTTACTGCCCAAGGGTTATTTTTGCCAAAGCTTTATCCTGTTGACTAGCGGACCTCTATGTTCTCATACAGCCTTTGATTTTTCAGTTGAGTAGCTACTGACTAATTCAGGTGATTAAGGCTTTATCAGAGCTTGCATTTATCAGTCATAAAACATGAGCAGACTAGTATGTTTTGCAGAGTGCCTGCTCAGTCCTGCCATTTGTAAACGCACACTTCAAAACTACATGTTTAGGGTTTGCGTTTTCCCATTATTTACAGCTGTATTTTACCCCTTAATGCACACTGAATTACGTTTTCTTCAGACATTTGTAGTGGTTGGAAAATAAGATACTGCTGGGTATGACTGTAGATTACAGAGTTTGGAATTAAAAGACTGCTATTTGAGATGTGAAGCATGCACTTCATATTATGTTGGTGATATATTTCAAACAAAAAACTTGCCTACAGAAGCCAGCATTCATCATTTCGGAAGCTGCTAATAATTTTGAGCATGTTCAAGATTCTTTAAGTCAGTTTCACAGTATTACTCCTGTGTATCTAATGATTGTGTTTTGGTGATTTCAGTTTTTTATGTTTGCTGGCATTTTGTTCATTGTCTAATGTGGTGTTTTGAACTTCTCATGTTTTGTTGGGTTTTTTTTAAGGTGTGACTGTACAGAAAAATTACAGAGTAAATTTGACTTCTTACGGTCACAGTTGAATGACATTTCATCCTTTAAGAATATCTACAGATACGCCTTTGATTTTGCAAGGGTAAGACTGCTGAAATATTAGCAAAGTTCTTACTTCTATTTATTCAACTTTTATTTATTAATCAAGCTTGTGCTTGATTGGTTCCTGTGCTTTCTTTATTCAACCTTAGGAAAAAGACCAGCGAAGTCTTGATATTGATACTGCAAAGTCCATGTTAGCTCTTCTGCTCGGAAGAACTTGGCCACTGTTTTCAGTATTTTATCAATACCTGGAGGTACAAGTTTCCTTGACTTTGTGAATGTTGGCGTAGGAGTTTGAGTGTTCTGTGAGAATATTGTGTTTATTTTACTTAAGAATGTATCCATTATGCTCCCTTTCCCTTGCTCAATGTGCTTATGAAACAGTGATGTTCTTGCATGCATCACAGATCCTTATCTTCCTCCCTGTGCCCCATTGCCTTTTCTTTTCTAAGGCAACTAAAATTCCATCTTGATTTTACTGTGAATATAAATTTGAAAGTAAGTATAGAGCCCCACTAGTCTTCAGCTGCATCTGCACTGCATTTCAGGTTTGCTTTGTGCAGATACGGTGTGAAGGTATCTTGATCTCTGGCTTCCTGGAAGATTTTGATCAGCTCAGCTGCAAGTGACTGATGAAAATGAACAGGTGTATATGTTGTGGAACAAAGAGCTTGATACCATTCCCTGGCTTCAAAACAGTACTAACACTGCAAAGTAGATGTCCTTATGATCATAATGTATTGTACCCTGGAGAAAAGATGATTTTTTTTTTTAATAGTTCGTTCTGGAAATACATCTGAGCTAGATAGGTTTCACTTCAGGGCAACGCAAAAATATACCAGTTTTTGAAGCTTACAGTGGTGACTTACTGATTTCCAGGTTTTGGGGAATTTGATTCTGCTCTGATCTTCTACGAAATCATTTTATGTCATTTCATAACTATGAAACATGTTAATGTGTAGTATTTTTAAAAATGGAAAATCAAGTAAGTAATAGCCATTGTTACCCATTAAATAGTTTGTTAAGAACTCATTGAAGATAAAATTATATAAATTAAATGCAGGGGTACCAAATGCCACTTGACATTTTAATATTTTGGAATTACTTTTCCTAGCAATCGAAGTATAGAGTTATGAACAAGGATCAGTGGTACAATGTACTAGAGTTCAGCAGGACTGTCCATGCAGATCTTAGCAACTATGATGAAGATGGTGCATGTAAGTATTCTTAATGTTTTGCTTATTCAAATTAAATTGCATAAAAAAAATTCCTGTAACAGAAACAATACTGTAAGCTATAATTTTTCCAACAATAACTAAAAAAACAGCCCTGATAACCATCCATCTTCAAGCTGCAGATATTAATTTTTCCTAATTGTTTGTCAGTGGTATAGTATGTAAATAGTAGATAGTTTTCTTGAGCCAGCTTGTATTCAGTGAGAAGTTGCTGCATGCAACTGTAGACTTGCAAGTAGAATTATAAACAGCAAACTCTCATTTTGTACTAGTATATAATAAACTGTAGCTTAACAATTTTTGCCTACCTGCTGGTACTTGGGGCTGAGCTCTCCACCCAGCTGGTAGTCAGTCATGCCAATTTTGAAAACTTTGGGAAGAAGGAATTAGTTGTCCTGATTTACAAGGTTATTTTTATGCTTTTTGTTCAGTTCACTCCACCTGTCAGATATCAGGTGGAGTGATATCAGGAACAATGCTTTCCATAAAGTGTTTTTTTGTGCACTTTTTATCATCCTTGGATTGGAATGATTGTACTAATTTATGGGTATTTTACCATAGGATTGACATGGATGTTTCCTGTATCAGTAGTTTTAACCCTCATACTTAAAAAGGTGTTTGAAAGACATTATAAATTTTAACTCCAAGCTTTGTCTGTTTGCAGGGCCCGTACTTCTGGATGAATTTGTTGAATGGCAGAAAGTTCGTCAAGCGTCATAGCAAGAATTTAAAGGAAAATGCAAAATTTTTTTTTGGTGCCCGCCTGTACACAAAGTAATGAGAAAAACAAAGGATTGCATTTTCATTCATGAGAAAGACTTTACAGTAATTTTTTTTTTCCTTTTTTAAGGAGACTTTCTTGTTACATGTGATATGGGCATTGAACCACACCTCTTCTGAGACTGAAAGTTGGAGTTCTTGTTTTGAGTCTTATGTTTATAGCATTTATTTCAGAACAATAAAGATTCAGATTTGTGACAAAGGCCTAAAAGTGAAGGATGTCCCTTGAATGTGAGCGTGGTGTCTATTTTTAAAACCAAAACTAGAAGATATCTTTCTCAGAAGTGCCCTTTGGTATGAATTTTTGAAGACCTTAAAATGCTTAATTGGAGCTGTTGCTTGCTGTTGGTGTGATTGTCTGTGTGGCAAATGTTGGAAAGAATGACTGATTTTGGAAGCCCTGGGTAGGAGTGTGCTAATTTGCTAGTATTGGTCATGGGTTGTGCCACAGTTTTCAGCTCCTCGTGGAGATAAAGGCCTTAAACTCCTGCTATTGTTTTTAATTTCTTTGTTTATTCCCCACCCAGTGGCATGGCATTTAATGGCAGGCCGTTTCAAAGCAAAAGGTGTACAGCAAATGGCTCTGTGTGCAGAATGGCTGAAAACTAGTTGCCTGTACTTCAGATGCTGAACACAAATACTCTTTGGGTACAGCAAGGCAGCTTCAGATTTTTACTGCTATTTAGGCTTTTTGGATTGCTTTGTACAAGTGCAATTTATATTTTAAAAGGGAAAACTGGGAAGACTTGGTTTCAGGCTTTTCTTACATGTTTTAGACTGGAGGCACTTATAACATGACTTTTTTTCCTCTCTGGATGGTTTTCATAATATAAATCAAGAAGCAACTATTTAATCACCTACTTTTGACCAAGTAACAGGCTGTATGTAACAGGATATTAAATGTCACCCTGTTACTCTGTGATCTGAGTCCACAACCTACTGTGATTGCCCTTTTAGGCATTCAGTATTCATGATAACCTTTAAATGTAGTAGAAGTTTCTACTCTACCTCCATGCCTAGGAGACCTAGTGCCACCCTTGAGAAGGAAAGGGATTTTAATCAGTAAATGTGAAAACCAAACCAGAATGAGAGAATGAAGAATTTGCAACTTCTGCTTTATTCTATAAATGTATAATACAGACTGTGATAATACTGAGAGACTCAGTCAGTGGTCAAGGCCTGTGTGCCAAATACTTTAACAAGTGAAATAAGAATAGACAATGTAAACTAGGCATGACTTGAAGATCTTTGCCTCAGGGAAATTACTTCTGTTTTGCACATCCCTTAGTCAGACTAACAAGCATGAGTTTTTCTGTCCTTAAGGAAAGCTGTATTTCCAAGATGATTTTTTTTTAAGAAGGGGGGTGGAAAATAAAGGCAAGGCATGAAGAGAAATAAGGAGTACTAACTAGTGCTGTGTGCCTGTGCTCTTGTTCTACTACCAAGGACCACACTTGCAGCTTCTCTAGAGATGTACTTGCTGTGTGCTGCAGGGTACAGTGCAGTGGTGGACTGTTCTGCGAGTCACCTTGAACTGTAGAAGCTTGGTTTCACCCAAGTGAGAAAAGCACTGGAGGGAAAAACCAAACAACTGATGAGATACTTGGAAGATCTCTGCTTGTACAATGGCTAGTGTCTGTGTGCATATAAACAGATGCACTACAGCTGCTCTAAATATTTTTTCACCTATTTTACAGAAAGTACCTAATTTTAAACCTCGTGTAAGCTGCAGCATTTCCCTTCAGTATGTTACAACTTACCCATTTACATTGCTGATAATTCTGATTTCACTCATAACGGAGTGCCTTTCATTTAGGAATTGCCCTACCCCACAGAAAGCTTGTGCCAGAATGAGATTAATTTCAACAGTCCTAAGACCTGCTGGTACAATGAGGTCCTAAGATGCACAGATAAACATGCACCGTGTAACTGATGTCAAGGGACATACTGCTGTATGCTAAATCTCTTCAGGGATGATGATTCTGAAATGACTTTGAAGTTCACTGCAATGACTCTCCTTGCATACTGTGTTCAGTCCCCACTAGGATGTTCTCTTTCCAAAAGTTTTAAAATACTGGTCAGAAGACTCTTTTATAGCTTGATTTTAAAAAAATCATTGCTTTTAGGTAACTGCAAACTGTTGTAAATTCAATTTAAACCATTTGGTTCTAGAGGATGGTATTAGAGTGTAAAAGTAGGAGTGATGCACCTACCAACCTGAGTCAAGTACTTGCCCTTAAGGTGTAAGACGCTGTGTGATGTATCATTTGTATCTGTTAAGGTTTTATCAGTATTCCTATAATAAATCCATGTTTCAGGGATTTACACTGTGGTTGTGTGAGTGATTGAAAATCATCAGTTACTGTAAAACTTTGGGGATTAATGTCTTTAAACTAGCTGAAATGGTTTTTTAAGTTTGAATAAAATAGAATTTTCAGTTCTGGTTTTTTGCTCAAAGCTGCAGTCAGGTGTATTGTTTCAGTGTGAATTAATGGCTTGTACAGTTTCATTGTGAGCTGATCACATTTATTAGCTGTGTTTTATTACATCACCTTACAGCATATTATGGATAAGTGCCAATAGCTGTTAACTTGGTTTGTTTTTTTTTTAATTTTCTGCATGTCCACAAGCCAAAACTTGGCTTCTGCTTTCTTTAGTCTTTGAACTTTAATTTTTGTTTTGCTCAGGTGCATTTCAGTTTATTGATTTTTTTTTAATTATTATAATTAAAGATAATTATAATTATCTTTCAGTGTTGTAAGAAGTAAGTTCACAGGTGAAATATGCTGCCAGAGTATCACAAATTGAAGGTAAAACATCTTCCAAAATTAAACCATAGTGGTGTCTATCTTAATGCTATAAATTTTGCATTAATCTCAATTTCATTTCTTGATATTAGTTCTTCCTAACATAATTAATCACTTCTAGTAAGTCTGAAAGCACCCACCTATTCATGGGAAAAGCCATACTGGTAGATCAGAATGTAGTATTTCCCGTGTGTAAAAATGTGATCTTGAATTGAACAGTTGTGTCTGTTTACCTGTGTCTTTACTGTACATGTAGTTTTGATCCAATTTCTTTTTACTGTTAAAATTAGCTTCTCAAGTTCTTTACTAATGGCTATAATTTCACTTTTCTATGTAACAAACTGGATTTGGCTTTTGAGATGACCAGGGACATCAGCTTGATACCTGTTTTGGGTAGCCTGGATGAGGGCCCTGTGGTCTTTGTCTTTTGTTCAGGGTCTTTTTTTTTTTTTATCTGTCAAAAGCTTTGTGCTGATACATTGATAGTGACTGCACAAAAATTGCAAAAGGGACCATAAGTTCAAAGTTTCTATTTTCATATTTTGAGCTAGTAAACAGTTCCTTCAAAGCAAAATGTATAAATTTGTACAGGTTTAGCTTTGTTAAGTATGATGAATAAAATGGTATGTAATAGGGCAGAAAACTTATTTTGTTATGCTGCCTCTTAGTTTTTCCTTTTGTGTTTTTGTGTATGTGTAATTGTTCATAAAATCACTGAGGTAACTGAATTTCAGCAAGATGGATCAGTCTCATTGTTAAGTCAACCTTATTGAAGAGTTTCTTTGCTTGTGTGTGTAGATGTAGGAAATAGAACTTTATCACAACTATAAGTAACAGCAAGCACTGTTCTTGATTATATACTATGTTATTAGGTGCTGATGGAACATCATGATCTTGGAAATCAACTGTCATTAATTATTCATTGAATGAACACAGTTCCAGCAATCTGTTGCAGTGCATGCGTATGAAGAGGGAATGAGCTTTTCTGTCTCCCCCAGTGTATCTCTTGGGTCATGGGTCTGTTTTTAGGAAAGGACTTGGTGTTTCCTAAAGTACTCTTCCATAGGGTCTTTCAGAGCCCATTACAGAGAGGATCAAAGACAACATCCTGTCACATGTTTGAGTTTATAGTACTGCTTTCCTTGCAGTTGCAGCTGGCTCCACTCTTGACACTCCCTAGTTGTTGAGGTCTGAAGGCATACCTGCCTCAGGACAGTTTTCCCTCAGTCTCTCTCAGACCTAAGGCAATGCCTGTTTGTTGCCTCCATGGTTCTGCTTTATATTGTTTTTGACAATGAAGTTCCTGATGCCTTCCTGAGCCAGTGGAAGTTTGCTGGTATATACACAGCAGGTATCTCATATCTACAAGTGATGGCGAGAGTTTTGTTACTTCATTGTACATCTGTATTATCATTCTTGCTGTATTTTTTCTTGTCTCTGTGAGAAAAGGCACTGAATTAATAGGTAGGTGCATTAAAGCCTGAACATGCACTGCAAGGTTGTGTGTTACCTTAGCCTGTGTTACCTTAATTTTTATTTTACTTTCAAACCACTGCCTGGTGCATCACCAAAATGAAATTTGTGTATCACGTCATCTGGATTCTAAACTCTAATCTTGTTCCTGTTTTTGTCCTGTTTAATCAGAGTATGACACTCTCTATGTACTTGGATTTCCTTAGCTTTTTCTACCGAATAGTGACCATAATAACAATGACAGAAGATGTAAGTTACTGAATTTGTTTTGTAGCCTTAGACTGGACTGATGTTTGTCTTGATGAGCCAAATACTATTTTTTAATCCAGGTTGGTTCTAGTGTGTTTCTCTTGAATGACTTACTACTTTATAAGTTATGAAAATGTAATGGTTGTGACCTGTGTCTCTAGAAACTGTATATTTATGAACTTGCTTTCAACACATAAAGTTCTTTAGCTTCTTGAATTAAATTTCTTGCCTAATTATGACAAAAAAAGAATCACTCTATGTTTCAGGGATTTATCCATGAGTGTATTTTTGTCAGCTCAGTCGTGAATTAGTGCTGATTATAAAATAAAGGTATTTTTGTTTGATTTCAATTCTAGCTAATGCGCAACGGCATTTTTTCCTTAGTGTTTACAGAATTACTTCGTTTACTGTCACTCTTCATGTTATGGTAGTAAATTAAAGGGATAGAACACAGACTGCTAGCTATTTTTTTTTTCTGGTAACAGCACTGAGGTGAGGTTTTTTTATTCTTTTAAATATTAGGATATTTCAGAAAGGTTTATTATGCCTATTACAATAATTAAATCATAAAGTGAAATGGTAGATGTGGCATCTAGCCTCCTAACTATCAAAGACTTAATGTGAAATTATGTTAGCATTCAAAATCAGTTAACTATAAATCAGTCTTTCTAATAAAAAAAGAACGAGTATCCTATGATGTA